CTTTGAGGCATTTCACCCTGCATCTGTCGAAAAGTATCTGCAAGTTCCTTTTAACAGGCACCTCTCTTGACCTGGTTTTGCCATTGAAGCCTCACCCTCCATGCTCTTGGAGGCGTGTGGACTCACAATTTACCTTCTTGAGACATCCTCCTAAAATATAACAACTGCTTAGTTTTAATCAGTGGTAGTCATGGCATGTACACTATACTGACTTTATGCATGGCAAGGCCCGGGAAAATTTAAACCTAGGGAGCTCTGATACCAAAATTTGTAAAACACCCCTTCCCGGTCCAACCCGTTTAACCCGAATGAAACCGAGTCGAGGATGTTTACAAACTGGATGACTGTATGTCTGACTGCTGAAAACATTACTGCTATATTGCAATATAATAACATGCTTGGTTACATGTTTTCCTAAAATAATGTAATTACAAAACATTGATACAAGTTTACAAAATGAAATGGGCCCAACTGTGTGGCCCGTACATGCCATTTCTTTTTTTTTTGTTTTTAAAAAGAAAAAAAAAACAAATGAGTTTTCTACCCTGAAGACCGAGTCTTTCTCCAGATGGAACTGCGCAGTTGTACGCGGCTCTCTATGGACCAGTTCTCAAAACCTGCGAGTTAAACAGGTAACTCGCTGAGCAAATAATGCTCAAGTGGAATCTCAACAATAAAAGAAACAATTAAACACATTACATATATTAGAAAGAACAGGTCTCAAAACCTTGCGAGTTAAACAGGTAACTCGCTGAGCAAATAATGCTTCAGTGGATATCTCAAAACAAATAAAGAAGAAACAATTAAAACACATATCATATATAGAAAGACCATGGAAAACATCTATGGCACTATTAAGCTCACAACATTATGATACTTTCCATGATATTTGATTAATCTTTTTGTACTGTTATATAATCCTGGTATTAATTCTATGAAATGTTATGTCAAGATATCTTTGAATGGCTCATTAAGGTTATAGTGAAACGGAAGTGATAAGAAAACTGTATGAAACTGGGTGAAATTGTATGCTATAGGCCCCGACCGGATTCGCTATGCCATAATGTCCGTTTTTGTTGCCCCTAAAACCGGGGATTTGCACCGCACCGGTTTAATATATCCACTCAACGGGCCTGTAGCGGAGTTCCAAAACTGTATTGGGGCCGCAGATCTGCTATTCTAATGTCGCGGGACATAAGCCTTATCTACATGGTTTCTTAACCCAAACCTCAATGGAGCTTCATATTAGCATATAACATTGTAACACAATTAGCACATAAATGTTTTTACAACTTCATAGTTCATCTATTGATTTGATTTCACACCATATAAATATCATATGAATGCTTGTATGTTGTTTTAATCCATGTTCTTATGTTGTATTTTTGTTGTAAAATGATTGGATGCATGCATGTTGAGCAAAGGATTGTAATTACATAGCAAATGAAAGGCAAAAGAGTGTCACAGCATAAGTCGCGACCGCGTATGTGAAAGTCGCGAGCGCGACTTGTGCTTCCTGAGAGTCAGAGAGGTTTCTAGCTTAAGTCGCGACCGCGCAGCACAAGTCGCGAGCGCGAGATGAAGTCGCGAGCGCGCTTGTGGAGTTCGCGAGCGCGTAATGTGCCATTTGAGAGGTGCAGTCTGTATTCTTTTGGCCATAACTCTCAATAGCTAATTCCAAATTGAGTGATTCAAAAACGCGTGTCAAGCTAACACAGAAAGGAACAAATAACTCTTCTATGACAATTCCTAATTCCATCATTAAAAGGGTTCAAAATCAAGATGAAGTTGTTGGTAAAATTTCCAGCAAACTATGTTTCCACTTCATATAGTCATCCCCTGTTTTCACATCATATCCAATCTTCTCACTCAACAATAAGCAACATATCATCTCACTAGCAACACCACACAATTTACATGCAAAGAAACTAATAAACAACATGAGATATCAAACCTTGACGTCAAAAGCTTGCACAAGCTGCGGAAAGCTGGGGCTCTGTTTTAACTTCTCTTTTCTGCTACCTTTGAACTTTCTTCTCCTATACACAAGAATTCTCATAACTCATCTCCAATATAACTCAAATAAAGAGTGGATAACATATAACTTCAAGGAATTCTACTTACTTGGAGGTGACTTAGTGCTTAACGTGCATGAAACTTGCAAGGAAACGAGAGAGAAAGTAAGAAGAGAATATGAAAATGGGAAAGTGAGCTGATAAGAACGGGTAGTCTCTAGAAGAAATGACTTGGCTGTGTAAACTCTCTAATTGGTACCTCAAGTGTACAAAGACACAACTTAATACCCACACTGTGACACATTAATACCCCACTGTATGTTGGAGGCAAACCAATGTCCTAAACTTCCATTGTCAAATAAGTCCCACTTATCATCCATTCTACCCAACCATTGTTGGTTCAAATCCCGAACTCAACTCAAGATGATAGTTACAGATTTATCTAGCGATGCTTTTAACTTTCATGTCTCAATAAAAAATTAACGATTAATTACTTCTTATAACTGTAACGGATTATATTTTAATGAGTTTACACAGTTGTAATTTAAAAAACCTTAGGTCAATAATATTTGAGTAAATCTAGGGATTATACCCTAAACTTTCCATGCAAATAAGTCCACTTATCATCCATTCTACCCCAACCAGGTTTGGTTCAACCCGACTCAACTCAAGAGGATGTTACAGATTATCTTTAGCGATGCTTTTAACCTTTCATGCTCAATAAAAAATTAACGATTAATCTTCTTATAACGTAACGGATTTATAATGTAATGATTACACAGTGTAATTTAAAAAACTTAGGTCAATATATTTGAGTAAAATCTAGGGATTATACCCGTTAAATAAAACGAAATAATAAAGAATGACGACTTAAGTCTAATTATATGTAGTCTAATTGATATTCTCATGTTTTGTAAAATATGCGGAAAATGAAAAATCTCAAATTCAAAATATGGAATCATTACTATTGAGTCAATTATTTAAATATCATGCCTAGAAATATATATATTTAAAAGTATATATACAGCTAGTTGCATAAACTTAAATATATATTTATTTTTGGTACAAATTTAATTATGCAAAATGTCCCTTGTCGCTTATGCAAGATATTCCAACTCATCACAAAGAGATGAAGAAAGCAGGGATTTCTTCTAAAAGCATCTAGCTAAAGAAAGAATAACGTCACTGATACAAGAAGCATCTTAAATTTCAAGTATTGCTTGATAAAGGTGTTAGAAAATGCTTTATATAAATATATATTATTTATTTATTTTCAAGACATGTAATTATACTTACTACTCACTACTACCACCATACTGAATTATTTATTTTATGGGACCCAAAACTCAATTATTAATTAATAATAATAATAATAATAATAAACAAGTAATGAATTTATTTTTGCTGTCATGATTTTTAATTTATTTTTCTTGCCAAAATTAAGTTATTGAGTGAGTGGAGAAGGTCTTGTTGGACTTTCATGGCCGTAGGTCCCATTGTGTTAGGGTAAGGAATGGTTGTTGATTACCTACAGCGACAAGATAGAGACCGCTCCATGAGGAATACCTTTGAAAAAGAAAATAAAACACACAAATTATACTCCGTTTTGTTAAACGTCATCCAATTGATTTATAGACCAAAAAAGGCATTTCTTGCTATTGTGAAGTGTTACTAATTAAAAATAAAAATAATTTAAATTAGTAGTTGAAATTTAGTAGTCAAGTGTGACTTCTGCCAAAATATTGTTAATTAATGATTATTAATAATAATTAATAATAACGAGCTATTGCTTTATAGTAAATTTATGAATAATTTATTAAAATAGTTAATTTTTTTCTTCATAGTTATCTATAGTTGATTTTTATATACGTGATTAAAGGATTTATGTATTTAACAAATTTAATACTCTTTACTTAATTTAAATTTTCTATATTTGGATATAATGTCTATCATCACTTGAATAAGAAATATTATATTTTCAAATTTATAAATGTGATACTCGCTAGATGTGACTATTTTTTAAAACAATAATAGAAATACCTTTTTATTTATAATTTTTATTCTTAATATAATTGAAATAATATTGCTATAAAACGCTGAAATTAAGATAAATTATGGTGAAATTATAAACCCAGCAAAGTTCAAAGTACTCTGATAGATTAGGCTAAGATTAATATTATTAAACCATAACAGTCCCTATTAACATTGGATTTTCTTGAAGTCCTCGAAATTATACACGTGTAGGCCACACGCCTTAAGCCACGGAAGGGGCAATAAATTTTTTACCATAAATAGATCACCCAAATTTGGTTTAATCTTTTTTTTTTGTTCTCAAGAGATTTATAGAAAAATAAAATAAATTATTGTTGAATAATTTAATCAATAAATAGTTTAATTAGCTATTAATTTTTTATTTGATTTTAATTTTCCAATATCTAAAATTTACAGACTTAATTAATTCGGATTCATGCCGAGCAAGCTTGTAAAGGAACAAGATACTCTGAGTATTTAAAAAAACTTCATAAAACAATTAGTGCTTAATTAAATTACGCACATAGCTGGTTCTCTTCTATTAAATCAATGTAAATATATTATTTAAAGATTCTCTATTAAAAGTATATTTATATTTATTATTTATATTTTATACAACAAAATATATTTATATTATAATATGGGATACAGCGATAAAGTAGAGTCACTCGATATATATAAATATTTTCTGAGAGTTTAAATCTTAAAAAATCTTATCCTATACGAATTTTTAATAATATTCCCACTTTTGAATTTAAAACTACAATAAATATAAAATTTTATTTAATTATTTAAAAAATAAATTTAATATAAATTACCAACTTAAATATTAATTTTAATTTCAAAATAATTCAATCTTCAAACTAAGTAGGAAATAATTTCCTAACCTTAAAAGTAATCGAGAATGATCAAATAGTTTATTCCATAAAGATATTAGTATAACAAACTTAGGAGACCGTGTCTTCTCCTTATTTGTAGATTTCTCCTATAAAGAGTTTTGATAGATTATTATTTTTTCGCTTTCTGTGTGCCCCTCGCGGCTCTCCGGAAGAAAATACCAGGTGCTCTAATGGCTACAGAACAATCTTTTCAGTCCTTCTCCTCTTGTTTTTCTATGTCCCTCACACTTCACACTCTCTTTCAATAGCTTCACTCAAAATAACGTCACCCATTTAATGGAATCCTTTCAGATTAGTATTTCAGCTATTCTTTCTTGGATTCCTTTACCTTTTCTATCTGATTCTTGAGTGTCTTTTTGAGCTAAAATTGATTAAACAACAAGAAGAATTTTCTGAGTACTAATTTCCCCTGTTTTGAGTTATGGAGGAGAGGCATGTTCTGTTTCAGAAGTACGAGATGGGGAGGTTGTTAGGGAAGGGGACTTTTGCTAAGGTCTACTACGGCAAAAACATTACGACTGGAGAAAGCGTAGCAATTAAAGTGATAAGCAAAGATCAAGTGAAAAAAGAAGGAATGATGGAGCAGATCAAGCGAGAAATTTCTGTTATGCGATTAGTTCGTCACCCCAATATTGTTGAGCTCAAAGAAGTATTAGCAACAAAAACGAAGATTTTCTTCGTTATGGAGCACGTTCGCGGCGGCGAGCTTTTCGCTAAAGTTGCTAAAGGGAAACTCAAAGAAGAAATTGCTCGTAAGTACTTTCAACAGCTAATTAGCGCAATCGATTTCTGCCATAGCAGAGGCGTTTCGCATAGAGATTTGAAACCGGAGAATCTTTTATTAGACGAAAATGAAAATCTCAAAATCTCTGATTTTGGCCTATCAGCTTTGCCGGAACAATTACGCAACGACGGGCTCCTCCACACACAGTGTGGAACTCCGGCTTATGTGGCCCCGGAAGTTCTGAGAAAGAAAGGATACGACGGATCTAAAGCCGATATTTGGTCTTGTGGGGTAATTCTTTATGTTCTTCTTGCTGGATTTTTGCCATTTCAGGATGAAAATATTATGAAAATGTATAGGAAAGTTTTCAAAGCAGAATTTGAATGTCCGCCATGGTTTTCCACAGAAGCTAAGCGATTGATTTCTAAACTTTTAGTTGCTGACCCAGAAAAAAGAATTACAATACCAGCGATAATGCGAGTTCCTTGGTTTCAAAAAGGATTTTCACCAATAGCTTTTTCTGTTCCAGAATTAAATCTAGAGAAAACAGAGGAAGAACAAGAAGATTTATCTGCAGTAGTTATGACTAAAGTTTCTTCCCCAAAATTCTTTAATGCTTTTGAGTTCATTTCTTCAATGTCCTCTGGGTTTGATTTGTCGAGTTTGTTCGAAAACAAGAGAAAGACAGGGTCTATGTTCACTTCAAAGTTCTCAGCGACTGCAATTATGAACAGACTTGAAGGCCTTGCAAAAGGGTTGAACTTTAATATAGCTAAAGTTAAAGACTTTAAAATGAGATTGCAAGGCCCGTCAGAGGGAAGGAAAGGAAAGCTTTCAGTCACCGCTGAGGTTTTCGAGGTAGCTCCGGAGGTAGCCGTCGTTGAATTCTCTAAATCGGCCGGCGATACTTTGGAATATGCTAAGTTTTGCGAGGAAGATATTAGGCCTGCATTGAAAGACATTGTGTGGACATGGCAAGGCGACACCTTCTGTAACGGTAACGGTGGTGGTGAAGATTGTGAAAACAAAACGTCATTATAGAAAAGCTAATTGGTCCTACTCCCGATTAAAATAGGGTTTGATTTTTCTTTGGTTTTCATCTTTCCGGCTGTGACGATCGGTTTTGGATTTGTAATATGTAAATACTATAATGTGATCAATAGCAAGTTAATGCATGTATTTGAATACGGAAAATACACCCAAAGTTAAGTAATACCAAGTCTTTTTAGTTAATTTGACCATGACTAGGTTTAGAGATTGTTTTTGCCATCGAGATACCATATACCATGTAATTGCTAATCAGTGTAGTATGATCCTAGTGTTTGATTGCAAGGATTGTTCTGTTCTGATTTAGTTGTTGCCCAATACCGTCTAAAGTACAATAATGGTATGAAAATCTTATTAAAACTGAATAGTAGGGACCAATTATATTGTTACTTTTTAGCGACAAATGTTTTAAATGGAGGATAAGGATATAGATAATTTGTTGAACAAGACCGGTGGTTTAGGTGCTGGTTGGTAGTTGAGGCTTCAAAGTCTATGGTGGCGACACAAGATTTTTAACCAATAGAGTTGTGCCAAACAAAAGAGTGAAAGTTACTTTCATGGACAGATGGACTTCTACTTTCATCGTTATGGATCACTCCCTACTGTCTAGTCTCTGGTGGTTGAATCTGTTCCGCGCGTCCGTCCGTCTACCAATAAGCTTTGTAAGCACAAAAAGCTAAAGGGTTAGCATTTTGTGAGAATCTAACTTAGTTAACGTCTAGTTGTTTTACTATTTTATGGAAAATTATATTTTTATTATTTTATAAAAAACTATTTAAACAGTTAATAAAATAATTAATTTAATTAAATAAACTATAACTGCGAAAAACAAATAGTATAAGGAACTCTATTCTTCTTCTTCCTTTTTTTTTTTTTTTCCTTCATGGTTTGAAGAATAAAATTTGAAAATTGCAATAAAAGGACGCTTAGAAAATCTCCCGGTGGTTTTGATGGAATAAAAAAGGAAATATTTTTTGTTAGCATCCTTTTTGGATTACATATATAAGAAACAAATTAACAAAGCTTTTTTTTTTTTTTTTAAATTATCGATATCCGGACCTTATTATCTGGAATCGTCTAATTTAGCTCAGGATTTAGTCACAATTAAAGCTCTTCGCCCGTTAGACTCATGACTTAATTATAGTTAAGATTCTTCGCCCATCTGGCTCAGAATTTAGTTACAATTAAGGGTCTTTGCCCCTCTTTGCAGGTGCATTCAGTGTGACTCGAATCTAATAGATCTTTTCACATATCCAGTTTCCTTTATCAACTAAGCCTGAAGATGACAAAATAATAAAGCTTTGTCGCATCTAGACATACACACATCAATAAATTATCAAATAAAATTATCTTTTCATAATTGAGAAAAATCACAATTATTGCCACATTCTATTATACTTTATTATAGTTAAGAAAAAACACAATTATTGTTAATTATTTCACCAGATATTGCCTCCTCTTATCCATCATGATCAGATTTTTATTCATTCATTCATAATATTTTAATATATAATATTTTTGGAATAAAACATGCACTAACAAATGTATCAACATTTGAGGTTGTCTGTATTCATTGATTTAAGCATTCCATCAAATTATCATATCTTTCTATCTAATTGAGGAAATTTTTTTTTTTTTAAAAAAGGCATACTCTAATGGAAGAAAGAGAAATATCACTTCATTGCATCCCTTTTTATTAATGATAGAAATTTAAATCGCTTAATTTTATTTTAAAAATATCTTTTAAATCCTTAAATTTTGTTTCTTACAAAATAAAACAAATTAAATATATGAAATTCGCATTTTATAAAATTTTTTTCATAAATCTAAATGATCAAGACGGTATATTAATAAGTGTAATTTAATAAATTTTCTTTTCTCTTACCGAAAATAAATAGAGAGGAAAATCTCGATTTCAAATTCAATCTACGATGAAAGTTAGTTACTGACCGAACGAAACCAACAAGTAAACAATTGGCAGTTGGAAGAAAGAATTAGTACAAAATACCAAAAACAAAAATGGCAAATTAAAGTTGATAAATAGCTAGAAACCTCTTTACACCTGGATAAAAACAAGAAGCTCCACATCCTTTTCCGATTGACATCAAAGTGCACTAAGGACAAGGGGTTTTATTACATTATTGGATAATACTATTAATTAATCATTAATTTTGATCCTGGTTTTCGTAATTTGAGTGAGTCAGCTGTGCAGACCAACGAACGATATCCAGGTGGGCTTTTAGGTGCATAATGGAGAATTGAGGATGCCAAGATTGGTATATATATACTAGATGACAATGAAATTGAATGATTAAGAGAGGGAAACATTTTTTTCAAAAAATAAAATTATCCGAATATGCATTATTACAAGGCCACGGGCACCAATAAGAAGCAAAAGACCCATTTAAAAAAAAAAAAAAATTGGCAAAAGATGCCACATTATGGGGAGGATGATACGGGTCTAATTGACATGGACTAGTAACCTAATCAACGGTAACGTAAGAATTAAAACGATGAGTTGTAATAATCTGATTGGTTTTTCATAATTTTTTAATATGAAATTGAAAAATTTGAGTTCGAATTTTTTATTAATTTAATAAATTAAAAGGAGAGTTACTTTATATAATAGTCCATAGTATTATTTTAACCCATTGAATCTTCTAATGAATAAAAATAGAATTAAATTAAATTTAACAAATTAAAATTTTTTAAAAATTTAAGAGTTCAATTTCAAACTAATTATGGACTAAAAGAAGCAAGTGCCGACTTGGTTTCACAAGTTTGAGGAATTGGGAGGCCCAGCCTATACTTTTTAAAGGGAAAATGGGCTGAAAAAAACATGTCTGATTAGATGGGCTTTAACAAGTTTTGGGAATTTGGGTGGCCCAACCTACACTTTTTTAGGCTTAATGAAACGGAAATTTGCTGAAAACACATATCTGATTAAAGAACAAAAGAAAAGGGCAATATCTTTTTTTTTTTTTTTTTTTTTTTTTTATTTTTTAAAAATTTAAGAGTTCAATTTTCAACCCATAATTATGGACTAAAAAGAAGCAAGTGCCGTACTTGGTTCTACAAAGTTTCGAGGATTGGGAGCCCAGCCTAACTTTTAAGGGAAAATGGGCTGAAAAAGAACATGCTGATATAGATGGGCTTAACAAGTTTTGGGAATTTGGTGCGCCCAACCTACACTTTTTTAGCCCGCTTAATGAACGGAAATTTGCCTGAAAACACATATTGATAAAGAACAGAAGAAAAAGGCAATATCTGTTTTTTTTTTTTTTTTTTTTTTTTTTTTTTGGCGGATGTGTTTTCACTCTCGGATCGGAGTATTATTTAGGTAAAACCTTCCAATAGTGATTACTTCCGATTTCGAACTCTTGATTTTCCGGTAATCCATTTTATTTTATCAACAAATTGTTAAACGGAGTTAGTTTCCAATTGGGCTTCGATTTGATTTCATGACAAAAGGGTTTGTGGGTCTTTTACTTGTGCCATTTTTTGAACATCTAGCTTTGACTTTGACCTATAAAGACCTACACTATGTTAAGGTCTTTGTCTAGCACAAAAAGAACAATACAATACAATAACATATATATTGATTAGCAAATTTTTTGCTGACACTCATATTATTTTTTTTGCCCTGACCACTCCTGATTATATATATATATATTATATTTATATATATATAGAAATTTTTATACATCAAGATCAATTAAACTTTTTTTAAAAAAAGTCTGACATATCATTTGAAATATATATAGATTTTTTATACATCAAATCAATTAAACTTTTTTTAAAAAAAAGTTAATATCATTTGAACCAAAATCCTATTTATAATTAATTTAATATATAGATGAATCTTTCGAGTATAGGTAAATATTTTTCCATCAAATGAAATATTTAGAGTGACATAAAACTTATCCCACGTGTGGGTGTGGGTGTGGGTGTGTATATATATATATATATATCATCAGCACCACATATGGTGGCGTGATGTCATGGATTACCTCATAATTATTTTTTTGTACCAATTAATTTAAGCGGTAGGTTTTCCGATGACTTTGACTAAAAACAAAACCCAAAAGAAATAAACTTTTCCGTCGACTTATAATAGTTTTAAGTCTTTCATTTCGTGTACTTCTTCTTCTTCCTCCACCTCTTACCATACATTAACAAGCGACAGTCTCTTCAGTTACAATACAAGAATTACGAAGACTTGATCTTGTCTTTTCTATTAATTCTCTCCTGACTTTTTGACATGTGTTAAAAAAAAAAAAAAAAAAAAAAAAGGGGAGATGGACAATCCAAAAAAAAAAAAAAAAAAAGGGGAGATGGACATCCACATGGACCACAACCATTCACTGGTTCATGGAAAATTTCAGAACAATATAGTTCATTTTTCATTAGGTCTAAAGGTGACGATTGATTAGTGACGTCATTAGGTTAGAAAATTATGACGCAGACATGCATACATCATCCATATATTATATAGATGACTAATGACTTTGCTACTTCTTTGTGGGGTTGGTGTGTGAATGGAATCGATCATGAACATGTTCTTGTTAATTTATTACGTTTGGATTCAATTTATTTTATTGTAAGATTCAGCAATTCAAATAATATGTATGAAATTGTGGAGAAATTCAGTTTTTCTTTCTTTTCTTTTGTTGACTTGCATATATCTTATCTAAATTAGGGTTAGGATTAGGTTTTTATTTCTCAGACCATGATTAGAATCTTAAATATAAATAATAGAATAAACGCTTTCTCCCGAGTGTTTAAAGAGATTTTATATCTAATGTTGGAACTCAAAATTTCTAGTTAAGAGAGAAGAGATTTATATTATCTCATCTCATCCGTCGCGGACAAAAATATTTTAATAGTAATGATTTAAAGTTTTGAATACACTAAAAATAAATTACATTTCCACCTATTTAAATCCTTGTTTATCCTAATATCCAACTCTAATTTGAAGTAAGGTCAGTAATAATTTTGACATGTGAAATGAATTTTTCTTTGGTCTCCAATAATATGGGTTCACCGTGTTTCAGCCTGAGATATTATTCCAAAGAAGAAGAGCTTTCATTCTGAAAATTAGGCATGACAATGAGATAACATTTTCACGAGAAAACACAACTCTAACCAACCCAACTGGTTCACATGTTCGATCAAGATCAAATAGATAAGGATCAAATTAAAGAAAACACAACTACCATTTTCTTTTTTTTTTGTACCAACATTTACTTTGAATATATATATTGAATTGCATTTTCCTTGATCGTTACTTTCATTTTTTATACAATTACAAAAACGACGTTTCGTTGGATCCTAATTAATTAATACGTCATGGCTGAGTTTGACGTTTCCAAGTTCCAACCATCCATGCTTTGTTCTCTTGTTCGATAGAGTATAATATATACACTTACCCACTCACTACATTATTTAATTAACCATATATATAATTTCAGTTCAGGCACATGGGAATTCAAGTAATTAGTATATATATATTGGCTTTCGTACCCATATGAATTTATTAGGTTTTGTGTAACTTCAAATGTTAGCCTAATTGACTAATGTGTGTGTATATATATATAAGAATAATTTATTTTTAATGTTACATATAATAAAAGGCAAAATTATTATTTCGTCCTTGAGATTTTACATAATTATTTAAGTAGTCATCGACATTTATACATATATTTATAACCTCCCTGAGGTTTGCCACCGTCATATTAATTTCGACATTTATACATATATTTAATAACTCCCCTGAGGTTTGCCACCGTCATATAATTGATCCTTCGTAAAAAAAATACCACTTTTTCCGGTTAATTTGAGAAGAAAAAGACGAAATTATCCTTTGGAAAAAAATAAATTATTTCATCCCTGAGGTTTCCATAATTATTAAGTTTAGTCCCCTACATTATACAAATATTTAATCGTCCTTGAGATTTATTCCCATCATATAATTGGTCCTTCCATATAAAAAACAAATTACACTTTTTTTCCATTAACTTTTGGAGTGGAAAAGACAGAAATTATCATTTTTATAAGTTTTCACTCGACATTATTATTAATCATTTCCTCTAAAATAGCTAAAACTCACATTTCAACGCATCTTTCTCCAAACCCAAACGCGGTCCTTCATTGCCACCCCCCACCGTGTCAATGAAAACTATCATCTCCATAACCAGATCACCACCAAAACTAAAACCCAACATCCAAACTCAATCAAGCCATCATTACCCTTTATCCATTTATCTCTCTCTCCTTGATTAGAAGATTTAGGTTAGTTTGGTCATTCTATTAAAAATTAACAACAAAAAGTGTGTTTTTTGGACGGAATGACCAAGTAATATGACGAAAATAACCTCAGGGACGTTATAAATATTTTCTCTTTTAGTTTTGTTGGTGATCTGGTTATGGAGATGATACTTGACAGAGACACGGTGGTGGCAATGAAGACTGCGTTGGGTTGAGGAAGATGGTGAGGAAGATGGTGAAAATGTGAGTTTCAGGTATTTTAAAGAAAGGGGATTGACAATAATGTTAATGAAAACTTAATAAAGGATAATTTCATCTTTTTCCGCTCGAAAATTAACGGAAAAAGTGTATTTTTTTATGGAATACCAATTAATATGACGGAAGTAAACTTCAGGGACGTTATAAATATTTGTATAAATTGTAGGAGACTACACTTAATAATTATGGCAAACTCAGGGACCGAAATAATTATTTTTTCAAAAGGATAATTTCGTCCTTTTCCCTCAAATTAAACGAAACAAAAAATGTATTTTTTTTACGGAAGGAACCAAGCTAATATGACGGTGACAAACCTTCAAGGATATTATAAATATAAATGAAACCTCAGGGACGAAATAATTATTTTTTCAAAGGATAATTTCGTCTTTTCCTCTCAAAATTAACGAAAAAAATGTATTTTTTTTACGGAAGGACCAACTAATATGACGGTGACAAACCTCAAGGATATTATAAATATATGTATAAATGCCGAGAACTACTTAAATAATTATGTAAAACCTCAAGGATGAAATAATAATTTTCCCATAATAAAATAAGTGATTAAATATGTGATGGTCATACACATTTTTATATACTATGGTCAAAATTAAGAGGGGATTTGAATTAATGAAATTTAATATTTCATGGATTTGTCGAATCCCAATTCATTTGGTGGAGAAGAAAGAGTTCATAACGCATGAAATTGATTAATTTATATATTTTTAGTTCTATTGTTCTAAAAGAGAGATGTGATATTTCTCAATATCATTTTTTATTAATGAACAATGGAATTTAAATAAATTAATTTTAGTCTAAATATATCTTTTAAATTCATGATTTTGTCTTTCGATTAAATAATTATGAAATCCATATGGAATTTTACATTCCACTGATATCCGAACAACTGTCGATATCAGTACATACTAGTTTAATTAACCCTTTTGTTTGAATGAAAATATATTTTTTTATGGGTTGATGGTGAAAGGAAGAGTCATCTTACATTTTTTTTTTTATTGAGTGATATTGTCAACATCTCAAGAAGAGGATAATTGAAGGTTAAAAAAGTAAATTATTAAAGTTAATTCCTTTTGTCTTCAAGATTGACTCCGGTCCATAATGATACGTGTATTATTTATAATGTTCAGTGACTTAATATTTACATTATATATGTGTAGATAAAAAATTCAATGCCTTACATGATAAGAAAAGAATATTTAAAGGTGTGAAAGAAATTAAATTATAGCAACATTTGCTTTGCAACTCGATCCGATAGTTCTAATATCAAATTAAATTTGGACCCGTTTGCTTATATTTTCCATGTACAGCCGACCCGATTCACATTACTGGGAGATTAAGTCAAGGAAGAGTAGAGTCCAGTCAATATTACACGTCAGCTGGAGATATTTTTATATAAATTGTATTTTACACATTTCTATCTGGAAAGTCCCACAACTTTCATTCTGCTAACTTCCAAATATTTATAATTTCTGTCTTTTACCATTTTTTTCCATTTCATTTTATTTTTTCTAATTACTACGAAATTTTTCATTCATGAATATATAAATTCGCACGTTTCACATTAATGAAAAGATAAATCGAATTACCGGATAAATGTATCTTTTAAAGCTCAAAGTAATTTTATTTTCATAATCTAATGAATTTCAAATTCCTAATTGGAATTTCATAATGTCAGTGTCCCCGTAGGGCGAGATAGTCAAGGAATCCAATTGGATTAGGTCAAATATTCATGACTATTTCATATTTCATTTTCTTTTTCTGAGCATGGTGTGTTTCACGATTTCCCATTCCCAGTAGGAAAGTTTCCTTCTTCATTAGCTCTTTCGTAAATGCATCCCCAAACAGAAACTGCGTGGACTGTGCTAAATATTTTCATCAATAAGTATTTTTTTTTAAATTATTTGCATTTTTTCCGTTTATATACCCGTTACTGTACTTAAGCGAAGATGATATTCGTATAAAACCCTTTTGACGGGAGCGATTTGAAATATTATTTATCGTTTATTCGCTTGATTTTTATATTCGCTTAAAATTATTATTCCATAACTTGCAAGCAACATTAATTATTAGTGTTGAGTAGAATTTCCTCAAACTTGCCAAAACCTAAAATTGTTGTTCCATTCTTTGGATGATGCAACATAAAATATTTTTTGCTTAAACTAAAATTTTATTTGGAAATTAACTAAACACCTAACACATGGAACCTAACCTTATCAATACTATTTCCTATGTTTAGTTTTTTTTTTTTTTTTCTCATAGAAACATTTTAATTTTTGTATTGGGACAAGGCATATGTAAGGTTATTTTAGTGTTTGTTTTTGTATATGTTGTCAATTTTTCAAAGTGCTTAATTTCAAAATCAATCGAATTGCAACGACAAAAAGAGAAAGAAAAAGTAGGAAAAGTTCAATTAAAAAACAAAGACAATTTCAACATGTTAATTGAATTTAGCCCTCTCATTGAGATTAATAATAGTTCATTTTCGATTTTCCGATCATTAGAACCGGATTTAAATAAAAAGAAATTTATTTTATTAAATTTAAGTCAATTATTTAATTTATTTTTTAAGACAAATACATAATTCAAAATCAATTTACAAGTTATATAAAAAATTACTCCATATTTTTTTTCTTTTTTTTTTTTCGAATTTAACCCGTAATATAGATCATAATATATAAGCAGAGTGTGGAGAATCGCAATCGCGTTAAAAATTGAAGCTAAAGAAAGTCTGAACATATGAAAAGAGCTCTGAGATTCCATCCACGTTGAACGCACATGCAGTTAATAACAAAATTATGCTACAAGATTTGTAAATTATTTGTCCGGCAAGAACAACAGAAGACTATTCTTGTTAGCATTCTTTTGATTTAGATAAGGACAAACGAAAGAACGTGGAAAGACAGAAAGGGGGAAGAAGCTAGAAAGTCCACGAGGATAATATTAAGGTCAACAAGAACCAACTTGGTGTATGTACGTATCAATCCATCCACTATTTATTATATTGTTATTATTTTTGTTTTTATTAGTGAGTTCTTTCCTTAGCCTTGAGTCCTTGACCGTGACAAGCCAAAGAATTCAAAATTCTTGCATATCGCAACCGACGTAAATGACTTTCTCTTCTGCTGCCTCCCCTCTTTATTAAAGATTGCGGATACAAACAGACGCTCAGTTACCTTTCTTCCTTGCTTATTGAATCTTGAATTATCGATTCTATGTTTATATCTTTCTTTCTACTGCTGCTTCCACTCTCTTTCCTTCTCCTAGCTCCACCTAAGAATTAAGATATTGTTTTCTTTCTCTTTCTTTTTCTCTATATATTCAATCCCTTCCTTCACTCGTTTTTCTCATTCGCTTGACCTTCTCCAGACTACTTCTACATACTCACCTTTTCTTGATTCTTGATTTCTCGATTTCTTGAATTGCCTGTTCCTTTTTCTCTTTTTTTTAATGGACTCATCTACTTGGGTTAGCACCTCTCTTGATCTCAACATCAATCCTTTCAAGCATATCGATGCAATTCCGGTTAGTAAGATTAATTAATCTGATTTTGTTTCATTTATTTTAAATTGATTAATTATATCCCAAGAATTAACTTCTTGAATCTTTCTTTTGAAAACAGAAGAGGGAATCGGAAGCAGAAGTAGTAGATTTTACTGGGTTTGAAAGGAAAGTGCCTGCGGTTAAAGAAGAGGTGAGTTTCAATATATTTCTTTTATATAAAATAATGATTTTACATTGAACTTGCTTAACATCCAGTACTAATTAAACATTAATCTGATGACAGACCAGCGTTTTGATTGAGGAGTTGAACAGGATTAATGCTGAGAACAAGAAGCTAACAGCAATGTTAACTGTTTTATGTGAAAATTACAATGCTTTGGAAAAGCATTTGGCTGATTTAATGAGCAAAAACTCTGATAAGAAAGATGTTGGAATAACTTCAAGAAAAAGAAAAGCTGAGAGTGAGGATTATAGTAATATGATTGCAAGAACTAATAATGGAACTACAGAAAGCAGTTCTAGTGATGAATTAGACTCCACTACTTATAAAAACCAAAAAGAAAGCATCAGAACTAGCACTTCAAAGTTTTATCTTCGGACCGATCCATCTGATGCAAGCCTAGTAAGTGATAATTACTTTCTATGCAAAATTTCCCATATAGTCTTTTATCTTTTTTCTTCTTTTAGATGTTCTTAACTTATATATTAGTTACTAAATCATTTCAGGTCGTGAAAGATGGATATCAATGGAGGAAATATGGTCAAAAGGTTACAAGAGATAACCCTTGTCCTAGGGCTTATTTTAAGTGCTCATTTGCCCCAAGCTGTCCTGTGAAGAAGAAGGTAAAATACTGATTAATTAACAGTACTTAATGAATGTTATTATTATGTTTTCATTTAATTAATTAAGTGAGATTTAATTTTTGATATTCAGGTCCAAAGAAGTGCAGAAGATCCTTCTGTTTTAGTAGCAACTTATGAAGGAGAGCACAACCATATGCAACTATCACAACAACCAGCTGATCATTTATCTAATTTAGGGTCAAGTTTAAGAACTCAAGTTCCTGCTATTACTGATCCTACCAGAGTTGCTTCAGGTCCTAATACTGTAACTCTTGACTTGATCCGAAGTACTGGAAAATTGAAAGATGATGACATTAGTGCTAAAAGAGATCATGTCCAAGCAATTAGCAGTGAAAATCCAGCAATTCAACAAGTTTTGGCGCAACAAATGGCTTCTTCTTTGACAAGAGATCCAAATTTCACATCTGCACTTGCTGCTGCTATTTGCGGAAGATTTAACGAGACCCGGATCCAGAAATGGTGAATATAACATTATTATTATCAGGAATTCAGAATTTTATATATAAATCTATATATATTTGTAATTTAATTTAGACAATATATATCTAGAATTAGTGATATATGTATATATAGAATTTAGAGATTATAAGGTAATTAAAGTTATCAGCAATCTATGTTCAACATTAGTAGATAAAAAAATGTGAAAAATATTATTTTTGAATACATTAGCATTAGCCAAGTAACAGTTAACCAATATAAAAACATGAATGCAAGATCGATTTCTGTAAAGCACACTTACTGAAAGAGTAAAATATTTTTACGCTCTATAGTCTAAAGGAGAAATATAATTCATCTTGGTTCTTAAAAGAAAAAACATCGAAATATAAAATTTACCGTAGTCATATATAAAAATAAATTAACATCAAATGAATTATATATAGTAAGAAAAACTAGTTAATTTTGGTTGATTTCATATTTATTTTATATATAACATTTCAATATAGCTGTCAATCGGGTGTGCTCTGATTGATCTTTCTACCTCTCGTAAAAGATGTAGAGAGTTAGAGGTTTTAAATTTGAATTATTTCTACCACCACAGTGTCATTCCGGTTTATTAAGCCTTTCATATATCAAAAAAAAAAAAATTCAATATAGCTTAATTTAATAAAGACTTTTTTTTTTTGATAATAAAGGAGATCATAATATTATATTAAATCAAAAGCAATAAGATTTTCAATACAGCGGGGAATCATGTCCCATAAATGGAAACAAGGATGTAAATATGTCACACGAGCAAGAGCATGTGCAGGCTTGTTGACTTACCTCCTAGCCCAAATCAATTCACAAGATGGATTTTGAGAAAGCAGTTGTTTAATCTCTTCTAACACTGGTGCCCAATCTGAATAAGGTTCAAAACCAGCCGTGACAGCTTGAAATAATCGCAAGCAATCTGTTTCCAGTAGAACCCTTCTCTAGGCCCAAATCAATTCAACAAAGATGGATTTTAGAAACGCAGTTGTTAAATCTCTTCTAACACTGGTGCCCAATCTGAATAATGGTTCAAAAACCAGCCTGAACAAGTGCTTTGAAATAATCGCAAGCAAAAGGTTCAAAACCAGCCGTGACAGCTTGAAATAATCGCAAGCAATCTGTTTCCAGTAGAACCCTACCAAATGATCTCGCGAGCAACCAAGACAATACTTTCCTCAGACCAATGGCCTCTGCGATGTGTGGTTTTAGCACCCCGGCAAAATAACCTGTGCAAGCTACTAAAAACTGCCCAGCTTCACTCCGGACAAGGCCAGCATATGAATAAAGACTAATTAGATTAACTTAACTTCATGTTTTGAAGTTATTTCAAATAGTTTTGAAGACTAATGGAATAGCAGGAAGTTGTTACTTTTTGCTGTTTGATCAAAAAGAAAAAGAAAAAGAAAAAGAAAATGGAAAAGAAAAAATTGTCTCGACTTCTAGATGAAAGTGATATCTATTACTTGAACTAATTGGACTTGTTCTACTGCCTAAGGAAAAGACACTTTTTTCCAACTCCACTTCACTGTCTTAACCAAAGGGAATTACATAAATATATCAACCAATCACAACTCCTACATTTTTCTTTCTAGATCGTATAAAGCAAGCCATGATCTCTATTTAATTGAGTTTATTTATTGAGAGTAAAGTTTATTTATTTTTAACTAATTGCGTCGCAAATAAAAATATAATGAAAAAATTTAAATAATAGAAAAGTTGTAATAAAATTATTAATGTTATTTATTTTTTAAAACCGTAGTGTAAATGGAATAGAAAAATAAAAAATATCATCCATTTTATTTCAATTTTTTGATTAAAAAAAATAAATAAAAAGGAAAAAAGGAGACAATGAGTAGGTGATGGAGCGGTAAGAAGTTGCCATCATACCATACGCGTTTTGGCGTGTAAATTTGACTATTAAATATTAAAGAGAGGCTAAGAGCCAAGTTGCTGTGGGCACGCCCCACTGCTTTTCTTTTTATCCCAAAAATTCAAATGTCTTAGATTCTCCCAATTGGCCAATCATATCTCATCATTCTACCACTTTACACTTAATATTATAATTATTATAAAATATAAAAAAATCAATCAAATCACATATAGTTAATCGGTCGAATAAAAAATAAAGAATAGCTGAATAAAATAATTATTATTACTATTATAAAAAATATTAATAAAAAAAAAAAAACATGAATTGGATTTAATATTATGTATAAAAATAAAAGAAAAAGACAAAGAAAGTGGGTTTCGTGCATGGATTGGATTTGATTTTGGAAAAAATATATATATATATATATATTGTTTATTTGGATTTGATTTTGGAAAAAAATATATATATATATATATATCTGTTTAGTGGTTTATATATATATATATATATTGTTTAGTGGTTGACTTGACCGTACAAATTGACATTTGACTCCTAACTAATAAACAAAGACTTGTCCCCCGTACTCTCCCTTTATCTTTCTTTCCATCACGGATCCACATCCACTTTATTGTTTTCCAACTTTTCTTTTTTGAGCAAAAATTAATTTTATTAAATACCCACTTGTTATTACTTTTATTTACTGTATAAAATTTGATTTTTAAATTAAAATTATTTTTTTTTCAATTTAAAAATAAAAATCACTCTCAATCGAGAACAGAAGAAATTTAAATTCATAAATTGAGAAGAAACAAAGGAAACTAGTCAATCAACACAAAAAAAAGGAGATATTATTAATTATTATTGGATATGTTCTTGAAAAGTTAAAATATTACTACAAATAATTAATTTTACGTTTAAAATTTAAATTTTCAAAAAACAAAAATGATTTGATATTGATTATATACATGTGTATCAGTAAATAATTTAGGGAAAATTATTATTTCGTCTCTGAGATTTTACATAATTATTTAAGTAGTCCTCGATATTTATACATATATTTATAACCTCTTTGAGGTTTGCCACCGTCATATTAATTGGTCATTTCGTAAAAAAAATACACTTTTTCTGTTAATTTTGAGAAGAAAAGACGAAATTATCCTTTGAAAAAATAATTATTTCGTCCCTGAGATTTGCTATAATTATTAAGTAGTCCCCTACATTTATACAAATATTTATAACAAATCAATTATTTTGCGTCCCTTACCTTTCGGATTTGCTAAACTAATTATTAAGTAGTCCCCCTACATTTATACAAATATTTTATAACGTCCTTGAGGCTTTTTAACTCCGTCATAATTAATTGGTTCCTACATTCCATACAAGAAAATATAAACACATATTCTATTTAATTTTTGAGTGGACAAGAAAAAAGTCAAGAAATTATATTTTCTATTTAAAGTTTTCATTGACACAATTATTTATATTTAATTTCCTTTCCTCTAAAATAAAGTCTAAAAGTTCAACGATTTCACATCTATCTTTCTCCTAACCCAACGCGGTCTTCCATTGTCACACCTGTGTCAATGAAAACTATCATTCTCATAACCAGATCCACGCACCAAAACTAAAACCCCAACATCCAAACTCACTTCAAGCCATCATCACCTTCATACCATTTATCTCTCTCTCCTTGATTAAGATGATTTAGGTTTAGATTTGTCAATTCTACTTTTAAAAAATTAAGCAGTTAAAAGTGTGTTTTTTTTTGGACCGGAAGGACCAAAGCTAATATGACGGAAGTGGAACCTCAGAGAGCGTTATATAATATTTTCCCTTTTAGTTTTTGTTGGTGATTTCTGCGTTATGGGAGAATGATACTTGATGAGGCACGATGGTGACACAGAATGAAGACCGCGTTGGGTTGAGAAAGATGGTGAATTTGAGTTTCAGGTATTTTTAGAGGAAAGTGAATTGACAATAAAAATAATGTCAATGAAAATTTATAAAGGATAATTCATTTTTTTTTTCCTCAGAATTAACACGAAAAAAAAATGTTAATTTTTTTTTTATGGAATGACAATTAATTATGACCGAAATAAAATCTCAGGAAGTTATTAAATATTTTATATAAGTGTGGAGAGCATACTTGACTAATTGACAACCTCAAATGGATGAGAATAACATATATTTTTCGAAAAGGATAATTTTGTCTTTTTTCCCTCTCCATAAATTAAGGAAAAAATGTATTCTTTAAAGGATAATTTTGTCTTTTCCTCTCAAAATTAACGGAAAAAATGTATTTTTTTTTACGGAAGGACCAATTAATATGACGGTGGCAAACCTCAAGAACATTATAAATATATGTATAAATGTCGAGAACTACTTAAATAATTATGTAAAACCTCAGGGACGAAATAATAATTTTGCCAATAATTTATAACTGAGGGCGAAGAGAATGTCATGTGCGGGTAAGAAAAATGAACTAGTCTATAGCATAGTCGTGGTTTTTGCATTTACAATTAGGAAAAAATCCAAAGATTTGGTTAAGATTTAGCCATTCAAAATAGAAATTAACGTTTAGGTTTAGGGACCTTGAATTAACTGAACTTTTGGTCCAAGCAGTCACCGCACGTGCTCAGCTTTTATAAGTTTGTCTGCAATTAATCATTTTTAGTCATCAAAATTAAACATTTTTCCAAGTAAATTTGGAATTAGTATCCATATTTAATTTGTAGATTTGATTTTCTGAAAAATAAATACATTTAAGAATGCACTATCATATATTTAAACTTGTATATTTATAAATTATTTCTGGAGAATTGATTTTAAAATTTAAATTTTCATCCTAAGTAAAACAAAGAATAAAAACTATTCAAGATTACTATGGGTGCATTTATTTACAAAAACCAGTTTTCTTAGAAAAGGAAAACTAGAAAACACAAAATGAAAAATACGTTGACTTGATAATAATAAAAAATTATATTTTAATTTAACTTTACAAACATTATTCATAACTTTCATAATATCAAATAAATTTAGAAATTTTTTATGTAAAAGTTTTTGAATTTTTATTATTGAATTTGTAATAATAAAATTAATTATTTATTAAAATACAATATAAATTTTTTATTTTATTTAAATATTTTTAAATATTTAAAGTGAAAAATAGTTGGAAAAAAAAATAATAAAAGGAAAACTCTGAAAAACAACTTAAAGCTGTTTTCCAAATCTTAGTTAAATTTTGAAAAGTTTTTCAACTAGAAAACTGAATAATTTGAACACAAAACTCTCTTTTTCAATTTTTTTAGAAAATTATTTCAGTTTTCTACAGTTGAGTACACCCTATATGTTTTTGAAATTTTAATGAAAGTTAACAAAGAATTAAAAATAAATTAACCGAGTCTACTCTTTAAACTAAAGTTTAATCAAGTAATTAATTAAAGAAGACTCGTTTTGAGTCTTAGATGATTATTATTTGCACCTTCATACACGTTAGGGTTAGGACCCCGCATTGACATGAAAGCGTGGACAATGAACAACAACAAACCACAAAAAGAGCTTTTGTTACATCACTTGTCTGATGTAATCTGTTCTTGTCATGCAGACACAATCCAACCTGTTCTTTCTTCTTTTAAAAAACCATGAATCCACCATTTTCTTTTCTCTATAAACAAGTGCTTTTCCCTCTCATTTGATTTTTCTAATAACAACCTTTTCGTCAATAACACCCCTCTTTATTGAACTCAGTATAGTCATGGATGCTCATTCTTCTTACAAAGAAAAGGTAATCTCTTTCAATAATTAAGCTTCTTTAGTTAGTGCTCATTAGGGTTTGCTTGTTTGTTTGTTCTTTTAATTAATATATGATTGTGATTACCAGGTGGAAGCTCTCCAGTATGAGTTGGAACGCACCAGAAAAGAGAATGAAACTCTTAGGTTTATGGTTGAAGTTATGAGCGCCAAGTTCAGTTCTCTTCAAGAAAATGTTCAAGAAAATAAATTATTTAAGGTTCAAGAATCCTCAAATTATGAAGTCTATGACTCGATCAAGAGACAAAGAATTGAGATTCCTATGGCCAAACCTTCACAAATCTTTGTCAGAACTGAATCCAAAGACACGAGCCTTGTAAGTATGGTGTATCTGTATTTACTTTTGATGTGTTCTATTCTAGGTTTGATTAGTCAATTATCTTAAAGAGTATTTCTTTTACTAAATGTGAATTCTAGATTGTTAGAGATGGATATCAATGGAGAAAGTATGGGCAAAAGGTTACTAAAGATAATCCATCACCAAGAGCTTACTTCAGGTGTTCAATGGCTCCTGGTTGCCCAGTCAAAAAGAAGGTAAATTTATTATATTTTCAAATTTTATACAGTAATTAAAGAAGCAAAATCAAAATTCTTCTGCTAATCTTATTGGGCTGTTAGTTCAATAATCTGAGTGTCTGTTATTTCTTCGCTAATGCAAGTGTTTGTTGGGTTTTAATTAGGTTCAAAGATGTGTTGAGGATAAGTCATTACTAGTTGCAACCTACGAAGGAGAACACAATCATGATCGAACTTCTGGACACTTCTTGTACTCTCCAGATAGCTCATCATCAAGAAACTCAAGAAGTAGCATTTCTTGCCCAGTCAGTATTCGACCAGCTTCTGTTGCTCTAGACCTTACCCTCTCATCAAATTCCATATTAGAAAAGGAAAAAACTTGTCGTAGTTCCTCGGATGATCACGAAACCAAAAACTGCAACTTTAAGGTTGAAGAGTATGTTGCTTCTCTCACTAAAGATCCCAACTTTACTGTTGCTTTGGCTGCAGCTATAGCTCGCTCCATCCCTTCGCCAACACTACCTTGAACGTAAAGGGATTTGTTAACTAATCAGGTTTAGTTAGCTGTTAAGGGAGATATATATTATTGTGTGTTAATATTAATTTTGTTGTTTGGAAGTTTAGAAAACTAGAGATTGTGAGAAAATTTTAGGAGAAAGAAGAAAGAGTGAAGTCAGGCAAAGGCGATCGCTTCTTCTCTAGTTATTGTCCTAGGAAAAGAAATTTCAGAATCATATTTTTGTAGTAAAGCTCCATAATACCGGTTTTATTTGCTTTCTGTGTTTTTTTTTTTTTTTTTCCCCTTCTAATTAGAACCTCATCAAAGGATTACGAGGAGACACATATGAGCAACAGCGGAAACTTTTACCTTCCTGTAGGTGAAAGCTTTCTTGTCGTCCACCTTCGGACGGTACCAACGGATGGCTTTAGCTCATGTTATAAATTATCGTAGAACATCAAATTTATCTTCTCATTTACTCCATTAGAATCCAACTTGAGAGAGCTGAATAGATTTCATACATACATGAGAAGTAATTAACTCCAATAATCATAAGCAAATGATTTTAACTATTTGCTAATAAAGAACGTAGCATAGGAGAAGACAGAAGAAATGATTCATCTCTTCATTGATTATAAAAGAAATTACGCCCTTGATTATTGATAAACTACTAAAAATTTACATCACTATGACTGTCTCAAAAATATACAGAAGAAATACTACAACATTTTTAACCAAAAAATGGCCTACCATGGATAAATTACGGAATCACAGGATATAACAATATTTTTACAACAAAATTCTTGAGAGAGAGATCTTGCTAGTGGGCTTGTATCGTATAACACGACTTTTTCGTACCACCATTTCTGCTGCTTCAACAGAAATAGGCATTTGTTTAAACATCATCACTGTCCCTGCCACTCAGTAACAGCAAAAGAGCTCCCAGTAGTAGTAGTAATAGTAGGCTCACAACTTAAGATCAGCATCTGTCCCTGCCATTCACATCTGCATTTCCTTAGCAGGGTATTCTGACCGCAACGTAAAATGCCTTTTTTCTTACAATTGCCGGCTGTAGGTTGTGCCTTGGTCCTTGAAATGGGAGTAATGATGCTTATCTGCATGAGAACACTTCTGTTCCGATTTGTAGACTACGAGTATAAAGCAATTCATCATTTGATATTCCCACTTTCGATACGAGTCTGCATCAAGTGTTCAGACTCCCTTTTGGAGGCACCCATCCTCAACTTTTCATTTTCTGCATCCCTCTCTGCTTTTTTCCTTTCAAACTCAAGCTGCTTGCAGTTTTCCTCGTGTGCTCGGGAAAACATCCTCACGAAATTTAGCAGAGTAGACACTACTGTAGAATGAGGGCACAGCGTGAGGCATCTCAAAAGAAGCAGCACGCTAAAAGGTGCGCAAATATGAGGACAAATAAGAGCTAGAGATTCTCAAAGAATCAAGTGCAATAGAGGTCAACAAATGGTTCTTTGATATGCAAAATAAACACGTTCTCTTGATTTTTTCTTTTTTCTTCACATTTTCTACTTTGCTAATGTATCAACAGCATTAGAGATATAAAAAGTGTCCAGTACCTTGCTCAAATGGGCATCGAGCAGGGTCTTCCCCAAAATAAAGAGCCAATGCATCTGCATTTCTACCCTGAAAATATTCAGATTAAGAGACGAGTATAATAATGAGTGTCACTTATACTTACGCCCTCCTTCCTCGAAACATTAAAAAGGCAGAGGGGCTAAGAGGAGGAGCTCATGCATACCACTGTAGAATAAAGTAAAGCCAAAGATCTCACTTCACTTTCAGCAGAACTGAGGAATTCCTTTAGGATCTGAATATTAAGGAAGAAAATGAAAAACAGTAATAATGTTAATTTTGAACTTGTATATATAAACTGAAAAATTGGGCAAATACTAAACAAATCAGCTATATTTGTTGGTAGTAAAGCATCACTAGACTCAAGTAACTCTAATACATGGCATAGCCTGCTTGTCTGATGTAAGATCAAGCATAGAATCTACCATAAAGGAACCTGCATATTCAAGGATGCAACTACTAATCTCCTACTATATCAACTTTAACGCAAATGAGGAAATGTCTTCAAGCATCAAAATTCCCATACTAAATTCCTGCCACATATACCAGAAAACAGTATCCATATGTTGGACTTACCTTACAGAAACTTTCCGACACTTGACCATCATTCTCGGAAGCAGTCAATTCCTGCACAACTTTCTCCAGTCCTTTACTAATGGCTTGCATTTCCTCTGCCAAATATTTCAATTGTATCTGAATAGAAATTAAAACATTTAGCAAAGTATTGATAAATATAACAGATATTTGTGTATATTCAAAAATACACACGAAGAAAAAGAAGAGCACTTTGGTTGCAGCTTCCAAATTCATGAGGTCCTTTGGAAAATCGAGCAGTTCTGGAAGCTTTTCAGACAGAACCTACAGCGCATAAAAGGAGCAAAGTTAACTAAATGACCGATCAATACCAGCTAATTACAGCCAAGCAGAGTTCGGTTCAGTTGAGTTTTGAAAACCGAATTTTTTTTTGGTTCAATCAGTTTTTAGTACCACGAATATTAAGCCCGAAAATTGGTTAAACTGAACTGAATTGATTAGATCGAACTGGTTCAATTTGATTCTGTCTAAAATTCAGTTCTGTTTTCATTAAGAAATATTTTTTTTGTTTGTAACCACTCAAATGCTCTACCCTTTTGCGAATGGATGAATTCCATTATGATTCAACAAAAAGAATTATATCTTTTCCCTTTTCTTCATCATCTTTAATGTTCAAAATGCACAGGTGTTACAATTACACCCATTTTCTCAACAATGAATACAAAACACATATACATGTTCCAAGAGGGTTAACATCGAAGATTGGAATCATAAAATGCAATCCAGGTATCTCAGTAAGAAAGGTTTTATCATTCTACCTTACAGAGATAATGCATAAGAGTCATCTTGTTATTCCGAGCTCGTGTATCTGTGAGTTTGAGGAGACTATCCAATCGAAATCCAATAGCAGAACCTAAAAGAGAAGAATTATAAATATGTAATCCTGGCATCCAAGGGGAACACATTAAATGTTTGGGAAAGATTTGGAGGAATATGACTGTGGAAAGACAGGATGGAAATAACAACACTGCAAAAACAAGCACACTTGATAAAAGTTCGGCATTACACATATAAAAGGAAAATTCAAGGTTATACTGCAGATCCCACTTCAACAGCCACACAATTTGCATGATGAATGAAAAACACGGATAATAAATTGTCACTGGTTAGTTGTGTCTACTAAAACCAAGATCCTAGAAATAAGATTACTAGCTCCACATCTAACTTGACATAGAAATGCATTTGTTCTGGTTTGCAACTCACCCCTTGCAGTTCCATGGTTCAAAGCATTGCCCAGAGAAAGAATAGTTTGCATGATCCTTTTTAACTTGATTGAACTCCTGATCTGAACACATTATTGAAAATGGTGCAAGAGATGAAAAACAGAGAACTACTTTTAGTGGAGGAAGTTAAAGCATGAAATATAAAATTGACTTGCCTCTTCAGCAGCTGAATTTACAACGTTCAAGTTTCGTCTGAGGTCAGTAACCTAAATAGGTGCAAAACAAGGCAAATTAATAACAGCAGCACTCGAAGACATCAAATAATCAGCATAATCAAGTGGATGTCTCTGACCTGGGGATGGAACTGTAGCTTAAATGAAAAAACTCTCAGCTTTGACTCCACCCGTGGCACTTTCATCAATTCCATGAAGAACTGTGATGAAAATGAGCAACGCATTTCATTGGTACATTCCCAAACCAAAATAGCAGCTGAAGTACTTTCTTGAATACAGGCTTGAATTCCTAGGATAATTCTGTAAGTGTATGCAAACATCGGTTTTATCCATTATCCTACTTCACATTCTTACTGATTCATTAAAGGGTTTAAATTGGAAATCAAGCCATATGAATAAGTGAATTTCTGCATATTTTGTAATTGTGCCATTATCTCTACTAGCTAGAGACTTGCGTTAATGTGAAGAGAAAGTTAAAAAAGATGATTACTCCACACACCTGTTCACATCTTCCCAAGTTTTCCTTATCTCCATTATAACCCTGAACACGAAAAAGAAAAAGAAAAAAATCTGGATATTACTCAACAGATGCAGAATAATGCACTTGCATTTTGAACTAATTAGATTTTCCATGACCAATGAAATAACTGGCATAACATTACAAAATTCTTACCTTATTTGGAAAGAGGTGAAAAGTTCATGTGAAAAAATAACACAAATAAGTAAAACAAGTTTTTCAATACCTTAAGCAATTCCATCTCTTCTTTTGTTGGGCAGAACTTGATAAGGTTATCAACCTGATCAACATCTAGTGCTGAATCATCCAAGGCAAGCACTGAACCCTGTAAGATATTGATAGTGAAGCAAGTATGTAAAAAAACCATCCAGAAACCTCTGATATTCTAGTATCCCTAAACCAGAGCAATGCTACAGGATTTTCTGAACTACTAGATAGCGAGTTTCAAAAGAAAAATGGGAGTAAGGAAGATAATATAGGGGCTAGCCAAATTCACAAGAACTAAAGTATCCTAGGATGGCAAGGGAAAACATATTATCTTTAAGAGAAACCCTCAATCCTGGTATAGGAAGGACAAGTATACTTATAATGTAAAAGGGGGTGAAGAGTGAGAATTAAGAAAGAAATTCATGGTGTGGGGGAAATGATGAGTTCATTTTATGCAGGGACCATTGCGCTTGATTCAGGGTCTATTTCACACACACCCATGCCTCCCCCAGAAAAAAGGTGTAAAGCCCATCAGGTTACTTAGTTTTAATAAAGATCCTTCCTTTGATTATTTTATCTTTCCCAATTCAACTCGGCATTAGAATTGAGATGAAAGAAGAAAAGCAATAAAAATAAGGAAATTAGTTGATGAAAAATATATGCAAAAATGATAATTGTCCGCTGTCACAGCCCTATGCAAAAATTAGGGATCAAAGACAGCAAATATTTGGTTACAAAACCTGAAAGTACTGACCAATAACAGATTCCCAAGCCTATCTATATTAACACCTCCCACAATCTAAATTTGCTCAATCTCATCTTTTCCAACTCAAACCATTTTGAGAAGCATTTAATTATAATAATAAAAAAAAGCAATAAAATCCAGCATACCATTAGGTCAGGCAAAGGAATTTTAACCTTTGAAAGCATGATCTCACAATTATATGCCCGTCTGAGCTCAATCTACAGAATCAGTAGACAACTCGTAAAAACAAAAAGGAACATAAGATGTTTTAAGAATTATCTAAGCGTGGCCAAGAATAGATTTTGATGATAGGCTCCATTCCATTATAAGCATTTATTACCAGCTGAACTTTCTCAGGTTTAGGTCCCCTGGTGCGGCGATTTGATTTTTCCCCCCCTCCATGACCACTATTTGGAGCAACTGCGGAGAAAAGACTCTCCAGTTCTGACATGTCAAATTCTGGAGCTCTAGGAGAATAAAAACAGAATAAGAACAAAGAAAAGAAAAGAAAAGAAAAGCTTAAAAAGTAATGTTGCATACTTGGAAGCATCATCAGATTTTGGTGTCTCAGCCCACAAACTTCCTTGCATGGCTCTAGTCAATTTTAACCAATGATAGGGCTTCAGATTTGCCTTTCTAGGAACCTGATTTCTTGGATTTGCACGTGATAGGCCCCGCCCCCTTGCACCCAATGGACCACCAGAAGGTGGTCCAGGAACTGGAGGCACATTTCCATTGCCGGTTCCTAAATTAGAGGCACCACAGGTTTTTGATAAACCTTTGCCAAGAGAAGCAGGAGGTGGTGGTACTGGAGGTGCAGTATTATTGGATGAGGAATCCTTTTGACCAGAACAAGGAGGAGGCGGGGGTGGTGGCACTGAAAGAACACTCTGGGAGTCCAACACAGACCTGGAACACATCGGAGGAGGAGGTGGTGGTGAAGTTCTAGAAATAACTGCTGAATTTGTTGTAGGCTGTGGAGAAGAAACTAAGCAGGCAACTAATGAAGCAAGCTTAGGAGGAGGCGGAGGACGGGGGGAACTTAAATGTGAGTTCTTGATAGCGGATGACGGAGATGTTTCCGAAAGGGAAGGGGAAGGGCAAGGGGGAGGGGGAGGGTGAGGGGCAGGGGAAGTTGAGTATTCATTTACAGTGGGTGATGAGGACACTTCTGAAAAAGATGAGGTTGGAGGAGGAGTTGATAATGATTTACTGATTGATTCCCCTGAAACAGGAGGGGGAGGGGGAGGAGGAGGGGGAGCAGGACTTGATGATGACTGATTTCTATCTAAAAATTTGTCAGCATGATGATCAGGTGAAGAATATGTTGCTTTTGGAGTTGATTGAGGAGCAGAATCAGTTGCAACAAAATTTTTCGAAGTTGTAGGAGCCTCAATGGGATATTGCAGTGAGGAAAAAGGTAGTGGCGGCGGCGGTGGAGATGGCAGGCTTACATTAGATACTTGATTGAGCTGCACAGGTTTCTGTACATTTGTTACAGGAGATGAAATTGTTGAGGATGCTAATGTCATTGGACGCCCGACTTCCTCACCATTAGATGCCGAATGATCATGCAACAAAGCTGAAATACCAAGGGTTGAGAGTGCACCGTGGTAAGGAGAAGATCGTGGAGTTTTTGACACTCGAGGGGATATGATCATAGATTGAGTAGGCCGTTGGAGAGAAACCTGCAGTTCTGGGGCACCAACCTTCCTTCGTATGGAATGCACATCTGGACATAATTTAGAGGAAGGCATAGATTGGGATGCAATTGTTAGCTCCTGAGGTTCAACCTTCTCCCTAGTTGAATATACATCTGGCGATGGTTTAATAGAGTGAATCGATTGGTCAGCATTGTTGTCAGCTTCAACCTTCTCCACAATTGAATTTGCAGTTGGAGATGCTTGGGATTCAAGCTTCCGTCTCATTGAATTTGCATCTATGGATCGATCCCTCGAGGAAAGGTATGTGGGACTTCTGCACTTGCGCTCTGATTCCTTCAGTTTTGATTCATCAATAATTCTGTCAAAAGCTGACTTTGGTGTCAAACCGCCTATTGCTGCTCTCTGGGGAGAAATGTTTTCCAAATTTTCTTGCAGTGTAGTGAAATGCTGGAGCACATTTAGTGCTGCATCAGGTTTTGTATCTAGCCAGTCCACATTGCTGAACATCTCTTGCACTTTAGCAAATGCTTCCTCAGGTAGGCCACCTTTCTCCTCCAAACCCGGCAAATCAATTGACGCAAGAGATGAAGTAGAGTCCATTTCTGAAAAAAGAACCTTCATCCATAGAAAAAAAAAGATTAATTTCCTCTAAACAGATTGAATTTGACACAGCATAAACACATTCAAGAATCAGAATGTTCTTTTTTCAGAACACAGCATAAAAGTAACTGGATACCTCTGCTCTGAAATCCTTTGGAAATTGATCTTTAACATTCCATAACGTGTCAATTTCATCACGGTTTAGCATTAAGATATTTGACCTTATAAAAGCCGTATTGAACATGACTCGGAACATCATCTGTTCTCTTTCCAAATCACTCTCCACATTAATACACTCCATCACAACATCACCTTGAATATGACAATGGATGTCAATTTTGATTAAATTGCAAACTTCCTGCAGCAATGAATGAAGACTTTGAAAACATGAATACCTTTAGGTAAAGTTATATGCATTTTGAGGTTGTAGAATGAGATCAAGGGGAAGAAATAAAAGGAAAATATCTCCAAATTAACTCAGATTGTATAATCTATCAGTGTAACTATTAGACAAAGAAGTTTTTGCTAGAAGATATAAACATGCATTTAAAGAAGTAAAAACAGGAAATGCTTCTTCTACATCATAAAAGGGATTGCTAGTGTCAATCATAATGCTTTCAACATTGTAAATACTGCCATATGCCTCCATGCGCCATTCTCCTATTCCAGATAGGTAATGGAAATTTGAATTATCCTATTTTGAAGTGGCTTCCATTTCAAATAAGTGACACAAACACCCCAGTTCTGTAAAGCAGAAGTAAATTACACATGTAATCAAACATGATATTCTCCTGGGAGTCAAACAACAAACCAACAGCTAAGAATCAGTTCATTCATGTTATTCACCTAGATAATGACCCATTTCCAAGAATGTTTGCTTGGAGAGAAGCCGATAGAGAAAGATCAATTTTTGACCAGCAAGCAAAGCAATCAAAACCTTGAGTCAAAATATAGAGTAGCTGTACAGATACTTAAACACATACGCACTTGCACTACCTACCTGCTTGTAATACCGAACAAGTTTGCTCCTTTTTGGTGTTGAGAAAAGAACTTTGGGAGTTCGATCAGCAACCATTAGAGGGTCCTGACCGTAAATCCTAAATATTGGACGGCAACCCCCCTCTCCATCCATATTGGGAATGATTCTAAGAATAACACAGTCTAGTGTAAGTGCCCTATCCAGTGGAGGCCACTGTGAGCCTACATTCCTTCTTGATACATACTGCAGATATCTCAGCTGTGAAGGCAATGGATTAAGAGGTGACATCAGCTGCAAAAGCTCTCGCGGTGCTTGCTTGTAAATCATGTCTAGAGTTTTCTGCTCCCCAGTGAATTGCTTTCTATATATCAAGAGGGCAGCAAGCATAAATGACAAAATTGGCCAGCCGCCTCGCTCACAATGCATCAAGAGCACATTTTGTTGCAGAAGTGTCAGCCAACTTTCACTTGATCTGAGAAAGTGATGGATCATCTCCATTGTAAGCAATGGACAACCTTCATAATGACGGGGATAGTCCATTACGGTCATATCATAGTCAGACAATATGCTACCAATCTGGCTCTGGTTCTCCCCCTCTCGGAAGTTAAACACCATGAACGAAGAATCAGGGAAGTATTCACGAAGTTGACTCACTATGCCTCCTATGTAGACTTTATATTCATCATCTTCCATAATTTCCGTGGTAAAGCAACAATCAAAGACTGTGGAACCAGAAAAAATAATGATTACCATTGCGATTCTCAATATATTAACTACGGAAAGAAAACAATTTATGTTACTGTCTAAAGAAGGACCCCCTTCTCCCCTAAGCAAACAAAGGAAAAGGCAAAAAAGTCTTCAAGCTTCAATAGCAAAAAAAAAAAAAAAAATTGAGCTGCAAACGATAATTGTTTTGATTGCAGTTAATTGTACACAATTTGTCACTAAGCAAAACATATGTGGGTCAGAACTGATACAATGCAGACATCACACAAGTTCCAGGGACTGCTCAAAACGGAATCCATTTCCACAGAAATATTCTAACTGATCGAGCTTTAAAACGGAACTATTACAAATAGAGCTAAGCAAAAAAATTCTATAGAATATAAAATGCAGACATCACACAAGTTCCAGGGACTGCTCCAAACGGAATCCATTTCCACAGAAATATTCTAACTGATCGAGCTTTAAAATGGAACTATTACAAATAGAGCTAAGCAAAAAAATTCTATAGAATATGAGCTACGTCCAGTTGGTCAAGAAAATTATATCTTCATAATTTTACAATATCCAGCTCCAGCCAAACATATGCAGAAGCATGCAACAATTCTGTACTATTTTAAACTAATCACATTGAGCTATGCCTCGGTATATAGTAAATTTACCGAATAATGAAGCCTAAAAAATGCCTCTTACCTTAAAGTCCATAATATCAATTCCTGACAGTTTTTCAAAAGGTAAATTCAAAACACTTAAATAAACAAAAAAAAAAAAAAAGTCCACTTAAATCGATTCCTGACAGTTTTCAAAAGGTTATAATTCAAACACAACTTAAATAAAAAAAAAAAAAAAAAAAAGTATTTATATGTATATTTAAACAGTAAAACAAAAAAGCTAACATGCAATAAAAAGGGGAAAATCAAATGAAAGAACCAAAACCCATCAATCTTTAAACCTAAAGTAAGCAATTTAATTCCAAGAATGCATACCATAAACCCTTTCAGAGATTTCCAAAAGCCCATCTGGCGGCTTTCGATAGAAGAACTTCCTAAACAGAGCCATCCGAGGGAGGATCCGAAATAAGCACCCTCAAGAAAACCTAGAATTGCACCAATCGAACCCACATTGCATCAAGAATACAATAAGCTCATATAAACAAATGAAAGAAGCGCCAATGATACGAGAAGAGAAAGTGCACGTTCAAGAGAGGCAGAAGAGGCATAGATTTTGCTGGGTCTTTAAGAAACCCCCTTATGGGTATTGTCATTGTCTTGACATTTACACTTTGTAGCTTTGTATCAGAGACAGAGACTTAGCTTTCAATCAACAGAGGTTGATAGTCACAGAGGGAGTAGGAATATTCTCCTATGTTGTTGTTGTCGTTTCATCAAAGAGAATGAAAGAGAGAGAGAGAGAGAGAGAGAGAGAGGGACAGAGATTTGGTGCTGGTGGAGGTTGTTGAAGGGATCCAAGGATCTGAGGTTTGTCTGTGTCTCTGTATGTCTGAGTTTGTTTATTCTTTTTTAATTAAATTTGTGTTTGTCTGTAATGTCGTTAGGTTATACAGTTAATGCATGATTATGAAGATGACAATGATTTTTCCCATGTTATTTCTTTTCTTTTTTTTTTTTTTTTTTTTTTGCTTGTTTTTTTTTTTTTTTTCTTTCTGTCTGTGACTCTAACGAAAGAGATTGTTGGACCTTTGATCTTTTTTTTTTTTTTTTTTTTTTTCTTTCTGTCTGTGACCTAAGAAGATGATTTGGTTGGACTTTGATCTTTCGTACTTAGTTCCTGCCACGTGTGCCTCTATGGAGAGAAGCAAACACATGACAAGGCATTTTAGGGATATTCATTAACCGCCAAAATCCGCCCAAACCGGATTAATCGAGTCAAAAAAAACTGATTTAAAATCATGGTTTTTTAAGTTAACGATTTGATTTTTGTGAATTTTGAAAAACCGGAGTACAATTACGTAGTTCATATGTACCCAACCGATCACAAATCGTATTTTGGTTCAAATGATAATATTTTTAATGAAAAAATAAAATAAAAAAGTAATATTTTTAAATTTTTTTTTAATAAAATTTATTGTACAGAGCCATTCATATATTTGAGTAGATAAATAATTTCCATAAATTTAGTCAATTTTTGTTGAATAAAATCAAAGAAAAATAGAAAAAGTATACTTTTAAAAAAAAAAAAGTGAATACATTTACTCATCAGACCTTAGATTAAGACATAAATCCGTCGCTTTTGTTTAGGATAATGCTACTTTTACTATTTTCTTAGTGATAACATTTCAAAGCAACACGAAATATAAAAGGACTCATTATTGATAATTCATCTTTTTCTAATATTGCACATGCGCGCTACTTTTTTATTTTGCTTTTACCTTTAGCTTTTTAATTATATTCAAACCGAATTTATTCAAATCAAATAATATTAATAATTTAGTCAATTATTATGTAACTTTTTATTTTTTGAATTTTTTATAAATTATTGTGATAGATTTCTAGATTAAGTCTGTGGGTTAACTAAATCGATAGAAATAGAAATTTTTAAGTTGCTCGTAAGGGTAGTTTAGTCATATTAAGCGTGTTCAGACTGTATTGGGCCTGTGAAGTGTTGGGCTATATGGGCTTAATCATTTTTCTATCGTTTAAATGCGACGGAAAGCTTTCCTTTGACTTATAAGAAAAAGCTTTCTCTGTCGTTTCTAAACCACATTGAAAACTGTGATTTATCCGTTGTTATTTATAAATTTTAGTAACCTAAAATCATTAAAGTGAGAAATCGAAAAGGAATGGAAAACTTTAATTTCACTTAAGTTTGGTCCAAAATGTCACTATCACATACACTATTGTTAATTAAAAATTGCATAATTAAGCATGTAAATATTTAATTAAGCCTTCAAATCTGCCCCTTTTGTTTGTACTTTAGTTACTAAAAAGTATAATTAAGTAAAATAACTTTTCCCACTTGTTTTATGCATTGTTTTCTGATAACATTATTAAATAAAATCTTAATCCGAACATATACCTTAACGATAAAAAGTACTTACAGAATTGATTAATATGACTTGAGTTATGGGTTCATTTTCCGTGATACAAATTCCTCCGCAATAACCCCTTTATCTTCGAGAACGAATGAGGATTAATTAAATTTATAGACTGTTACCTGGACATCTGATGCAAATATTAAAAATAAAAATCTCCTACAATCCATAGGATTATCACTAACTGCGTTGCTAAGTTAGAATTTTAAAGTAGGCCCATCTAATTATTAATTTTTTTGACAGTTGCATGTGGGATGCTGCTTTGATGCTTCAAAGCTAAAAATTGAAGATTGGTCAAAGCTAAAGTTGCCCGTATATAAATAATTTTTATGCTATTTTTTTGAATTTATTTTTCCAATTTTGAGTCTGGATGGATTTATTGTTAGGTTATACGTGTATTAATTGGATTTACTGTTTGAGAATGTGGATGCATTCCCTTGATATGCATAAAGGAACCTGCTCTAGACATATCCTTCTAATTACCAAACCATTTTATAAAAATCATCCCAACTAGAATATTAATTAATTGACAAAAAAATTATAGGTGGGGGAGTGTAAATACTATTAAGATGGAGCACATTTTGGTAACTATAAACAATAAATATACTTTTAACAATAAATAATCATTATTTTAAAATGTTTGTTAGCTTAAATATACTTTTAACAAGTTAGAGCTCTTATTGACAAAAATGGATTTTTCTTTTATGTTTTCAAGTCATTTTCACGTTTTTTTTTTTTAACTTCTTTAGTAATTTCAGCTACTTATCATGTGGAGATTCAAATATGTATTTTTTTTTTTAGGAATAAAAAAACATATTTATTATATTTTTTTTTTAGGATAAAAAAAAATATTTATTTAATATAATAATATAAATATATATAGGTTTTTTTTATTTAATATATTTTATTGTAATCTGAATATTATATTTAAACAAACAAAAAAAAAGACAGCACGTAAAATTTTAAATTATATGCACTGATGTCACCAGGCGCGCTACCGAATTAATAATGCCGCCCCTGACCATCGTGACACCAGAAGTTCAAATTACAATTCTTCTTTAATTAAAAATTCCATTATTAAGATATTGTTTTTTTTTTTTTTAACTGCATTTGTATGTACGTATTATTAGAAGAATTTTGAATTTAAATTTAATGTTCTTTAATTGTTTTTTAATAATAAGAATTTTATTAAAACAACAGATTTTCATTCATTTTAAAATAAATTTTAATATAAAAAACTACATAATAATACAAACTTTTAATAATGATTATATTTAATGTGCGTTGCACATTCGTACTCATTATAATTGTTTATTTTTTATTTTAAACATGGTTTCATCGATTTTTATAATATAATATAAATAATAATAAGTTGTTGAGAAAAATGATAAATATATTATGTTCTTTTTATTTAATATTTCACTATAAAAATTATAATATTTACGTGAATGGAATATAAAATAAAAATCACGAGGTGCCACATTTTGACAGATTTGTCTAGAGTCCACAGTATTATTGATGAAACGTAGAAGCAAATATTAGGGATTTAAGAATGCACACACATTTTAAAATACATTTTATAAATTTTAACTTTTATTTAATTACGATATGAAAATTTATTAGAAATGTTGAATTTAATAAATTGTTGATTTGTATTTAACATTTAATCAAAACAAATGATTTCTAAGACTCGTTTTATACTCATTTTAATATATTTTATAAGTTTTGTATTGAGAAATATATTTAAGAATTTATTTCATATAAATAACTTCTACGAATTTTTCTGGGTTTTATTTACGGATTTAGTATAAATGGCGGAATTTTATATATTTAATTCTATAAAAATTGTTTGCATTTTGACTAATTAAGTAGAATTTACAAATGAGTTATAAATTTAAAAGGAGCACAAATCATTGAAGTTAATGAATTTTAAGTATAAAATAAGAAGGCAATATGTTTAAATGAAATTTATAGTTATCCGAAAATTTATTTTTTATTTAAAATTGGGACAGCAACATGTCGGAAATCTTTATTTATTGTGATGATGAATATTTTTGGCCAAAAAAAATAAATAATTAAATGGACAAAAATATAGTATAAATTTTGTTTTTTTTTTTTTAAAAATTTAGATTTTGTTTGTCGCTCATAATTAAATATTATTAAATACAGATAATCATAAAATACGAAACTAGCATAAAAATTAGACTTTTCCCTCCCAATTCCTCCTTACTTGAAAAGCTCCGCTCTGTCACTGAATCATCGCATTTAATTCCTTTGCTGTCCTCTGTACCAAAATCACGATTCTCATATGAAGCCCGTTTTCAATTATAAACTCAGTAATGCACCTCTTTCTTCTTCATCGTCTCAGGACCGAACCCGGCCTCCCTTGCGCATAGCCGATATCTTACTCGCCGGTGACGACGATGATTTAGATGAGAATTCTTTGATGGATGGGTCTAGCGAGATCCTCAGAAGCATAACCTGCTACTCGCCCCGCCGGATCGTTGCTCGGTGGCTCTCGAGTCTGAGGCGGGCTAGGGTGAAGAGAATCGCGGAGGAAAGTGTGAAAAGAGAGAAAGAGAGCAAGAGAGAGGAAGAAGAGAAAGGATTGGGTGATGTGACTGTGCAGGCAAGATGTTCGATGAATGGATTTAATGGCGGAGGTTTGGAGAGTCCGGCAACCGATAGTGGTAAGTCAGATTTTTGTGTTTCCGGTACAGAGTTTTAGAAATTTTAAGATTGTTTTTGACTTAATTAAGCTGGGATTATTTTTGTTTTCGACAGGACAGAGTAGGATCGATGCTTCTTTCAATATGGGAGTTGGGTGTTGTCTTTTATATCTAGTTGCAGCAAGTAAAACCGAACTTCATAGAATGATTGAGATGCGAATGCAAATGGAGAACCTTCTTCAAAATACCAGAGAGGAATTGCTTAAGCAAAACGAGCTATTTAAGCAGTCCGAACCCAACGATGTATTCGCCTATTTAGACACAGATGCCGGAGAAGGTGGAGATTGTGAAACTCAAATTTTGGCCGAGTCTTCGACGTTTACAGTTTGTGATCAGTCTTTGAAGTGGGAAACACCTGAAAAAGAAGAGTGTCTAGAACAAGGAAGGAATCGGCTTGAGGCAGAACTTGAAGTAGAGCTACAACGTTTACAGCTTCGTTTGGATACGGAGAAGTTGATGAAAGATACAGAGCAACTGAGGATAAAGGTAAGTTACTTGTGTGTTTTATGGTTCTTCTGGGATCAATGTTATTCTCCTGTGAACAAAGAAATTTTTGATGGACTCACAGCAAATGGGTCCAATTTCATTGCTCTAGTGGGTAAAACTCTTCGCATGGATGGCAAGTGCCTTGAATTAGAATATTAGTATGTTTTCTCTCATGGCATGTTTGCTTCAGCTTTGAAATGGAATGGGAATGGAAACGCAATACCATAAATCATATTCCAAGTTCATTTTTAAAAGATAACAAATCCAGTCTTTCAAGAAGATTTCGGATATCTGTCCCAATTACAATTTGATTAAAGGAAATGAAATTTGTTGGGTATATGAAGAATTGTACTCAAGGAAATGTTAAAACAGCAACAACAATAACAATTAAGCCTTATTCGAATATAAAATACAAAAATAATTTTGGATTTCTTGTTAAACAAATGAAAAATTAGGATCATATTTCAAGAATTGCATTCATTTCCCTCTTCAGAGCATACACATCATTTGTTTGGATTGGATCCTATGTTCTCAATTTTCTCATAGAAGTTCTACTAACAATCAAGATTTACTTGTTTCCTGCACAGTCTGCACTGTTTAAAAGATTTATGTTTTTTTAGCTGTTCTTCCTGTTTCATATTCGTAGCTGCATCCGCTAACTGTTTGATGTCAGGAATGGGAGCGAGCCAGTGATGAACACACTGCTTCCTCAAAAAGTCAGGCCATGAGTTCTGGAGAAGTAATTGATCCTCAACTTCAAGACTCAAGCACTGACTGTGGAGTTCCTCCAAATGAATTGGAAAGAAGGTTGCATGAATTATTGGAAGAAAGACAGCAAGAAGAAATAAGAGAGCTAGAAGCTGCTTTAGAATGCCTCAAGCAGGAGCTTTATGAGAAAGAAATGGAGGTTTCATGGTGGAAAGACACGGCAATGCTAATTTCACACCATGCTATGGAACCTTCACAGTCCACTTCTCTAGGTGAGCTTCAAATGTATGACAGTTTTTCAGAGTGAGATGTTGATTATATCATGTATTTATAACTGTAAATGGTGTTTTCTGATGAAATGATTTGCCTTTAGATTGTTAATTTATCTGATGCATACACAATGGGAAATGAGAAAGTTAATTGGCAAATTGATGAAAAAAAAGTGTAACATGATTGCCATTTGAAGTGCAAACTCTTCTCGAGTGACAATTGTTTGGGTGATTATTGTGCATGTACAATTATTTCCCCATTTGTCATCATCAATTTATGTTTTTGAGTGAACCTTTTTTGTGCATTGTTTTAATAATTGTTAGTTGTACCGGTAACTTCAATTGTTTAACCAGCGTTCCAACATACAAAAGAGTAATGTTATTGATCTATTTTTTCAAATTCATTATGCTACAGAACGCTTTAAATAATAAAAATAGGATTTTGATTTAGTCAAAACGTTGTTGCCTAGCAGTGCCTACATCTATTTCTCTTATATGTGAGTATGAGTTTGTTTGGCATTGCAATTGTAAGTATGATTTTGGGCCAAAAATTTTGAGTAATTTTGTTGGAATATGAATGTGGATTATATATTGCTGACTTCCCGGTATGGATTCAATTTTATATGAGCCATCAATTGTGTGGATATGGTTGTGATGAATGGAATCTGATTCATACTCCATTAATTCACATCTTATATACCATAAATTGAGTTTGTGATTCCCTTTTCTTGAACTAATATTTTATCCGAATTAAACAAAGAAAGGGAGGAAAAAGAAAAAGAAAAAGAAAAAAAAAGTAAGGAATGTTTTGCCTAAACGTTTGGCAATTGGCATAGATAATGTTCTATACTTCTTTCCAATCCTTAATGGTGTCATCAGGAGAACCCACCAAACCACGTAAGTGGGTAGAAGCTCTTCCTTTTGCCTGCCTAACATGATAAGTGCAAGTGCAACTCCCATTATAGCCACGTGTTTCTCGTCACACATATTTGTACTATTGGACAATGAAAGACAAAGTAATAAAACATAGTAAATCATTTCCAGAAAAGTTGTTTACTTTACTAAATTTTGGTTTGGTATAAGATGACGTATCTTATGGAATTATACTTTTCGAAATACACATCTTCGATGAAATTATTTCAGCATTCACTTTTTTGCTTTTTTACAAATTTCTGATTTTTTAATCTCTTTTTTTTTTTTAACAATTGTTTTGCCCTTTTTTAATAAAATTTTTAATTTATCTATTTCAAAAAATTTGAATCTCTTACTAACGCGAGCAGAGTTTCAAATTTGAATAAGCTTTATATTTTTCTCATTGTTTCCTAAAAACTGAAAGACATAGAAAAAAATTTATCTGGCCATAAGTTTGTTGATCAAAACAATTTCTGCATCTTCTTTCTCATTGCCATTTTCTATTTCCAAATGCCGGAAATCAATTTCTAAGAATATTTTATTAGTCGTGCTTCTAGCAATTTAAACGCAAATCTATAACCACTTGCTCAATTAGTTTCGTCTCATTTTAGTTAATGTTCATTTTCTCTTTTAGCGGTTTTATTAATTTTGCAGTTCTACATGCTTTATATGAGAAGAGGTTTAATTTTTTTTTTTTTTTTGCAGCAAATTAAGTTTATTTAGTTGCTTTTAATTTCATGGATAGAAATTTTCCATAAGAGAAAGGCATTGGCATCAATTGTTGAGGCCATCATTGCAGAATCATGTTGTGGAAAATAAGTTAGAATGCATATATTCATTGTACGTTACGTATCACCTTGTTATTTTGTTGTCAGTTACACTCTTTTTAAATCATTATAGCTTATATATTTTTTTAATATAATAATTGAATTTATACGATTTCCTATATTTATTAACTTGAATGGGTCAAGGAAATTTATTAACTTGAATGTATAAATTACTTTGTTGATTGTTATAAATTATAAATTATTCATTTTGCTGATTGTTATAAATTATTTTTAATAATCTTACGACAATAGTAATTAAGTTAGATTAATGTCAAAGTTAATAATATAAATGAGAATAAAGTAATTTATGCAATTTTGAGAAAGTTACAGTTTTCTAATTTATTTATCAGTTAACTGATTTTCTTTTGGGTGTTGACTAACTGTATTATTGTTGCTTGTCATTCAACCAAACAACCCTCCAACAAGTGAAAATTTAGATCTGAAGTTATAACACGTCAATTGATTTAATGATATGTAGTTAAATGGTTTGATATTTTTAAACAGTTGCAAGTTAAAAAAGAAAGGACAAAGATTGTATTGTTCCATTTAATGGCGATGCCTCCACCACCGTTGTCTTTCCACGCAAGCGTCATGTTCGTGCAATCACGCTACGCCACGCCAAATACGCGCTCTCTTCACGTCCTGTTTTCTTTTGTTTTTTGTTTTGTTTTCTATATTTAAGTGATCTTAAGTCTTAACCAACAGTAATGACAGAAGAAATTGAAAATTAGAAGGGGTTATCAGACAGGGATTTGAAGGTTGTCTCTCCGGATTTCTTGATTTCTCTGTTTGGTTTCCCAGAAAATATCGGAAAGTTGGATTCTTTGTTACAGGTTTGGTTCTAAAATCAGTGTTAGTTCCGAGTATCTCTCTTTTCACAGCCGTTGATTTCTTCTGCAATTAAATTTTTGCGCGTTTTTGACGTGTAAGCTTTCCTTCTTAAGACTTCGTTTTTTTTTTTTTTTTAAATTTATTTTCTTTTTGTATTTCACACATAAATGACAATGAAGATAATAATGCATTAATTGTTTTCTTCTTTTTCCATTTCTATACAATTTATCGTTGATTTTCTTTTTTTTTGTGGCTGTGGTCAATCATCTTGTAGGGTCCTTCTAAATTTATAATCCCATTATTGAACCCATATATGGTCCCGTACTCTTCTGCATTCTGCAAAAATGGATCTGCTATTATTACTGATTCTTTGTTTAATGTGTCTGAGTAGATATAATACGGCAATGGCGGATAGCAGTTCTGTATCTGGTTCTGGGAATGCCTTTAACCTTGACACAGTGAGAGACTCTTTAATAAGACAAGAGGATACAATCATTTTTAATCTGATAGAGAGAGCAAGATTTCCCTTAAATTCTCCATTGTACGATCAAAATTCAGGTTTGGTTCCTGGGTTTTCTGGTTCCTTGGTTCACTTCATTGTTAAGGAAACAGAGGCTGTTCAAGCAAAGGTAAAGCAAATGCCATATATTAATTTATATATAAAAAGTCTTTCCGGTTCTATTGCTATTGCTTTTTAGTTGTCTTTTTCTAATTAAAAATGATTAATTTTTTGTTTTTATTGAATCTGCTCTTTGTCAACGTTTTCTTTTTCTTTTGCATTTCCTTCCTCATTTATGGGTCTAAGATGGTTTTTGAAACGGAACACCTTGGTATAAATACAGGCAGGAAGGTATGAGAATCCAGAAGAAAACCCATTTTTTCCTGATGGTTTACCATCCCCAATAATGCCAACTACAAAGTATCCCAAGGTATAATTATTTTCTCCAAAGCTGAGGTTTTTGTTGTACCTGGATTCTATGAATTTGAAGAGAATTGATAGAGAAACTATTAAGAATGGACCGAACGTTATATATTTTGATAGAGAAACTATTAAGAAGTATTATGATCTTTTTTTACAGATTCTGTATCCTGCAGCTGTCTCCATTAACATGAGTAAGACCATATGGGATATGTATTTCAACCAACTGCTTCCATTGTTCGTTGACAAGGGTGATGATGGTAACTATGCATCAACTGCTGCTAGTGATCTTGATTGTTTACAGGTAATTATTTTGCAAATTATGCTATTTGATAACTTTTTGGGGGGTTTATATTAACTAAGAAAACTTAAATTTCTTTCTGTAGGCTATCTCTAGAAGAATCCACTATGGAAAATATGTAGCTGAAGTTAAATTCAGGGAATCTCCAAAAGAATATGAACCTGCGATTCTTGCTCAGGTATCATATGCTAAGGGTTCCTAACCAAAAGGTTTCATTGCTCAAATGAAAATTTGTAAAATACCCTTAATTTGAACTAGTAATTTGTGATCATTTCTAAGATTGTATTTTTGTTTGGGTAATTAATAAAGATTGTATATTTTTGTTATTTGCAGGACAAGAATGCTCTGATGAAGTTGTTGACATTTGAGAAAGTAGAAGAGATGGTGAAGAAGAGGGTAGAGAAGAAGGCACTGGTGTTCGGACGAGAAGTGAGTCTCGACACCAATTTTACCAGTGAAAAGTGCAAGGTTGATCCTTCTGTAGTGTCTCGACTGTATGATGAATGGATAATGCCACTCACCAAACAGGTTCAAGTTCAGTATCTTCTCCGCCGATTAGATTAATTGAAGAAGTTATTTCGTTGTCACTGATCATTACATTCAAAACCTTATTTCTTTGTCTGCGATCAATGGCATTTTAGTGCTGATTAATGTATTGTCTTACAGAGAAATTGAATTTTTTTTATATAATTTTATCGTTTGTGTTGGTAATTTGAGATTCACTTGCTTAGACTGATTCATGCCCTCACCCATGATCAAACCAATGAATATAAAAACTTTTATTGAAATAAAAGTGTTCTCAATCATAGAAAAAAAAAAAAAAAAAAATATTATTATTATACAAAATAAAGAGTATTAAGAACTAACTAAGACAAATATCTAAAAAAACTACTCTTGAAAACATATCATGCGCAAGCCAACGAACAATATCAGTTAGGAGAAGGGTAGGTGCGAAACTATTTATGTGGGACATTTTTCTCCAAGAAAACATATAAGAGCATGTGTAGTTGTTCAACTTAATTAAAACTCTTATGGGCAGCTTTTGAAATAATTTTTAGTATTTTGACCGGTTAAATAATTATATTATATTTTTTTATAGTATTTAATAATATAGTATTTGAAGTAATTTTTAGAGATTAAAGTAGTTATTTGTAAAAAATTAACTAATATAATGTTTAACTTTTAGCATAGGGGGCACATTCAATCTTTGTTTGTCTATACCAGTTCTTCTCTTCATCACGTGTTTGTCTATCCCAGTTCTTCTCTTCATCATATGAGGTAGAGCAGTTTGGTTATGTTCAAATGTACCGGTTGTGTTCGAAACGGTAGGTTCTTGAACGAATTTCACGTTACGTTGATTTCTAATTAGAAAAGTAAAAGCTAACTAAAAAAGTAAGAGCTTGAGCTCGAGAAGCTTCCGGTTGGGATCTACGTGCTCCTTAGTCAAAACCTCTAAGAGGCTCAAATGGTTTGGACTTGAGTATGTTGGAAAAAGACATACAACCTCGGCATGCACGCAGTTCCGCGGAATATATGACCCATGTGCTTTTAGGTTAGTTAATTATGTCTCTCCTAGAAGTTAGTTAGCTACCTCTCATTTTGTTCTAGGGTTCTTCAAATTTTTCCTTTCAACAATATTTCTTTTCCTATTAGTACTGGATATAAATTGGATTCTAGATGTAGAAATATAAAAACTCGCTTTATAAAAAATTATTAAAATAGTTTACAGTTAAAAGATATTAAAAAAAAATAGTAACTATCAAAATAAATTTTATTAAATAGATCGAAATTTAAAAATATTAAAAAAATTAATAATTACTAAAATAACTAATTTTTTCGAAAAGATCTAAATTTAGAAAATACGGTGAAGACGGAGACAAAAATTCCTTTAAACGGGTGCATGTATGTACCATGAATGGATAAGTGTTTTCCAAGATAAGAAAACGGAAATGTTTCGGTTTGGGATAGAGGACCAAATTGGCTACTGTGGGCTTTTATTGTTGGATTATATTGTCGAATTGGGCTTTTACAAAATGTTATCGTTTCCGTTATTTTTTTCAGTAAGGCCTTAGCCTTACAATTTGGTTTGGTTCGAACTAAAATTAAATCAAAATAAGTTTGAAACCAATGATTTCAAGAACTGAATTTAACATATCGATGCATAAGCTGATATAAGTTTAAAGGGAAAGGAAAATTTGAAATTTGCCTAAACTGGCAATTTGAATCAGCGTTTCATCTATAAAATAATTTAGCTGAATTTTTTAATTAAAAGTATTCAAATTAGAATCTTTAATTAAATTGGAAAGTCAATTTTATAGTTATTGAAAATTAAATATGAAAAGATTTAATATTTTCACTTTAAATACTATTTTAATTATATATATATATATTGAGAAAATGAAATAACAATTTATAAACTATTGTTTGTTATTAATTATTATTGCTATTATCATTTAAAATAGAAAATGATTTTATATCATAATCAAAGTTTATAAAATATTAATTATATTTATTAAATTAAGTTTGAATATTATTTATTTATATTTATGGACTATATAAAATCGAAAATAAGTTTAATATATATTAAATTATATAAAGTACGAGAAGCTAGTAGTATCTTAATTTTAACATATCAAATTTTAGAAACTTCATAATAACTTTTTAAATAACATGGATAAAATAATAATTTTGATAAAATCTTAAGAACTTTATAGTAATTTGCCAGAGTTAAAAAAGTGGTAGCGACCAGCGAGTATCGAGTACTGAGTACTGAGTACTGAGTACTGACAAATGGTCCCCAGTTTCCCAGGTGTCATTATCGAAGGACTTTGCTTTTCCCTCGTCTTCTCTGCTCGCTTCTTTACTCCGGACACAGGCTCTGTTCGGACGGTGAGACGGAAGGTAATTTTTCACTAGCTCCTGCGTTCTGTGTTGCGTTGAGAAGATCATAAAATAAAAAACAAAACCCTAGAAATTCCACCCACATTGTACACTTAACTGTTTGTTAGTCACGGAATTTTCTTAAACGGAAAGGGTGTTTGGCTGTTTCTCCACTGAGAAGTGCTTTCTTTGGAAGTCATTGTAAGTTTTTTAATTTTTATCTCTCGCTGTTCTTTTGTGCAGCCTCTTTTAACACTTCGCTTTTTTCTTTTTTCTTTTTTTTTTTTCTTTCCCTCTTATTTTTAAATTGTTGTGAGGTGTGAGTATGAGTTCGCATGGAAGATTGGCTATTGCTTTATTTGAGCATTATTTTTGGGGTTGATTTTGAACAACGTTGTAAAGGTTTAAAATTGATTGTTACTGATGTCTGTATCCGTTTGTTTTTCTTCTCAGATTTTGAATTAAAATGGGGGAGTCAGTGGATGCTATGGAAGAAGACATAGGAACTAGTAACAAGGGCGAGAAGCTCTCGAATGGGTTTGATATGGATATAGATATGAATAATGATGATGATGACGATGATTATGATTCCGATGATGATGTTGATTTTATGGAATTAAACACTAGCTTAAGCGAAATGGGTGAACCATACTTGAAAGATTTCTGTAAAAGGGCTGCAACTTTATTTTTTAACGAGTATGGTCTTATTAGCCACCAGATCAACTCCTACAATGACTTCATCGGCAATGGTTTGCAGAAAGCCTTTGATTCCTTCGGTGAGTTAGTTGTTGAGCCTGGATATGATCCATCCAAGAAGGGAGAGAATGAATGGAGATATGCTTCAGTTAGGTTTGGGAAGGTTACTCTCGATAAACCGAGTTTTTGGGGTGGTTCAGATGGTACCGATCATAATATGCTACCTAGGCATGCCAGACTTCAAAATATGACATATTCATCCAGGATGAAAGTGAATGTTACTGTTGAGGTGAGTACGATAATTTACTTCTGTTACATTGAGCTTTGAGTTTCTCCTTGTTTTTTTGCATCTATTATTTATGCTTGCTTGGATATGGTATGTGCTTTATTTGATGGGGTGGTTCCTGATGCATAATACTCAATTTTAACGGACTAAAGCTACTAGAAGTTATATTAATTAAGATGCTCAATGCTCAATAAATGAATTTTGAGACTTAGCAACTTGATCGCATTTCAGAAAGCAACATGATATTATTGCTTTGTGTTTGTGCAACCATGGCATTTTCTTTTTCACTTCCCATTTCCCAGGGAAGAATGCTATGGAGAATGTTATAAATTGCTTTCTCCTCTTCCCAATAACTGTTCAATTTCTGTTATTTTTCTGCAAATACATCAGGTGTACACTCAGAAAGTCATTAGAAGTGACAAGTTCAAAACTGGGAAAGATCAGTTTGTTGACAAGGTGGTTCTGAGTACTGATAACAGGGATATTATAATTGGGAGGATACCTGTGATGGTGAAGTCTGATCTTTGCTGGATGAAGACAGCTGAAAGATCTGATTGTGACTTTGATCATGGTGGTTACTTTTTGATCAAGGGAGCAGAGAAGGTGAGTTTAAAGTTTGCTTTTAGTTTTTTCCTTCTCTCTTTTACCGCATAATTAAACCTGCATTTCCTAGATAAGGCATTTCAGGGGGAATTTGTGCATACCGAATGGATTTCTTTGATGAAAAACCAAATTAATCTTATTTCTCCCTGAAGCTTGGAATTCAAGATGGCTAGTACTTGCAAGAACTACACATGTTCAATTAGTTATTTGAATTGCTTGTCCTTGGTTTAGATTTGTGGTTAATCTCCCACCATTCTTCTTGTCTATATTGTGGTTGAAACTTGAAATAAAATAAATTTTTGCTAGGCTTTGCTATATTAGTCTATTGCTTTTGCAGTCTGTTCATTTTTTTACATTAGTGTTGCACCTCCATTGAAGGATTGTGCAATTAATTCTCAAAAAATTTCATTGATCAAATATTTTGATTTTCCATCCTTTTTCTTATTGCAGGTTTTCATAGCACAAGAGCAAGTTTGTTTGAAGAGACTATGGATTTCAAATATTCAGAGCTGGACAGTTTCCTATAAGAGTGAAATTAAGAGGAATAGATTAATTGTTAGACTAGTAGATCTTTCTAAAGTTGAGGACATTAAAGGAGAAAAGAAAGGCCTCAATGTGTATTTTTTGTCACTTTGCCTCAATTCATGATGCTGATGAGAAGTGTGAGGGGTTTCGCAATGATAGGGAAGCTCTTGGGTATGTGATTAAACAAATACAAGGAACTCGATTTCCGCCAGGGGAAACTGAAGACTGTATTAGCCTATATCTGTTTCCCAGTCTGCATAGCCCTAGGCAAAAGGCTCGCTTTCTGGGTTACATGGTAAAGTGTCTTTTGCAGGCATACAGTGGCCAAAGAAAATGTGATAATCGGGATAGTTTCAGGAACAAGAGATTTGAGTTGGCCGGTGAGTTGCTTGATCGAGAGCTAAAAGTACACATTGCACATGCACGGAGGCGGATGGCCAAGGCTCTGCAAAAAGACCTCTATGGAGATCGTGATGTGCGCCCAATTGAGCATTATCTGGATGCTTCTATAGTCACAAATGGTCTATCGAGAGCATTCTCAACTGGGGCATGGTCACATCCATTTAAGAGGATGGAAAGAATATCTGGTGTTGTGGCAAATCTGGGGCGTACAAATCCATTGCAAACGATGGTTGATTTGCGAAAAACACGACAGCAGGTTCAGTACACAGGGAAGGTTGGAGATGCTAGATACCCGTAAGTCAATAGTAGTTGTTTCTCATGCATTATATCAATCTGATATGCTAACTCTATAGCCAAAATAAACTATGGTTAATTGATTGATTAACTACATAAGTCACATATAACTCACCATATGCTGGCTCTTGGAAAACTGGATAATTTTAAGCAGGGTAAGGTCAAATAGTTGTTGGCGGAAAGAATTTATGGAGATATTGGATTATATATGCTCCAGGAATCACAACTCTTATTTGGAATATTACACTTGATTTGCTTAGATGAAAGGTTTTGCAATTGCTGCTTCTTTTTCCCTTAATATAATGTACTGCATGCAGGCACCCTTCTCACTGGGGTAGGGTTTGCTTTCTTTCTACTCCAGATGGGGAAAACTGTGGACTTGTAAAGAATTTGGCCATTACTGGACTTGTTAGTACAGAGATATTGGAACCTCTGATTGACATATTGTTTGATTGTGGAATGGACAAACTGGTTGATGATACCCATACTAAACTGGATGAGAAGTATAAAGTATTCCTGAATGGAGAATGGGTTGGAGTCTGTGAAGATTCTAATTTGTTTGTAGCTGAGCTTAGACGTTTGCGGCGGAGGAAGAAATTACCTCGACAGGTTCTCCTTTTTAATATATAAATAATAATAAATATTTAGTTATTTTTGTTCTTTGATTGCTATAGCCATTTTGTTTGACCTTTGCTTCTCTTTTTTTATGTGGTTTGTTGCTTTCCTAATGTTTTTGGTATTGATTTCTGGTAGGTGGAAATCAAAAGAGATGAACAGCAAAAGGAAGTACGGATATTTGCTGATGCTGGAAGGATTTTACGTCCCCTTTTAGTTGTTGAGAATTTACATAAAATAAAAGCATTTAAAGGGGGAAATTACACCTTTCAATCTCTTCTGGACAAGGGAATTATTGAGTTCATTGGAACTGAAGAGGAAGAGGACTGCAGCACTGCATGGGGCATCAAATTTCTTGTAGCAGGAGTTGATAAAAAACAACCTTTGAAGTACACACACTGTGAACTTGATATGTCCTTTTTATTAGGTTTGAGTTGTGGAATCATTCCCTTTGCCAATCATGACCATGCAAGAAGGGTCCTATACCAGGCTCAAAAACATTCTCAGCAGGCTATTGGCTTTCCCACAACAAATCCCAACATCAGAGTGGACACTTTGTCTCACCAATTGCACTATCCCCAAAGGCCACTTTTTCGGACTGTGACTGCAGATTGTCTTGGAAAACCTGGATATGCACGAGGCCATCATGGAATGCTGCCGAAGCCAGAATTGTTTAATGGTCAGAATGCTATTGTAGCAGTCAATGTTCATCTAGGATACAACCAAGAGGACTCCTTGGTAATGAATCGTGCCTCTTTAGAGCGGGGTATGTTTCGATCTGAACATATCAGAAGTTATAAGGCTGATGTTGATAATAAGGAACTATTAGACAAAAGGCGAAAGTTTGAAGATACTGTAAATTTTGGGAAGATACAGAGTAAAATTGGACGTGTTGACAGCCTTGATGATGATGGTTTTCCTTTCATTGGTGCAAATTTACAAAGTGGTGATATCGTTATTGGGAGGTTTGCAGAATCTGGGGCAGATCATAGTATAAAATTGAAGCACACTGAAAGGGGTATGGTTCAGAAAGTCGTGTTATCTTCTAATGATGAGGGAAAAAATTTTGCTGTGGTGTCTCTGAGACAGGTACAGTTGTGAAAACATGACACTTTGTAGCACATGTACAAATATAACATCTGTATGTTTGTGACTATTTATTCTTGCATGTTTTCCTACATACTCATACATGCACACATGACATGTCCACATGGGAGATTATACTTAGATGATCACGCCTTTTGCTTTGTTATATCATAGCAGAAAATATTACTTGTTCATTGGTTAAGCTTCTGACTTACCTGCAGGTTCGTTCTCCATGTCTTGGAGACAAATTCTCAAGCATGCATGGACAAAAGGGTGTTCTAGGTTTTTTGGAGTCCCAAGAGAACTTCCCCTTCACAAAAGACGGAGTAGTTCCTGATATTGTTATAAATCCACATGCATTTCCTTCACGACAAACTCCTGGTCAACTCTTAGAGGCTGCTTTAGGAAAGGGGATTGCCTGTGGTGGTCCAATGAGATATGCCACCCCTTTCTCCACACTGTCTGTTGAAGCCATAACAGACCAGCTTCACAGGTGACGATGCCTCTGATTCTTGTCATAAAATGCATTGCACCATGCAGAAATTGTTGATGCATAGATTTTTCAAAATTTTATTTTATCCAAGTTGCTTTAGAGTTAGAAATGAGAGAATGTTAATATGATACTTTTCTGGGTCATTACTGAGTTTGTTCCCTCACAGATAATTTTCATATTTGAGCTGTTCATTTGCACTAGTATTTGTGTGTTTCTCCTTGTTTTCTATAAATGATAGCCAGGATGATTTGTTCTATTGAATGTGCATGACAGAGCTGGATTTTCAAGATGGGGAAATGAGAAAGTTTGCAATGGTCGAACTGGTGAAATGGTTCGCTCTCTTATATTTATGGGACCAACATTCTATCAGCGGTTGATCCACATGGCTGAAGATAAAGTAAAATTTCGCAACACTGGGCCTGTCCACCCACTTACCAGACAGCCTGTTGCAGACCGTAAGCGTTTTGGTGGTATCAAGTTTGGTGAGATGGAGCGTGACTGCCTCATAGCTCATGGTGCATCTGCAAACCTGCACGAGCGACTTTTTACTCTCAGTGATTCTTCACAGATGCATATTTGCCAGAACTGCAAAAATGTGGCCAATGTGATTGAACGGACAGTGCCACCAAGCCGCAAGATTAGGGCCCCCTATTGCCGGATTTGTGAATCTGCTGATGATATTGTGAAGGTTAATGTACCTTATGGCGCCAAATTGTTATGCCAGGAGCTTTTCAGCATGGGTATAAGTCTGAAGTTTGAAACTCAGCTTTGCTGAGTTGTTATGGGTTCTGTCCTCGTTATCTATGGGCTTACTCAACTTTCTAACTCAGTACATGTTTTATTTGGTATATTCCCCAATGACCGTGTTGCCTGTATTGTACATGGTTGTTATGGGACTTGGTTCAAGTATTTTACAATATCATTTTGCCTTTGATAAAAGTAATTTGGGAAATTAGGAGAACAGACATGATAAAGTGAAAGAAAGAGAAGCTTCTGAATTTGGGTTTTATGTTTTTAAGTTTTTGGGCTCAGCCTAGTGCCTATTATAGCAAGTTTGAACAAGGACCAAAAAAGCATTTATGGACTGGGCTCAGCCTTTTATTACTATTTTTTTTAATGTATAGTCCATGTTGATTTTCTTAATGCCCTAATCTCAAATTTCCAAATATCACAATTGCATAACCATGGAGTCAACTTTGACATATATCTCCCACTGGCAGAAAAGAGCATAAAAGTGCAAGTACGGGAATGGATTAAAGCCCCAGAAGCAGAAGCCATTGCAGAATAATATAGTGTTGTGGTCAAACATAAAAGCATGTAATAATAATAATAATAAAACCCCAAAACCCCAAAGTAGAAATTAAAACCGGCTGGTCAACACTAGTCAAAAAGAACCAAGGCCCATATGTTCCCTCCCTGTTTCGGTGTCTCTAAAAACCAAATCTTTATTTTATTAATTTAAGTTTTCTCTCGCTCCTTCTTCTATTCTCGCCATAACCGAACAGAACATTCCCACACACTAAACAGAGTATGCACTGCAACGACGACATAGACGCTCCTTTCTAAATACCCATCTTTTTTTTTTCTCCTCTATCTGTATAAAGCTTTTTTCTTTTCACTGTAAAAGCTGAAGTCGGATTCCTACACGGCCTTGTCAGAAGGCATGAGGAAATCACGTGTCTTGTACTCGAATGGTTCTACCTACGATTGCCCCTCCTTCTCCAATCTCCTCAAAAGCGTTTTGGGTACCAATTCTTCCAGTGTTCGATTTCAGGTGTCGTCTTCTTTTATTTCATTCTTATATTCATTGTGTTTGAATGGGATTGTTGTACTTTATTGTTGTGATTTTGGAGACACTGATAGACATGGTGTGATTAGAATTTATCATAGAATTCTCTCTCTAATTTGGTTTCTTGGATTTATTTATTTTTCAATTAGGCATTTGTAGGTGTTCTAATTTCATAGATGTATTGTTGGAATAACTCGTGCAGTTCCAGTTCATTTGGCAATTTGTTGCCCTATCGTTGGGAAGTGGAATCACCCCTTTGGAGTTTTCTATTAGCGTAGTTTTACACTCTGACCTATGACTTTTCATATCTTTGACTAAATTTCTCATTTTCTGGATTCATGAATAAATATGTTCAGATATTATTAAATTTTAGGTATTTCTAGAAGTCTGTAATGCAACATTTAGTTCAATCTTTTTGGCAACCTCCTGTTCATTTACTCTGCTTCACTAATTTTTTGTTAGAATTATATATGTTCTATAGTGGGTGAAGAACTTGTCATTTTGTATAAACTTCAACATGGAAAAATTTAGAATAGCTGTTTTATATTTGACTCTTGGACTTACATGGCAACATGTCATAAGTATTCTTTTCTATTTTATTTTCCTTTTCAGTTCTGTAATATGGCTTTCTTTGAGCCTATTGGCACCGTTGACAGTCTTAAAATGTAAGGAAATATTTTAGGTCCTGTGGTTGGTTGGGTGGAGCAATTTATAATTTTATTTTGATGAATTTGTGGCCATGATTTGTTTATTATAAACTGTATGTTAGTTTATAATGTTGCATAAGACTCTCTAAAGTATAAAGAATACACGAGAAATTGTGAAATGCTGCTTACTTGGGATATCATATTGGCATGTCATAGATTTTTTTTTTATTTATATTTTTAGCAAGGTACCTCTGTTTATGAACTTCTTTAAAGTTGGTTTTGAGAATCGCTAGATGTATTTTTTTTATGCAGGGGGAATATGAGACATACCAACAAGATATTGTTGTCAGCACAGAGCCTAAATTGGCTGAAAGACAGTTAGAACTTAAGGTTGAATGTTCAAATCCTTCTAACATTATATCACCTGTTGCTCCAGCTGAGATTTTTGAGCCACATTCAGCACCTCCAATACCAAAACCTATGTCAATCCTTCATAAAGACTTGCCTGGGCAAGTATTAGAACAACCGAACTCTGACCATAATACCAGTCTCTCCCATATTGTTATGGAGACACCTCCCTCTGATGGTAATAGCTGGAGGAAGTATGGCCAGAAGCAGGTGAAGGGTTCTAAAAGCTCCAGAAGCTACTACAGGTGTTCACATTCTAATTGCCATGCGAAGAAGAAGGTTCAACGCTGTGATCATTCTGGTCGCATCATTGATGTTGTTTATATAGGTCACCATGATCATGATGTCTCTCGTAATAAATGCAACTTGTTGGGAAGGTCTGTATCGTCTGTTAGGCTTGCCGCAGGCAGCCTTGTTGACTCAGTTCAAAAGTTAGACAGTGAAGGTATATCTATCTGTGCGGAAGACGCCAGGCAATCATCAGTGCACGTGGCTGAATCAGAACAACTGAGTTCAAGTAGTTCTAATGGCAATGTTGGAATTAAGGTTGAGGAGCAGAATAGTAATGATATAGAGTCTACAAAATTGTAAGTTATTGGAAAAATACGACATCGTAAGATATATGTATCTGTTGAGCTTTTTGTTAATGTAATCATTATATTGTGATTATTGCTTATTCTTTTGCAATTTTGTTCTAGTGGGGTGAGACACCAGAAAAAGAGCTCTACTGGGATTGTAGATTCTGAGGTTCAGGAGAAGTGTGGTGCTGAACCGAGGCCCAAGAAAAGGCATGTCCATTGTAGAATTGAATTCTCTTGAAAGTTAAACCTGCTTTTGATTTTAATATTGACCTTTTAAAGGTATAATTGGTTGAGAAACAGGATAAAAGAAAGGAGCGAGGGGACTAAGATTGTTCTGCAGGCTGCTGCGGATGGGGGCAGCTCAAATGATGGCTATCGTTGGCGCAAGTATGGTCAGAAAATGGTGAAGGGCAATTCTCGATTGAGGTAATTTCAAATTAATATGTGTATCTATTAGTATTAGTGGATGGATAAGTCTCAAAAGATTCTTCTGTTGTAATCATACATACTCTTGTAGTATATCTGCATATGTGCTTGCTTATTTCTCTACATGCGATGATGATTTCTAGTGATATACTGAACTTTCATACTCAACCCAATCCAAATCACTATCTCCAACTTATTATCCCCTTGGCGACATGTCAGGAGTTATTACAGATGCACATCTGCAGGATGCCCTTCCCGCAAGCATGTTGAGAGAAACACAGATGATGCTACAACTGCCACAATAACGTACGAAGGGAAACATGATCACGACATGCCAGTTGCTAAGAAACAAAAAGGTTCAGAAAGTCTTGCTCATATTTCCTCTGCAACCATTGTAAAAGGTGATCACTGCAAGAAAACTAGAAGTTTATCCAGTAAAAGGATTTCACACAAGTGGTCAGTGGGGAAGGAAGGAGATTTGATGGATGAGAAGGTCTTGGAGCTTGGAGGGGAAAAAGCATTGGAGTCGGCTCAAACCCTTCTTAGCATTGGAATTGAACTAAGACCTTGTTAAAAAACAAATAGTAGTTCATGCATAGTTCTCAATTGAGCCCTGTTTTTGGCGGAGAGATTTTTTATCCTTCTTGATTTGAGTTTCAATGATTTTGCTTCATTTCTCACTCCTCCTTTAGTCTACAAAACTGCTGTCTTTTTGTATTTTCATCTTAACACATCAGTGATCTTTCAGCTTCTTGCCCTACATTTGGTAGCCACGACGGAATACAGTATGATATAATGTAATAATCGAAGGCAACTTCAACGTTCTACTATGATTCACCAAGCGTTTTGTGGTGTATGGAGAAAGACCGAATGTCTGACATTTCCAAATCAGTGACTAAATCTAAAGGAAAATCTTTAGATTGCAATGACCATGACAACAAAATCAAAGTTTCATATTTCTAGATCATCCATATAACATAAGTGCATGGAATTGGAATGTCAAAAAATTCTAACAATCACATAATTGCATGTTACAACAAATTATGATTATGGAAGGAACCAATTCTCGGCAAAAAATTTCGATGGCTGAATTACCACTTCCTACATCACTAAAGCCAAAACTAGATATGTAAACCTAGGTGTTTACTACTCTCCCTCTTTGTAATCTCCAGATCCATCTCAGACGGAAGGTTCTCGTGTCGCTGTGGGAAGCTCCAGCTCTGGTTCGAGCTCACCGAGTGGGGAGAAATAGCATTCCACCATGTCTTCACTTACTTCTTCTAAACTTGGAGGGTCCCACTGGAATATGAGAATCACATCACTAATGCGGTTAAAAAAGCTTGATCTAGTGCAAAACAAAATACCAAACAGGATATATCTAAAAAAGAGTCGATTGATTCACCTTTGGAGCAAAATCCTTATCCACTAACCGGGCCCGAACACCCTGTATTATACATTTATATTCACCAGTAATGTAAAATATGATCTTTCAAGTGCTCCTCAGATGAAACCTACTAAGAAGAGAAGAACATACCTCAAACAAATCTTTAGAAACCGTTTTGGAGATCCCAGTAAGGGATATTCTATATTCGCGAGCTAGACACTGATCCAGCGTTTGAAATCTACCTTCTCTTATCTTATTGCAACATTAAAACTTCAGATAAGTCTACAAAGCCAAAGTTCAGACTGACATATAAAATGTTGTACAAACTTACTGAGCGCAAGGCAACTTTTAAGCTTAGTGGAGATGCTTCTTTTATTTTTATCAGTGCTCTTTTGCACCATTCATCACAAGAGCTAGCTGCCTCATTTTCCTAAGAAAATTGATGGTTGAAAACAATTAAAATTAGTAGTCAATAACGAACTGCACCAGAAAGGAAGCTGTAGCATATAATATGGAACTTACTAGTGCATCAATAATTTCCTCTATTGTATCATGGCCGAAACATTTATCAAGCGTCTCAATCCTTGAAACAAGAGAAAAATTTAAAGAGGGAAAAAGCTGGATATATATGTTAGATGAACTTCAATCAAACATACGAAACCATAAATGAATTATATATGAGATACCTTCACAGCCAAATTTTTATGCATTTTTTAAGTGAGAGAAGAGTACCAAGCTTCTGCTTCACACCTCCCCTGAACACTTAATCGCACCTATTTTCGCTCAATTGAATTGTTCGTTCAATTTATTTAGACATGCAACAAGAAAATTTTTCAAATAGTACTTTGCAGACTTGCATTTCAATCTCTAAAACAAATTACAGATGCTAATTTTATGACCATAGATAAAATAAAAAATACAATAAGAAAAGAGTGGAAAAGGAAAAAAAAAAAAAGACAAAATAAGGCTTACTTATGGAGGACACTTGTCTTTTCCAGATAGACAAGATCACCATACTGTGCAAGAGAAGTCTCTATGACAGTACGATCATCTGTGATCAATCCACCAAGGCGTTCCTCAACCCAAGGAAGTTTCTGCCCAGAAAGTTCATTCATTACTATGATCAACAGTAACAACAGACAGAAATATAGTCAAAGTGTATTGAGAACAAACCACATTTAATGAGTAGTGGGTAGCAAGCCCACATGCTATCATCTCTGCACCATTAAGCTTATCTCCTGTTAATGCCAAGTATTCCCCTAAAACGAAGAAAAAAAAAAAAAAAGCAACATCCACCAACTAAATTCTCCAATTATAGAAATTTAACAGTATAACAAAAATCTCATGTTATATATTGTAAAACATACCCAGGTAACCAGGTAAGCGAGAAAGATAATAAGAAGCCCCCGCATCAGGATGGTAACCAATTTGAGCCTCAGGATGAGAAAAAACCTGCAAAATTAGTGCAAATAGGAGGTGATTTCCTTGAAAACACTATTGTGTAAAATTAAAATATTTTCACCAATGCAATAAAGCAAAAAAGATAAACTTAACAATCATCCAACTAAAGTTGTCGTTCTATTGAAGTTTGCCTCTCCAACAAAAATAACATTTTAGTAGTAATAATCCTTTTTTTGTTTTTTGCACTAATTTAAGGAGAAGGATTTCAATACTTAAAAGAAGGATGAACCAACACAGTTTAGTCAAAACTGCCACCAGTAGGCTGCAGAAAAGTGACATACTGTTTTATCAGTTACAATGCGAAACATTCCTGGTAATGAAATTCCTGCCCCACATCCCATTGTGATACCATCCAAGATAGCAACCTGTAAAGAAAGTCAATTTTATTTCATGAAACAGAATACCAGAAACCAAAACATCTATAGAAACTAGAAACTTTTCAGGCACAAAGGTTACATAGAAGATGATGCAATATTTCAGACAAATAACAGAACCTCAAAACTAATCTGAGATCTAATCACAAAAGTACAGTATAGTTTATTCTCACATGTGGCTTCAAATATGTTCCTTGCAGATAGACAAACTTATATAACATCTGAAAAAAGCTCTTACATTCTTCAGCTTTCCCTGCAAGAACAAAAGAAGTTGAAAATCATGTAAGCTACAACAGATTAATCGTGATGCGGTAAATAATGACACAAAAGCAGCATCTAAACAAGAAGCAACATTCATAAGTTAATTCTTGAAAACAAAGAGAACTCAGCTGTCAATACAATATGAGTACCGTGTAAATTATTATGCCTGCACATGATCAAAACAGTTGTGAAATATAAAAGCAACAGATTCCCAAATTATGATTTAGTAAATTGTTAAGCAAAGACTGCATCTCTGTTGATAATTGGAGGCAGCACAAACAGCTTTATTCAAACTAAAGATAATTAAGCTGCCAATATAGCAGTAGCTACAATTGTGAAATAAAAATTTATGTCCAAAATCAGGGCTCAACTTCCAAGCAGCTATGTACACACCCTTTCAGTCCAACCAGTAATGTTCAAGAATCCCAGGTTTACATAATTCCCAAAAATAATTTTCATCTGATCAACCAGTATGATCAGATGTGATCATCACAAAAGTCAGTATGGAATCCACCAAATGATGGTCCACTGCAGAAATGAAAAAAAATTTGCTTTCGCCAGGAAAACTGGAATTTTGCTACACAAATGTTAAAATTGTAATGTTCTGATTCCTTAGGATCAAAACTACTGATAAAGGAGAAAAATGGACAGAATAATTGAGTTGTTAAGGAACTCACCTTGATTAACTAATTCATTGAGGGAAACAAAATCCCCGCCTGAACAGAAAGCCTTGCCACTACCCTTCAAAAGATTTTATGAAGCAGATTAAATGCAATGGCTAGCCAAATTAAAGCACAAAGACTTTTTTTTTAGTATATTTTTAAAAACATTTCCAAAAACAAGTACACTGCAGTTGGCAAAGAAGAATGGGGTTTACAATTCCCATCGAACAGCTGTTAAACCATTCAAGAAGCAAGATAAAGTGTGTAATACCTTCATCAAGACAAATCCAACATATGGGTTTTCTTCCCATGATTCATACAGTCTCTTGAGCCGAGTCACCTACCAAGGGAAAGAGGTTCAAACTTATCTAGAATTTCTTTATTTGTATGTTTGTTTGTCGTATGGACATCTAATACAAACTAAAAAACAGTTGTAAGCACACAAAAAGAGAAGAAAGATGGAGAGAGAGAGAGAGAGAGAGAGAGAGAGCAAACCATGGGAGTATTGAGGGCATTAAGAGAAGATGGTCTATTGAGAATGGCTGCTCTTGATTTCGCTCTTCCTACAACCAAAACCTGAAATCACAACTTGTATAAGCTCCATTTATGTGGGTGGTTTTGCATCACTTTAATAAACGAGAGCAAACGACAGAGACACAGAATATTCACAAAAGACCTCAGAATAAAAAATAAAAAAAGTTCTTTTGCGATTCGGGTCGAATACACACACACAGTCCACAAAGACAGAGAACGGAGAGAGAATTGACCTGGTCCTGGAGATCATCATTTTGAGCGAAGTTTGGGAGAGCAGAGAAGTCTCTCTGTGCAGAGAGAAACCCAACTCTCGAATTTATTGAATGCCTTATTTTTATCAATTCTTTTAATCTCTGCATCTCTCCGTCTCTGTTGGATGTTGCTCTTCCGTGGAGGCCTTTCTACGAACTGAAAGCAGAGTGCCGCCTTGGTTCGGCGAAGAAGAAGAGAGTCAGCGTGTGTCTACTGTGACTGATGCGCGTTGTCCCTAATGGCCGAGATGGACCGGATCGGACGCCAGAGCCCAATATGTAACATGTATGCCCATTACTTATCTCTTTCCACGGAAAATTAACTAATTTTAGTTGTAAATCTCGGAGGAATTTATGTAACCCTATGTTGCATAGCCTCATTTCATTTCCGAGATATCAAAAAATTGAAACTTTATTTTTTTTAAGGGGAAAAATGAAACTTTTCGAATTTCGTCAAAAACCCATTTTTATTTCTTTTTTTTTGTTTGTTTTTATTGCTTTGCTTTAAGCAATTTTAATTATCTACTAGCTCCACTGGAAATTATATAATTTTAGGAATTGAAATGTTTTAGTGTAACAATTTAATGTTTTAAATTGTAAATGTTCACAAGCAGAGTTGGACTTGAAGATGATCAATTAGAAACAAATGTCATCTGCTGCTCTTTCCTGTACACTAGAACATTTCCAACTATATCAAGTAAACCTATCAACTTGAAAAAGCATGACCTGCCTCCAGCCCTTCAAATGGAACAGCATATGGTGAATCCCAGTCAGCATCAAAGATCTTCTGAAGTTGTAAAACAATAGCAGGGTTGTATGTCCCAAAGCTGACACCAGCTGTTGTATAGAAATAATCCCATACAAGGTTGCTTGTTCCAATGTGGGCTCTTACGTCGCTTACTGCATATTTTCCATGATTTACTCTGGTAAAAGCAGGGTATTTATTCCCTGTTCTTTTTCCATTCCTGGTTGCAGGTCCTGTCAGGTTGTAACCAGGAACCACATAGTATTTTATCTCCACTTTACCGTGGCACTTGTTATACTTAGAAGAATTACAGAGGATATCGGAATAAAGGAGAGACTTCAGATACTGATCTGTGTTGTCGATGAAATGTGCCCAGTATGCTACCAGTACCTTCACCGTTGCATGCTTGGAGAAGATTACCTATTATTCACCAAAGTCTAATGTAAGGCATTGAAAATAGGAAACCAGGCTTCACTTCTGCTGTGCGTGTGCGAAAAAAGAGCTATCATTCTAAGATGCATCTCCCTAAACCTCATCAAGCATGGTAGTAATAAATATTTTGAGGTATTGCTGAAACACTAAGAGGCTGGCTAACCAGTTATAAATAAGTGCAGCAATGCTCAAGAGCATAAAAAATTACTGATATTCAGAAAAATGGTTACCTCAGATATTGCGGAGGAGAGAGATGACCAATAAACCTTTTCCTTTGTAAATTGAGATTGGCCAAGCCAATCCATGGTATTAATCCTAACTGTTGATCCACTTCCAACAGATTTTATTGTATCAATCCACCCCTGCTCATCAGTCTGGTACTTGCCAAATGATAGCTGGTAACCAAATATGGGATCAAAACAAGTGAAGCATGAAAAGCCATGGGGATATGCATTTCGTCATTTTGGGAGATTCCTCTATTTTGAATGAAGCTATGGGACCAAACTTCATTCAATCAAGTAAGAAAAATGTTTTAAAAAGCCACAAAAGAAAGGAAAAAATGTTTCTGAGACTGGCAGCAATAATCATGAGAACTACAAAAGGTTATAGATGCAAAATTAATTACTTAAGTGAAAATTAAAAAATACACATTAGTCAATTACCTCAGGAGGAGCAAAAGATAGATAGCTCAGATAAGGCTCCAAAGTTGAAAATCTTTGCCCAGGAGTTTTAATTGGAACTTTAATCATATGTGGGTCTGATAATACAGGATAGCCTGCAACATGTGGAACCTCCACAAAAGTTGGAAGAGGAGATCTGCAATGACAAATTACATGTGGTTATTACAAAGTTAATGAATGTTTTTCTTTATAATTTTTTATTTTACTATCAATAGGAAAGGAGGGGAAAACAATTTACAAGCAAAGTTCTCATAAGCAATACAACATAATAAATTGTTAATGTTTCCTGCACCAACTGCAAAGATGTAGTCCAAATATGAGAACTTATAATTAAGTTGAATGAATTATGGTAGGCTAGCAAATTGTAAGCGATAGACGGATCGACCTCAATAAAGAGGCCAGCACGCATAAGACATAACATATGCTTTCTGACCTCACTACGCAAAAGTTAGTGAAAGACAGTAGATTCTTATCGGCCCAATCATTTGACCTAAAGAAATTTCATTGCCTTGAATAAGGTATTCACTCTTGGCAACCTTGACTAACTTATTAAGAGACACTTCAACAAATCTCCTCCAATCAGCAGCAGAGATCAAAAAAGCTTTCAAAGATAACAAAATAAAAATGAACAATATGCAAATTGTGGTCATCTCTGATAATCAGTTGTTAGGTTCAATATCCAGTAAACGTCTACCATGAAATGCTTTCCTCTTAACACATGCATTGCAATCCCCTAGTTGAACTCTCACTTCTGATATATAGAAATACGAAATTCCATAAAAAGATTTCAACTTCTAAAGGTGCAAATATGTGAAATCAAAAGAAGCAACTGAGGAATACAGTATCTGGGTTCTCGACTCTTTGAGGGTAAATAATTTTACATCAATATACCTTCAACTTTATATTTCAAAGAGGAACCAATAGAAAGAAGAAACCTTGTGACATACCTGCACCTTGCTTTAGAGTCAATGAAATGTGACCAACACGGAACAGTTCTATTGATCTGCCACTGCTGATCCCATACTGATCTAGTGTAAGCAGATGAATTAAGATGGGCAAGTTTCCATAGGTTTTCAAAGTAAGTCTCAACTTTTCCCACTATTTTTTTACATCCAACAAGATAAATTCCAACCTCCTTAACCTGAATCAATAACCATGTGACAATAAGGTAACTCTTGCTTCCTTGACAAAAAAATTAAGCAACTACTGAATAAGCAAGTCGTAATACCTGAGTAAGAGATTTCCAATCATTGTTTGCAGATCCAATATACACATCTCGACTGTCGGATATCCAAACTTTGGCATGAACTATACCTGAACCCCACCATTCGCCAAGTAACAAAGTTACATTGTCCACATTTAGCCTTCCTGAAGCAAGATCATTGGGTTCTTTGGTGAAGTCAGGATAGACACCTGAGTGCTGTAGTAATCTGAAACATATACAGCAACAACAGCTTCTCTATATAATCGGTGACATTTTCTCGAGATGAAAACACTTACATAAAGAAAATAACCCACCTGATACTAACATTGCGATCGGCGGCGTTTTCTATGGCTTTATAAACGCCAAAACCTTCAAAAGCACCGAACTTTTCCATGTCGCTTTTGGAATATCCATAATCCCCGGAACGAGGATCTTTAGAGTTCGCAATTAGTTGCCAGTATTGAGCTATAATATCCAATCCCTTGGTAGAGTTACCAGCCAACCAACGGAGAACATCTCCTACAAGAAGAAATATTTGCATTTCTTTTTCTTGTTTTCCTTGAGTTCCTCAGGAACCAAACAGAAAAAAAGGAAGAAATGAATTACCGGTGGTGAGAACGCCAGGAACGCGACGGAGTTGGGGCATGTCGGTGGGAATCGATTGGACAAGCCATGCTTTGCATTTTGAGTCAGCTTGAGTTATGAAGAAAAGATTGGGCAAGAGAAACAGAACAAGTGCAATGCCAATTTCGTTTCTGAGTCTCATCTTGGCCATCAAGTCTGGTCCTTTTGCTCCCCTTTTACCCTGTCCAACGGTCAAGAACCTACCTTACTACGTGGTAAGAGAAGCTATATCTAACCTACAGTGGCTGTTCATGACCATGGTTGAAAAAGTCAAAATCCAGAATTTGACTACATTGTAAACAAGTTTTTAAATTACATATTTACCCTCCAAGTTTGTTTTTTTGTTTTTCCAAATTTTGAGTTTTTTCTATTTAATGCATTAACCCTAGTTGCGTGATTTGGGGATGAAAGAGTTGGATCAAAGAAATCAGCACCTGATTGCTTAATCGACAAATGTTTGTCCAGCCCAGTGATGGGCTTGCACAGCACATAGTTTATAAACTCAACAATCTATAAAATGCCACCACACAAACACGTGAGGGATGAACATATTGAGATCTTTTGCTATCTGTTCCGATTAGTGGATTCACATGATGTTCTAGAAATTGCCAGTATTCGGGATTCTGGATCTTCGTGCTTCTATTACTATAATAACAACGTACCATCTGAACACTAAAATAACAAAGTTTGATTATTTAGAGTAGAGAGCACCACAGCACAGATAAGAAAGATGATTAAAGGTAAAAGAAGAAGAAAAAAGCTTTTTGCTAACTGGACAACTTTTCTCCAGGAATCTGCATGAACTTCGTATATAAACAATACATAATCTGGAAACTGGAACCAACAGACGTTAGAAACTAAAAGCCAAAAGGAAAAAAAGGACAAAAAAAATATATGATTACATCTTTTTCCCCCCATAAGATAAAAGATATAAACCCATAATGATCAACTACAACAAAATCCTACCACTTTTTACACTTGAAATAGATTTTAGTTTTTTTCTTCACTTTCTTTACTAAAAATGGTGAGGCTGGAAGTCCATTTTTTAGGAGATGGAATGTCTCCTGTGTCTTGAAGATGAGCCAGAGGATTTGGTGTCCCCTGGAACCATTGAAGTTGGGCTTTGTGAACTCCCAGATGTCTCTGAGCTTCTGTTCTCTCCACCATGACCTTTTCCCACAACCCACAACTTGTCAAATATCCTCCTTGATCGAGATGGCAGTAACTGTATACCGCTTTTACTGTTCTTGCTGTTTTTCTTCATCATTTTTCCAGTCTTCTGAAGTTCTTCATCTTTTATCTTCAGTTGACTCATCTGCTTCTTGACAGATTTGTTATCATCTGCTGCTGCTTTTTCCCATTCTTCATCTGTGTTTGTCGTGGAATTTGTAGCATCCCGGGGAACGTTGTTGAGAGCTTGAACACCAGCACTTGCTCTAACCTGCTCAAAAAAGAGAACTTGCACCACGACACGAAGTGGGAGCCGCTCATTCTGTGCAGCATGCATGGATGCATTCACTGTGAATTTTTTGACATCCATTAGTCCACATATCTTCTTCCTTTCAGCCTTTGTCAAACTTGGATGCTCCTGAAACATGATAACCCATTCAGTATGTCATATTAATTAACATCTTCAATTTCATAAAATGGTCATTGGTTGGTACGCATTGTGTTTTGCGTCACGGTTGAAACAGAAAGGCAATATATCCAGAAAGGAAACTAATGAGGACAAAAAAATTTTGGATAAGCTTTAAAGATTTTCTCGCTTAGGATAGAACATGAAAAATGAATCTATGATAAGCTTTTGATCATACCCTATCCACCCAACCCTGAGCAGTTAAAACCATTTTCCATCCCCAGGGACAATGTAATAATGAATATCAATAAAGGAATGCATCCTAAAGAACTAGCATCTCCAATCTAACATTTTGCACTTTGAGCATGTTAAAAGCATCAAAACAACATTGAGAATTACAAAACATCCCACAAACGTCACACACAGAAAGTGTTAGTCTAAGAGCTTGTACATTGAAAAAAATGCAATATGCAAATGATTTGAGCTAGAAAGGCTACCTTCAGATAGGTGTCAATGGCTTTGTACAGTCCATCATGATTTGGTCTGGCAGACTCTGGAATTGACTGTGACAAGTCAATGAAACTGGCGAGGGTGAGATTTGGGTCCCGTGCAATTTCTGAGAGATATCCATCAACTATTTTTCCAACATTCAACATGTATCCATGACCGCGCCGCAAAACAAAATCATCAGTTTCATCATTCTTCTCAACACTCAAATCCTGACTGTACTTTTCATGAGTCACATAACAATTCACAAGAGATTGTACCAACTCCACATCATATAATGTGGTCTGCGGGGACCTTGCTGGGATCAGTAAATCCTTCACAGAAGCCTCATGCAACTTTAAACTGATCCTTTTCTCCAATTCTTCCCTAGGTGAATCATCTACTCCAACAGAAATGGCAACTTTCAACAATTTCAGCAAGAAACCACATGAACAACCCAAACCCTTATCCGAAGGCAACAAACAAACAAGTGTTTCTACCAGATATTTGTACCTCCAGGAACGACCATCAGAAGTCAAATCATCAAATGCATCCGGAAGCCATCTGACTGCATAAGTTTTAAGTGCCTCCCCGATAACTGTACCATCCATTCTTCCCTTTGATTTAACAGCAATCATGACTCGCTTGTAGAGATCAATATCCAGTTCACATATATCTTCAACCCACCAATCCTTTGGAACAGAGTCGACTTTCTCTCGAAACTTCATACCATCTTCAACTATTTTATCACGCACTGATAATTTTCTGTTGTAAGTGTATGACCAAGTAATGTTTGCAGGATCCACAGAGGTTTTAGATGCAATAGAATCAACACACCTTCCCACAATCTTCAAATCTTCAGACCAGGGCAGAAGGGATTTGGTGGTTTGAAGAACAATGATGGAATCCTTCCAGCTACGGAAGATGCTCGAGTTTAGAAATACCTCAATTTTGAAAATGAGATTTCCTCGATCAACATCCTCAGTCATCTCAAGGTACTCAGCTGCACAACGAGCAGCTACTACATTGTAAGCATTGAGAGTAACAATCATCCCGTAGCAGAATTTTGCACAAATTTCAAAGGCCTTATGCCCACCAGGAAAATCAAGCATATTAATTTCATCGGAATTCTCCTCACTGGCTTTCAATACTAGTTTTTGCAATCGATTACTCTTTGACAAGAGAGGGAACTGCAAATGCATATTCCAAAACATATCAAGACCGTGTTATGGTGGAACGTTTTTTCTTTTATTTTTGAAAAAGAAAACATTGCCCGAGTCGGGTAACATATCTTCACAGACCAAGCATTCAGCAGCTCATTAACTAAAATGATACACGCCTTAAATTTGAATATAGTAAAATATCAAAAAACTAGAGATCCAAATTAACAAAGATAGTAAGTTACAATGAATCTAGCTTCTGTATAGCACAGCATCAGGAATGGCAAGGGCCATATCTCATGCACATGCAGTTACACTACAATTCCGACAAGAAAAAGGTTGGACATCTAGCTATTCACTTTAGCATCATTTAGTGTCTTAAGGAATAAGCAATACTATGAAATGCACCAGATTATATGCGAAACCTTGCAATATCAAGATTTATTGGTACTGTAACACCATATTTCATGCTTGTAGTTGGGTAATAAAACACAAGAATTACTTCAAAAAGATAAAAAAAAAAAAAATACCCTTGATAATGTCCATGATTGCTCAATGGAATACAGCTATATCACTGTTTCCTTATGAAAATAAACCACTAAAAAAAACGTTGGCCAAGATGATATAAAGAATATACCTTGTGAAGGTAAAACTTAACTTCACCTATATTTATGGTGACATCTGTAGCCAGCTCGGATGACACGTACCTGCATGAGAGCACATTGATCATGATGAATTCACACAGAGCAGACAACATTCCACCTGTGATGGGCAAGCAATAAATGCACTACAGAACTGGAAGGCACCAAGAATAGAGGAGGTAAAATAATAAGAAAGTTGATTTTGGTTCCTTCAACAGTCTAGTAAAATATATGAACCTCTAGGCAAACATAAGTAACTATGTAAACAACGCGTTTAAACCTTTAAGAGATCAAATCTCCAAAATGCAGAAAGGAAACAAGATTGGCACTAACCTACCGACATACCAGTTTTCCTCCACAAATCAGAACATGACAGACAGGATTAGTCACCAAAATACCAACAAGAAAAACCGGAAATTTGGATATAAGGCGCATCAACAGATCCATAATCTCATTTTTACTGGCATAAAATATTATATATTGCAAACTTGTCCTCGTCCCAGCAAAATTAAATTCTCCCAAACTAGATGTCTAGAACTCCCAACACGATAGGTGTCAAGGCGCAAAGTCATGCTGATATTATTGCGCAGGCAATTATCAATCTACCTCTGTTTAAGCTTGACGTATTATTAGTATTATTACGCAGGTAGGGAGAGTAGTATGCATGTTCAAAAATATCCATTTCTTCGAATCCATCTTTCTTTTTAAGACACAGGAAGTTGACATACAATGCGATAAACCTACTAAAGAAATTACATTTCCTAATCAGGTAACTAGGCCGCCCCCAGCCGCCCCCGCCTCTCCATCAAAGAAAAAAAAAAGGAAAAGAGAGAAGAGTACGCTCCTAATCAAGATAAGGAAATGCAAATTGTACAGCAAAAATTCGCTTGCTTTGATTATTAAAAATCCCGGCATACACTGGATGCACGTTACCGCATCTGGACCACCTACTCACTCATAAAAAGAGGACTCAATTGCAGAGGACCACCTTCAGACAACTCTCCGCCTCCGCCTCCCCGCAACCCCCCCCCCCCTGGCTCTTGTCTTTTAATAACAAAAAAAGAAAAGATTAGGAATACAAGAAAAAAAAAAAAATGAAGGAATATAGAAACAAAGGATCAAAAGACGAAAGCCCAATGAGTCTCACGCCTCCCTTACCACATCCCACCGAGGAATAATTAAAGTAAGATATATCGCAACATTAGTACAGCAAAAATTCGCTTGCTTTGACCTTATTAAAAATTCCCGGCATTACACTGGGATTGGCACGTTACCGCTATTCTGGACCACCTACTCACTCATAAAAAGGGAACTCAATTTGCATGGAGGACCACCTTCAGACAACTTCTTCCGCCTCCGCCTCCCCCGGCAACCCCCCCCCCCCCAATGTGGTAGTGATAGTCTTAAACAATAGCAACTGTAAGAATAATCCCCCCCCCCCCCAAGTGGTAGTGATAGTAACAATAGCAACTGTAAGAATAATCTTCTTACCAAGATAAATGTCATATTTTTCTTTATTTTTTGAGTAGCACTAAATAGTTTACAAGTAATAGAGCGTCTGTCTAATGTTTAATTTGGAGGGTTAAAATCTTTTTCTTTTGTGTTTAAAATATACAACGAAAACAGGAGATATGCTTTATTTAGCAAAATCACACGAGATAATAAAAACAAAATGAATGAATATCATATCCGACAAAAAGAGAAAAAAAAAAAAAACACACGAAAGAAAAGCAGTAATTAAAGCAAAACAGAACGAAAGAAAATGAAAGGTGAAGAACAGAGTAAAAGAAAAACAAAGCTTGAGCTTGTCAGTCAATGGCACACAAGTAAAATGCAAAATCCTCTCACCTGATGGATTTTCCTTCAGCTTGAAAAGCATCAGGCTTCGAACCCAACTTCATAAACTTCATTTTTTTTTATCCCAAAATTACCCCTACGGTGAGCGAAAATCCACAATAAAGCCTTTACGTAAGTACGCAAACCAGACCTCTGTATTCACTGAAACTGCCCATACCACACCAGCAAATTCTCTGAGCTTCTAAGATGACAAAAATTTGAAGACTTTTCTGTTTCTGCGAAGCACAATCTCGAAACCCAGACCAAAAATGGCGGGTTCTTGAGAGGGATTAGTATCTGTCTCTCTATATGAAACACGCTACCAGCAGACCATAATATACATTGGACTGAGACAGGTACTGCCTTTACACGAAGACCTCGACTTTCGCGTCGTCCCCATTGAATTCAAGCCTTAATAATACCTTCATGTCTGATTACGCTCATACAGCCAGAGACTAAAATGATGGGTACCCTCAACCGAAACTACAGACTCACAGAGAGAAAGAAAGTGAGAATAGTCCGGTCTAGTCCAAAGAGTAAATTCAAGTAAGAAAAATCGTGTAGATGTGGAAAAATTAGAGAGAAATAATAATTACAGATGACAGAAAAGCTTGCGTTAGAGAGAGAAAAGGAAAAATCTGCTTTGTGTGGAGGGAAAGAAGAAGAAAAATGGCGTCACAGAAACAGAGAGAGAAATAGGAAATATAGCGTAAGAGAGAAGAGAAACGAAGAAAAAGAAAATAAAAATGGAATGGACCAGCTATAAGGAGAGGGTGTTAGAGAGAGAAAGTAATTCTCTCTCTAAAAAGCTCTCATATCATATCAATAAATTCTCGCCGCCTTTGCTTTAAATCACCCTGATCTGCTCGAGATCTTCTCTCTCTCTTTCTTGCCTTCTTCGGGCGCAAATCTCAATGACTCTTTCCTTCTCTTTCTCTGTAACAGTACGCGATCAATGGTGATCGGGTTCACCTCTGACGCGGTTGTCTCCTCTGAGGCCTGGAACAGTGAAATTTTCCAGGAAAAATAAAAAAAATTCCGGGAAAAATTCAGAAAAGCAAATGCGTTAAATGCTAATGGCTCCTCTATGGGTTGGTTTATATGGGGAGGAGTAGTGTGTACTTTCTGTGTGTACAGGAGTATAGGGGGACTGCGTTACAGGGTGGCTCAAAGAGAGAAAGGGAGAGGCTTTTATGCCGTTAAAGCACGCCATCCTTTTATTTCCAATTTTGCCCCTATTTATCCTTTCTATTTATCGCTTATGACACTTCGTTTATTGTCCTCTTCCATTTTGACGCGTAGTTTTTGTTTTTGACTTTATTTTTAAAAAAATTTCTATTTAACCATGCTTGCCCATTCTGCTCTAAAATGGTCCAATCACTGCGACGAGGCCCACTATTAAAAATGGTCCATTCCATTAAACTTTTTTATTTCCTATTTTTTTAACTAGCTTTTTTTTTTTTTTTTTTTTTTTTAGGCCCACTATTTTAAAAATGGGTCCATTCCATTTAAACTTTTTTATTTTCCTATTTTTTTAACTAGCTTTTTTTTTTTTTTTTTTTTTTTTTTTTTTGAAAAATTCAATTTTTTTTTTTTTTTTTTTTTTTTTTTTTGAAAATTCAATTTTTTAAACTAGCTTATTAGAGATTTATTTGCTTATACTCGATTTGTAAGCTCATCTATAAACTAAATTAATAAAAATTATATTTTTATTAAAACCTAGTATTTAACCATCTACTAAAAAAAAATTAAAGAAGTAATAATTTTTTTTATTTTCATTAATTTAATCCGCATAACTATAATATAAACATGATCTAATTAAGTTTAATATTAAAAATTAATATATAAAATGAAACATAAAGATATGTAACGTTAATCAAAAATATTAAATGAAAGAAATTATTCGTAAATTGTTTAAAATTCAATTGAAAAACAGCAAAATCAATAAATTCAATCACTCGGATCAGAATTTAAATATAAGGTTATAAAAAATTGTATACCAATTTTACTGGAGTTTTTATTTTTTTTAATTTTGAGTATATTTTATCGAATTGAATTCGAATTCAATAGAACCCAATTCAGATTGATTTATTTATCACCCAACTGATTCAATTTAAATAAGAAATATTTGTTTCAATTAATTCTATTTGATTATGGAAACTCTGATAGCTAAGGAAAGACCCAGTTGGATCTGATACTGTATATTATAACGTTAATCAAAAGTATTAAATGAAACAAATTATTGGTAAATTGTTTAAAATTCAATTGAAAAACAGCAAAATCAATAAATTCAATCACTCGGATCAGAATTTAAATATAAGGTTATAAAAAATTATATACCAATTTTACTGGAGTTTTATTTTTTTTAATTTTGAGTATATTTTATCGAACTGAATTTAAATTCAATAGAACCCGATTCAGATTGATTTATTTATCACCAAACTGATTCAATTTAAATAAGAAATACTTGTTTCAATTAATTCTATTTGATTATGGAAATTCTGATAGCTAAGGAAAGGCCCAGTTGGATCTGACACTATATATTATAACTTTAATCAAAAGTATTAAATGAAACAAATTATTGGTAAATTGTTTAAAATTCAATTGAAAAACAGCAAAATCAATAAATTCAATCACTCGGATCATAATTTAAATATAAGGTTATAAAAAATTGTCTACCAATTTTACTGGAGTTTTTATTTTTTTTTTTAATTTTGAGTATATTTTATCGAACTAAATTCAAATTCAATAGAACCCCAATTCAGATTGATTTATTTATCACCCAACCGATTCGATTTGAATAAGAAATACTTGTTTCAATTAATTCTACGATTCGATTTGATGAATTTAAGAAATACTTGATTTTCCAATTTAATTCTATTTTGATTTTTAATTTTGAGTATATTTTATCGAACTAAATTCAAATTCAATAGAACCCCAATTCAGATTGATTTATTTATCACCCAACCGATTCGATTTGAATAAGAAATACTTGTTTCAATTAATTCTATTTGATTATAAAAACTCTGATAGCTAAGGAAAGGCCTAGTTGGATCTGATACTATATATTATAAAAACAGACTTATAAAGAAAAATGAGATGATAGGGATGGGATTAGAATTAGATCACCAAAGCCCAAGTGTTAGGCCAGCAACTAATTAATTTTAAACTTTGTTCATAAAAATAATTAACATAAGCACATAAGAAATCATCATCACTTATTTTTTAATTTCATAATTTGATTGCGAAATCAGACTGTGCCCACTACAAACTATTCACATTAATTACACAATCTCCTCTCATCTCATGCATGTGATCTGCAATTTTTGGCCAAGCACAAAATATCAATGAAAATTATTATTTAAAAAAAAAAAAAAAAAAAACCGTTAGGGTCTAAATCATCAAAATTTATACTATCTGTTTCCATTAGACAACACTTTTATAAAATCAAAATAGCATAAATTATTTTATTTCGACTTTATTTTTATTCGAATATTTACATTCAATTTTATCCCAATTAAATAAGTATTAATTAATGAATTAAAATAAAAAATAATCAATCATGTGTACCATTTGAATAAATAAAAAATGAATCATGTAATCATGTAAACATAGATTGATTGGATATGTGAAAACTATTCCAAAGTAACTTGCTTGACTTATAGCATTTACGTAAATAAATAAAAAGTAAGGAATCCGAGGGTGAAAAAAAAAATAAAGTTTATATCTTTGATTATTATTATTTAGGTTAAAAGTTAAATCTGAATAGTTCGTGAACATGGGCACGTGCAATTGTGTTCATATGATCATCATTCCTCAATTTAAATTAGGGCACCAATTCTTCTTTTTTAAATTATAAGAAGATTTTGAAATGAGATCGAGAATTGAATGGATGTTTTAGAATAATGTTTTTGATAGATTAGAGTATTGAAATTAATACAAATCAATGACATGAAATTTGAAAAAAGAAAATAAAAGAAGAATAAGAAGTAGTTAGCCTTATTAATTAGCATTATCAAAGCAATGGATCATGATCTTATCTTATTTTCAATACATTTTTCTCCTATATATAATGTTGCTATAAATATTCTATAAACATATGTGGGATAGACCGATAGTTACGGTAATAGACATCTTTACCAGTTTGTTGCACCATCGGGATATTGGACCACTAAATAAGGATAAACATCGCTCTATCAATCTATTGCGTCGCGTCAAGTCCATACGAAAGCGATTCCAATAAGATTTTTCTATTTACATAAGATCGAATAATCCATCTCTTACTTAAAAAAAAAAAAATTAAGTATTTTTCGTTTGTATAAAATCCCAATTGGTTAGCAATAACTATAACTTTAGCCTCAAATAAAATTATCTTAACATGCCAATGGTTTGCATTTTGCAATTTTGCAATATTTGGTGCCAATATATGATGGGATATGAAAGCTTGATTGGTCCCTTGGTGCACGTGAGGGTGGTGATTGATTGGTGAAGGGAGGGACATTTTTAATAGTATGAAAGCTGTTATATTCAACTACTCATTCGCCTTAATTGCTCAATTAATAAATTGGACCAATGCCTCTTTCAATCCACTGGCTGCCTCTTAAATTCTTGTTTGTCCAATTCAACTGCTTATGTACTTTTTTACCCCCAACAAATGTATGATTGTTTGATGTGGGAAGTGGGTAGGTTTCTTATATTATTGACTATATGTATTTTAAGTACCATGCGCATAATTTATGTTGTTATTACAAAAATTATAATTTCCAATGATGCTATTCCTTCTTACTTTGATATATATAAGGAAAAACCCAACCATACATAAACTGAATTATATCCAATGACATCTAAACGACATTGATGTTTGATTAGGACAATGACAATAAATCTTCTACCTAAAAAAAATAACTAACCATAACAACTAACCCTATAAAGAATGCATCCTTGACGTTATAAATTTGTGTTTTACAATAATTTTTTAAGTAGTTTTTATTAAAAAGTTAATTCATATAACGTTTAACTTTTAGTGTTTTATGAAAAACTACTCAAATAGCTAACAACTAAGCGCAACTAAAATAGCTAACACCTACCAAAACAGTTAATTTTGCCAAATATATCCTAAGTACATATTTATAGTTCTAAAATCTCATTATTGGTGAATATTATCATTCTAATATACAACATAAGCATCCGGTGAGAGAAAATACTTTCATTAACCGAGTCTATAATCTTATTTATGGATCAAACCAGTGAAAGCAAGAATTTTTAAAAAATTATTCTTATTTTATCATTTTTTTTCATTATATGGTCAGAAATACCTTCATTTTTAATAAAAAAAAAATTATATTTTCATTGGTTCAGTACATAGATGTGGCATAGACCAAGTCTAAGGAAGTCAATCCCTCCGAAAAATTGTAAACCAATACTTTATATAAATGGGAATCCCTATTATAACACCCAGCAGCACATGGTGTTAATAGTTTGTCAAAAAGAAAGTCCCTAGTTAAATGATCCCCATGTGTGGAGTGCTAAGGGGAAAATTATAGTTGAACTTAGGCGTGAGCACAAACCCATCATAAATAAATGATGAGGGACCCAAATCCTATAATGGCTGTAGTGTGCGATGGGCTACATTTTACATGGCCGAAAAGGCCAAAATTTGTGGGGACCCAATCCCTCTATCTTTGCATGATTTAAAGAATAATGAGTCCACATTTTCTGAGTGATGGGTTTGTGTTTAAGGCATTCTCTCTAGGTTTTATGCTCTTAAAGCTAGACATGATTGTACTAACTACTTACCTTCATATCTAGTCTTTGCTCCCCATATTCCTCTCCCTCTCCCTCTCTTTGTGGGATTATAATACATGCCTATGATTGTAAAATGTAAAATATAGGAATATTAATATTATAATTATATATATACAGTTCAATCCACAATTAGAACATGGAAACTGGTCTTGTGTTAAGGTCAAATAATGCATCTTTATGAGTTCTACTTTTCTTTTTCTTTTTTTCTTTTCCTTCCTTTCTTTCCACGTGATAAGATTGCTGCCCACTCGACACCTCACTAGTCAATTTAAACTAAAATGACATTTAAATGTCTTAATTAGGCAACGGTCTTCTCATTTTTTAATTTATGAAAACGGATAGTATTTATAGCAATAATGCAAACGGAGTGAAAAGACTTTGTAATGCGGTTAAAAAACTTTTTATTAGTTTTAATATTATTGATGTCATTGTTATAAATGTACATAAATCGTAAATGTCCATAAATCGTAAATGTACACAGATTGTACTAAGAATAACCTGTGCCGTTTAGCAAAGGTTTGAATTTTTTTTTTTTTTTTTTAAATGTTGATATGAAGTTTTCACTTATCTGTTTCTATCAAATAATAATAATAATAATATCAAACATCAATTTAACCCCTTATAGATATATTTATTTTCTTTTTTTGTTTTCAACATTGAAAATTTAAGCAACACTTTTCTATTGGCGGTGAATTGCAACGACAAGTCCTGTGCTTGCCAAATGATTATGGAAATAATTTTCAAGAACAGGCAGAAGATTTTTTTTGGACCGAGGTTTTCGTTATTGGGCTGAAGTGTCCACCACTACTAGGCTGTTAGGCCGCCTAAATCTTTTTAGAGCATAGGCCACACGCCACTAAGAGTGGCTATTATTCTGTTTCGAATGGGATCCAAACTGACTCTGGAATAGGATTAGGATCGGGACCGGGATAGGATTAGTTTTCCATCATTTTCTCAAGTTTTTAGAACCACAACGAAGAACGAAAAATAAAAAAATTGTAAAAAAATTGAAATCGGAAAGAATAGGATCATTATTGAAACCAGAAACCCTCTGAAATAAATTGAATCGACATCGAAATTAAAATCAAAACATTTTAGATCAATTTAGATTCTGATTTCATTTCTACAATTATGAACTACCAATCCATTGAATCAGAACTATCTGATGAATGAATCGATAATCCCTACACACGTAATTCCATGTTTGGACATGTTTTTTATTTAGTCTTAGCCCTATCGAGTTTCAAAATGGAATGCTAAAACAGTTTCATATTCTATTATGTGTGTACTAGCTTATTCACTAGTTTGGGCTTAGGCCCTTCAATTATATATATATATATATATATATAGAACCCATGGAATTAATACGAATGAAAAGAACTTAAGTTTTGAATTTCACAAATTTCTTTCCTTCTTTCAAATAAGGGAAATATCACTGTTATATTTCTTAAACCTAGAAGTATATAAAATGAGAATGAATAAAATCGATGAAATGATTCAGCATTTTCTTGCATAGAAAGTTAGAACTTTTATCCTTAAATTAGAAAAAAAAAAAAAACACAAGGTTTGAAGGTTAGCTTAAATTATCATTTCTTTAAGGAGAAAACTATACCACACGATACCGGACCAAAATGTTTATTTTCAAAAGCTAACTATAAGGTTTATAAATATAATTTTTATTAATACTTTAATTATTTCATCTAAAATAAAAGGATAAGAGTATTAACAAAAATTATAAAAAAAATAACTGAAGCGTTAACAGAAATAATTAATTTAACGATTAATTGATGTTAAAAAAAGTTATTTTGGACATTAATAATTATAAGTTAAAAATCTCATAATTAGTATTTTAAAATAGAGATTTTCACGTATTAATTTGGATATAATTCAGGGATTTATTTTTTTTTTTTGCTTTTGTTAATAATATTAAATATTATTATAAGAGTAAAAATATCCTACGGAATAATATTTTTACCATTAATAACAAATTCATGGATGTCGGTGCCACCACCTCAATTTTTTCTCTCTGTTTTCATTTTTTGTCTTTTTGTTTCCAAGCATAGTATAGCCTCTAAGCTAACAAGTTAACAAATAAGTAACTAAAATTCTCGCTAACCACCGGCGAATAGCTGTATCCGTACTGTAGAAAATGCCCACGTGGCAAAACATGAATAAAGCACCAGCTCTTACCGCACCGGATTCACCGCACAAAACCGGATCCAATTACAATCCCAACGCCTAAGCTTCGTTTCTGCACCACCCTCTTATTATATCACACGCACACTCTATCGATCTTTCCATCCAAGATAGATAAAGTCACTACCTCAGATCTAGTCTCCCTCGCTCTCTTTCTAATTTGCAGATAACGCCATGGAACCTCGAGGAGGCAGGTCTTTACCTTTATCAGCCACGATCTGTGCAGCTCTTGCGTTTCTGATTCTGATCCATGGCGGTCACTGCTTCTACCTTCCCGGTGTTGCTCCTGAGGATTTCGTAAAGGTGAGCGCCTTTTGTTTCCTGAATTTGAATGTAAACACTAATTGGCTTGATCTGCATTTGCATTTTGGACCTGGTTCTGCATTTAATTGTTATTTATGCATTTGCTTAATTCCTGTTTGGACGTTGAGGAAATGAGAGAGAATTTGAAGGATTAGTACGTTATTATCTTCGATTTACCTGGTAGTGAAATTATGTAATTGGATTTATGTTTCGATTTCTTTGATTAAGTTGCTGAACACGAATAGTAGGTTTAGGTAGCGGATTACAAGTTTTTTGGTATATTAAGTGAGATGGATCGACATTGTTTTCTTGCTATATGTTATTAGCTAGTAGATGCACGGCATGATTTATAAGATCCATGCAAAATAATTGGAGCTATGTTCTTGAAGCTACTGTTTCTATTTATCATTATAGCTTCTATATCCGTCACATTATGGTTTTGTTATTTTTTCCATCATAATTCACACAGATTTGAAAATTGTAAATGCATGATGAACCTCCTTCCATGTTTCTAGCTTTGAGGTTATATTGTGCTAGGAACGGCATCTGATATTGCATTACAATGTTGATGCCAAATTTCTCAGATTTAGGCATCCCACAATCATATGTTTGTCAGAATATCTAGATACCTAGAAATGGGCTATTAACACCTTTGAATGTACAATTAACTTTAATCCTTATTTTTTTCTGAGATGTGCATTCCTCTGGGGCCTGGTTTTATTCACGAGATGACTTACTGTAAGGTTGAATTGTGATGCTAGTTTGGTGCATTTTTTTTGTGCTCTCACTCAAATTACCATATAAAACCATTATCCTTGTATTTGCATCAAGTGGCAGGCAGTAATATGTATATCGCAATTCGCCTAATGGCTTGTGAAACTAACATTGCGGGTATTGTCTTTTAGCATACAATTTTTTCCTTTTCTTTTCTATTTGGCGCCTCATTCCCCTTTGCCAACCATTCCTTTCTTTGGGTCATCTAAGAGTTGACCAAGTTCTAGCTACCATTATTTTCTCAATAATGTTCTATCTTGATTTTTGTATTATCATTCTTCCGGAAAAAAAAAAGGAGTGTTACCTGAAACATTGTTTCAAATGTGGGAAATTAAATGTCTAGTTGTTTATTTTTTCCAATTTGGTTGTTTGTTTTCCCATAAAATGCAGGGAGATGAGTTGAAAGTGAAAGTGAACAAATTGACATCTACAAAGACACAGCTTCCTTACTCGTATTATTCTCTCCCTTATTGTCGCCCAACCAAGATAGTGGACAGTGCAGAGAATCTTGGGGAAGTACTTCGTGGTGACCGCATTGAAAATTCTCCCTATGTGGTCAGTGACGTTATCTTAGATAAAACCAGGGCAAAATTTTTCTGTGTTTTACATTACTGATTTTTCTGCTGTGTTGAATTATTGCAGTTTAAAATGCGGGAGCAAAAGATGTGCAATATCGTTTGCCGTCTTAAACTTGATGCCAAGACTGTGAAGGAGTTTAAGGAGAGGATAGATGACGAGTATCGAGTCAACATGTATGAAACACCTTTACAGACCCATAAAGATACGTGCTAGTTGTTTGAATTCAATGAAGTTTCTTTTTCTAATTATTTTGGCATGCATGCTACAGGATCCTTGATAACCTTCCTCTCGTGGTTCCAAGACAAAGGTTGGATCAGGAATCTCCTGCTATCTATCAGCTTGGCTATCATGTTGGGCTCAAAGGCCAATATAGTGGTGTATGTACATTATTGCACCTCAAACTCATTTCTTGTCATGGGCTAGTTTTGGCTTTGCTTATTATCTAGTTATTTGCAGAGCAAGGAGGAAAGGTATTTTATCCACAATCATTTGGCATTCACTGTGAAGTTTCATAGAGATTTGCTAACTGACTCGGCAAGAATTGTTGGATTTGAAGTTAAACCATTGAGGTCAGATTTCTGGTTCATGCTTTTTATATAAAAGGGTTACTCCTTCCTGAGTTTGATTTTCCATGTTATTTAGTGTTAATGTCTGATTAAATGAACCCTACAGTGTTAAGCATGAATATGAAGGAAAATGGAATGAGGATAAGACTCGTTTAACAACTTGTGACTCCAATGCAAAGCATACAGTTGTTAATTCCAACTCTCCTCAAGAAATTGAAGCGAACAAAGAAGTGATTTTCACATATGATGTTGAATTCCAGGTGAGTGCTTGTATGGAACTACCACTTTATGTCCAACATTACTTGTTTCTATTTTAACTTCTTCAGCATCTATGCTATCAATAGGAAGAGGGAAGGATTGAACCTATCATATAAGTCCAAAGAAGAATAAACAGATTTTCTTCTTCTTCCTCCTCCCTTTTCCCTATTTGTTCTCTCCTTAACTTACTCTCACACGCTCTCTCTCCCTTCTCCCTTTCTGAAGCATAATTTTGTTGGTACATGGCACTGAATTACCATGCATGCTTATCTTTAGGTACTGTTCTGTGTGTTTTCTCACTCTTTCGTCTGCATTGCAGGAGAGTGATGTGAAGTGGGCATCTAGATGGGATACCTATCTTTTAATGAGCGACGACCAAATTCATTGGTTCTCAATTGTCAATTCATTGATGATTGTCCTCTTTCTCTCGGGAATGGTGGCAATGATAATGCTACGGACACTTTACCGTGACATATCCAAGTACAATGAACTTGAGACGCAGGAAGAAGCCCAAGAAGAGACTGGATGGAAGCTTGTCCATGGAGATGTTTTCAGGCCCCCATCAAATTCAGATTTGCTTTGTGTCTATGTCGGAACAGGGGTTCAGTTTCTTGGAATGACCCTTGTTACCATGATCTTTGCCATACTGGGGTTCCTTTCTCCTTCAAACCGAGGGGGTCTTATGACAGCCATGCTCTTACTTTGGGTTTTCATGGGCCTTTTTGCTGGGTATGCCTCTGTGCGTTTGTATAAAATGTTCAAAGGAACAGAATGGAAGAAAATTGCTCTCAAGACTGCAATTATGTTCCCTGGAATTGTCTCCGCCATTTTCTTCGTCTTAAATGCTCTCATCTGGGGCCAGAAATCATCTGGGGCTGTGCCATTTGGAACAATGTTCGCTTTGGTATTTTTATGGTTCGGTATTTCATTCCCCCTTGTGTTTGTCGGCAGTTATGTTGGATTCAGGAAGCCTGCAATTGATGATCCTGTAAAGACGAACAAAATTCCAAGGCAGATCCCAGAGCAGGCTTGGTACATGAACCCAGCTTTCTCAATTCTAATTGGAGGAATACTTCCTTTTGGAGCTGTGTTCATTGAGCTCTTCTTCATCCTCACATCGATCTGGCTGAATCAGTTTTACTACATCTTTGGTTTCCTCTTCCTAGTACTAATTATCCTCATTGTCACTTGTGCTGAGATAACAGTGGTGCTCTGTTATTTCCAGTTGTGCAGTGAAGACTACTTGTGGTGGTGGAGATCATACCTTACATCTGGCTCTTCTGCATTATATCTGTTCCTTTATGCGACATTCTACTTCTTCACAAAGCTTGAAATAACCAAGTTCGTTTCTGGGGTGTTATACTTTGGATACATGCTGATCGCATCGTATGCATTTTTTGTGCTAACTGGCACCATTGGATTTTACGCTTGCTTTTGGTTCACAAGGCTTATCTATTCATCGGTGAAAATCGATTGATTCTGGCCAATTCTTCTCTTTCATCACCAAAACCAAACGGGGTAAGATTCAAAGACAGTAGATAATTATGTTCTTAGATGTAAACATTTTTGCTCATTTTTGAATGCAGACAAGACGATTCCGATGTTATAGTCCCTTTTATTTTACTTACATTGAAGAATGACCTTTGTTTCTTAAATATATAGATTATCAGGAAGCTCCTCATATGCTTCCATTTGATCACTGCTTTCTCCTTGGATTCTTGTTGGGTGTTCACTGGTGTGAAAATTTAGGGCTTTAATTTATTTACTTTGATCCTCTTAAAGATGAAAGATGAACACGCACACATAAACACTAAAAGTAATGCATATATTAGATAACGAACAGAACAGAAAAAACACAAAATTACAGTTATATTTACTTCCTAGGATGAGTATCTCTAGGGTCAGCAGTACCAGTGGCAACTTTGGCAACATCTCTAGCGCTTGCTTCAGGCTTTTTCTTGGCATACAAGACCATGTATCCAATAGCAGCAGTGATAAAGAAGCCAGCTACTGTAATGGTGGTTTTGCTGAAAGGCAAATTGCGCCTCTGGTGCAAGACCCCTCCTGGGTTATGGCCTGGTGGCCTTTTGGAGCCCTCTACTCCTGCTGCCTTCACTTCTTCAGGACTCATTTTGTGAGTATCTGCTGCTTGCCTCCACTCTTCGTCTCGGGCCATTTTTTCCCCTCATAATTTCTTTGGAGATGATTAAAGAAGATAGAGGCAAGTTTTTGCCACGTTTAATGGGAGGTTTCAGTTATTGAACACGTAGCAGTTGCATGCTACAAAATCACACTGCGAGGACAAGTGGAGTGACTTTTGGTCGATATGTCGTTCCGAAGGCAAATTGTCGTTTGGTGTTAAACATGGGTGTCAGACAACTTTGAATTTATGATTTGAAATCTGGATCTGGATTTCAAAATGATATCGCTATGCTAGAAATGCACGGTTAAATTTTTATAAGCACTTTATCTACTAAAAATTTTGTACGTTTGAATTTAAAAAGAAAAAAAAAAAAATGTATCATACGGATTTCCGTGTGGACCGATTGATCTATAGTTATAATATTATTCCGGAAGCTTTTCAATAAAATAATACAGCGTCTTAATTTCTTTTATGGTAATAAAAAAAAGAGTAAAAGACATCTTTGTCTAATTATATTGCCAGGTTTCAATAACTAATTACAATGCATGCCACTTTTGCCAAGTTGGCAGCCAGAGCTCAAATAAATTGTAACGTAAATTTGAAAAGCATACGCCGGTCTATGAAATAGGTGCAAAAGCCTCACTTTTTTGGCCGTTTTAGATTTCTTTTTGACCGCCTTTTCATGCAGCATTGTTGATCGTTACTACTTACCCCTCGCTAAGGGTACCATCTACACTGAACACTGAACAGACAATGCTTCGGATTTCAGACCCAAAACAGCCAGGTGGGTGGGTCCACACCACCTTTTCTCTAACGGCTAATTTTCTCTCAACTATAAATGGAACCAAAGCCCTCGTCGTAATCTCACTCTCAAATTTCATCACTATCAAATTTACTCTCTCTTTCCCTCCCTGTCTCCCTCCTCAAGCTCTCGCTGTCCACCAATGGCTCGTATTCAGAGAGTTATACCGTTTTCTTTGGTGCTTATAACTTTAATGTTGGGCTTCTCAGAAGCTAAAGATGTTCTTATTGGTGGTAAAACAGATGCTTGGAAAATCCCATCTTCTCAATCTGATTCTCTCAACAAATGGGCCGAAACTGCTCGTTTTCAAATTGGAGATTCTCTTGGTAATTTCTTATTCTTTTTTAATGCTATAATTTTTCTTTTTCCAACAATATGAATGACCCATTTTCTTTCTATTTCAGTGTGGAAGTATGACAGTCAAAAGGATTCAGTTTTACAAGTGACTAGAGAGGCTTATCTAAGCTGCAATACCTCAAACCCAATTGAAGAGTACAAAGATGGGAACACTAAAGTGAAGCTCGACAGATCAGGGCCATTCTATTTTATTAGTGGAGCAGAAGGGCATTGCGAGAAGGGCCAGAAGATAATTGTCGTAGTTTTATCAACAAGGAACAGGATCACTGCTATTTCTCCAGCTCCTTCGCCGGCAGAGTTTGAGTTTGAGGGTCCTGCAGTTGCCCCTACAAGCAGTGCCACAAGCTTAAAAGGAAGCTTGGTGGTTGCACTAGGGATTTTGCTTTGGGCTTTGTTTTGATAAAAACATAATTGGGTTGGAAGATTTATAGTAATAGATTTTGAACTTTATGGAAGGGAAATTTGTTTTTTCCTTCTTCATTCATTTATTTATTTTGGGTCTCGATTGTGTAGAGGTTCAGCTGATATTTAATATATGCTATTCGTTTTATTCTTCTATATACTTTGCTTATATATAATAAATATATGGTGGTACCAGTAACAATGTGCAAATAATCTGTAATATATTAGAAGTTAAAAAAGTAAATGTGACCCATCAACATTGCGAATGAATATTTTCTGCAAAGCTCATACAAAATTGAAGCACTGCCAAACACTTAACTTCACTTCAACTCCTCATTGAGATTTGGTGGCAGCCCTAAACTTTGTGCAAGATTGCCCATTCTTTCCTTCATAGCCTGTAAGATAGAGAGAAGGGGAAGCATAAGATAGATTACAAAATGCTTGTAGGCCTCAGAGGTTACTCACCTTGACACTCTTCTGGTGTGCATCCTTGTAGGCCTCAGTAACCAGAAGAGAGAGTTTCTGCACAGAAAATGCTTAGGCCAAAGAAAAAAAAAAAAAAAAGAAAAAGGAAGGGAAACATAAGATGACGATTCCATGTGCTAGAATGAATAAAATGCTTTGTAGGGCGTTTTCCTCCTTACCCAGAGCCTCAGGTTACTTTCTCCCTTTGACACTCTTCTGGTGTGCATTCTGCGGCTGGTGGAGGATGGGAGGAGGCCCGCCCCTCAGTAACAAGAAGAGAGAGTTTCCTGAAACAATCAAGAAAAATGCTTAGGTGGTGGTCGTCGCAAAGAACAAAAAAAAATAAAAAAAGAACAAATAGTGCCCTAAGATAAAGAAGACTCATAGTAAATTAAAGCCATAGATAATTTGACTCACACTTATCGGGCCCCAGTTCTAGTTTGCATTGCTTCAGGTCCATATTAACTCAAGTTGACTCACATGTTCTGGTTAATTTTTTTCCAATTACAATAAGATCATGGTTCATGGTTGCCAGAGAGTGTTGGCAGATAAGAATGTTAATAAAGAATAAAATGAAATCTTATGGAAAGATTAAAGCAGTTAAAAATATCTCTTTCACAGCTATTAAATCGTGAAGGAATGCCAAATCGCGGCACATGAGAATAGACCATAAGCTGCCGAAGCATATATGTACCTTTATTCAGATTCACTCACACCAAATATGCCCATCAACATCCTCAGTTCACTGGCGCAACAGAAGGCAGAACATAAGAAAATGTAATGACAACTCAGATCAGGCGAATATAAGGAGATCCCATCATTTCCTGAATGTTGTGACAAAGCGGAAAACAGGCAATTCTTCACATAAGAAAAAAAAAAAAAAAAAAAGAAAAAGAAAGAAATCAAGTAATCCAAGATAATTTTACTCACTTCGGGCCCTAGTTCTATTGCAGCTTCAGTTATCTCAATGCTCACTGGTTGCTGGTTGCCAGAGAGTGTTGCCTAGAAGAAAAAGTAAATGAATTTATGAAAGATTAATAATTTTCCAGCTATTAAATGTGAGATGCACGCGCACAGAGAATAAATAACTCCGAAGCATACCTTTATCAGTTCACCTTCACAATAGCCATCAAACTCAGCACTGCGCAACAGAACAGAACATAAGAAATGAAACAACTCAGATCACGAATATAGAATGGACATTGTGACAAACGGAAACAGCAATTCTTCACATACGCAGCAAGTTCTTTCTGCACACGAACAGCCTCAACTTGGACTACCATCTGTGCTTTTTTCACAGTTTCATACAGATTTTGCATATTTCCCAGTAATCCTGCCTGAATTTAAGGTAAATTATATATACTGAAAACAATTAGGTTAGGTATGAAGATTCATATTGGATCCATACTGTATCCAACCTACTATAAACTACTCTAGTTTAGGGTATCTGGTTTAGGGTAGAGGTGAATTGTATAGGGTATAAGTTCATCCAACAAGAACATATATATCAGAAAATTAAGGAAGACTGACAAAATCGGATATAACACAGATAAAAAAGATAATTTAAACAAGTCCAAACACTCATTATAAGGACACTTTAGTTTATATTCTCTGCTCTACAGTGGTCTCATGGTCACTTTAAAACCTAATGGAGCTGGATTTGCAAGTCGAACCTATAATTGACTAAGATTTGTTCAGTCTAGCTAACTGCATAATGAGTATATTACCTTAGTGTGGGAAATACAGTTTCCATGTTTGTCTTTGAAGATATATGTGTTGGCAGGTGATGATGAATTTAGACAAGAAATGAATAAGAAGATCCAGAAGATGCAATAAAAAATAACAAATCTTCAAAGACTACAGTAAAAAATTAGGTATATTGTTAAGAGAATTGCTTATAAGTGCTTTCAATCGTCAAGAGTTAGGCATATCCCACATAACACTCCAGTTGTAATAAAATAAAATTTAGAAGAGAGAATTGACAGCACCTTTGATGATTTCTCGTCACTTTTATCATTATTCTCCTTTTTTCCCCCAAATAAACCATTCAAACGTAGGGGCAATGACACTTTCCCAGCCTTACTATGAGGACGCAATGCAATAAGAGATTCAACATGATTTGCAAATGAGTTTACTTTACCTAAATCCAGCAGAAGAATATAAGTTTTATTTGGCATAAAAGATAACCAGCATGACTGCATAATAATATATATAGTGCAAAAGAACGTAAATAATCCAGCGTAAGAGGACGCTTGCTATTATGTTCTCTATGATCAACATTCACATAATAACAATCAAAAACCTCGCAAAACCATATGAACAACAACATTCCTCATCATGCTAAGGGTCCAATACAGTGCCCTAGATAGACAGGCATGTGACTGAACCAATTGCTAATTCAAGGCAGTTTTTCATGGGTGATAACAAAATCAACAAATGTATAAATAAAGTTCAAAGTATCTATCAGGAAAGAGCAAGATAAATAACTTTAGGGGGACAATTATTGAAAGTTCAGCATTACCCAAATTAAGTTAATGAGCTAGTTATTTGCTGTGGGTTTAATATTCGAAAAAGCTTCCAATTTTTCTTGCAATCAAGGTGCACAAAATTGATGCACAAACGCGAGAGATTTAAGAAGAAGAGATAAATTTAGCAAATTGGAAGTAAACTTGGATTAAGAAACAAATAATAAAAGAAAAATGGAGAAAATTCAATTCAGCAGATATCCATAAACAATACAACACATAAACAATCCATAGTTGCAGAGCATATCCATGACAAAGTATGTGCATATAGGAATTATTGAAGAAATCCAAACCACAAAAACAGAGAGAATTTACAGAAGGAGAGAGGGGTAAAAGTAGGGTTTTTGTGGCGAACAAGGGAACGGCAGTTCCCGAGTTGTGGGGTTGAAGCGGCAGTGGCTGTAGACGCCATTTTGATATTTGAAGATAACAAATTCACTGAAACAGAAACGAAGAAAAAGTACCCAATTTCAATTCAATTGGTCTATTTGACCCGACCCAACATTGCGGTTCCCGGTTCAATTTATTTTCTTCCCTCTTAAAAAATAAAAAAAATCTTTCTGTCCTGCCAAAATTACTTGAGAGGTATTTGGTTTAAATATTTACTTTTAACTTTCAAGTTAATTTAGATTTCGAAATTTGTTAAAAATTTAAAACTTATTAGGATAATACAATATTTTATTTGATTAAATAGTAATTTTTAAAATAAATAAATAATTTACTTTAATTATGTTTTCTCCAACAATGAGAAGTTAATTTCATAATTATATAATCGTATTTTATATTTAATTTTTTTAAAGAAAAACATATTGTATAATGTTGACCAACACTTTTTGAATTCTGTTAAAAGAGGAGGTCTTGATAAAATACAACTAGAAACTTAAAAATTATAATAAATTTCAAAAATTATAAATAAAAATACAGATAAAAGGGAATTGTTTTCTGATAATAGTATAAGAACAATTAGTGATTACAGATCAAACGGGTTTTATCTTGCTACAATTGGTGCCAATCAAACAACAAGAAAGCTCAGAAGAATTGGACATATTGGAGCAAGAAAATCACTTGGGTTTACTTCCAATAGCACACAACAATTTCCCTCACTTCATATAGTCATCCACAAAAGGACCAAGAAAATGTTAATTATTCATAATAACTATATAATAACATAGTATTGTATAGCAACAGACAACAGAATTAAATCACAGACATCTAAGTCTGAGAAAGACCTACAAGAGTCTTAAACAATTTGGATGATGATGGAGGATAAGCAAAAACAAATGGCTTTGGAATGCCATCTACTCTCTCCATGAAAGGTCTAGCAGCAAGCTACTGTACCCATTATCAAAAACTCAAATATTGCACCCAATAACGGAAACCAGTGACAACTTGGTATCGCAGAAACAAGAAACAGCATTTCTTAGCACTAGACCACAGTAATGCTGGAATCATCCAAGCTGATAGAACACACCGGCAAATCTGGCATCTGCAGTCCTGTGCCAAAAGATATACCAAACATAAGAGGAAAAAGAATAAGGTTTCGCATATTTTTTTATTAACGATAAAGCAGACTAGTTGAACCTGAACAAAATGCATCCTATATATATAAGCAATTAAAATGTTATTTGAAGAACAAATAAGTTACACTCAAAGATTGGCGTTCAGCATTCTTAAATACGCTAGTTGTTTATGATGTGTATTGCATGTTGTTATTGCTCGTTATATGCTCGTTATAATTTGAATTCAGCATTCTTAAATATATAGCGACTTATGTGACAAACATCCCTTAATTACTTTTCTTGACATGCTCAAAAGCATTTAAGTGCAAGTCAAGCACTCCTCAATCTGGCCTGGAAAAAAGGCCTCCCTTCAACATCTGCCATCAACTCATCTCAATAATGGCAGAACAGGCAAAAAATTAAGGGCAAATTAGGCCTCCATCCATCTTCTGCGAGCCAAAGCAAGTGATAGTTCACCAGATTGCATGTGTTAAAAAAGATAAAAACTTGAAAATAAAAAGGATTTCTGACTTGTCAAAATAACGAGAGACAAGGACATTTAATCCGCATTTATTTTCTCTTTCCTTTAAAATATATTGCGGATAATCCTGACATAGACTTTTCAGTTTCTGTAAAGATATCTATAAAAGGTCCTTTGCTATTAGGTTAATAAAATCACAAGGGATTATTCACATTCATCAAGTTAACGAAGAACATAAAAGCTTCACAAGTAAATCAGGAAGTATTCAAATCAACAGCAACAAGGAAGTAAATAGTTTCCATAATCTTTTGAAAACAAACAATGTGAATAGACATGAAATATTTGTGAGCAAGCAATTAAAACTTGTTACAGATGCAAATATAGAGTTAAGATATACCGGGGAATATTAAGAAATCAGTCCACTTGCAGGTCATCGTCATCTAACACATCAATTTGTAGAGGCCCCTTAAAACCACTTGTGTTATCACCAAGAAGCTCACGGGCAGCTTTTTCGAGAAATTCTGAAGCAGCAGCTTGAACTGAACGTTTTTCAGATGATTGATACTTTCTCTTCTTGTGAATCGATCTCTCTGAATACTTCATCCTGGGTCCTTGTCCTTTACTGATATCCCTCATACTTTTCTTCTGTTCTGCATCGGAGCGGGTGAAGAAGTTTGAAATGGGATCAGCATTTAAGAAAGTCATGTCAATAGCAAGTGATTATCAACGTACCAGGTTTAAGGTCAGGCAAAGAATGCTCAATGAAACGGGTCGCAGCCTGGTAATTTAAGGTAGTAGAAGGTCGCAAAGGTGCTTCAAGGACAAAATTAGAACTCACTCAGTAAGGATTAAGACTTCGAGCAAAGGTAATCACTTTCTAACTTACTTGAAAATTATCATTACCTATAAACTCTAGATGACAATAAAATTTTGGGATGCATGAATAACAGCATATTCCAGAGAAAAGAAAATACCTTTGCTCAAATCCATCGACCGCTCTAGTTTGTCTTGGTACAAGCTCAACCTCTCCTACATATATAAGTACCTATTAGGTGAAATTCATAAGTGGTACCTCTGAATCGTAAACTCTTTCTCAACCAAACAAACTGTTAAAGGGGAAGAAGTACAAAACTTTAAACAAAAAACCTGCATGCATTTTGCTGCTCCGATGAAAATGAAAATAACATCAAGTGAAATACATATTATCAATAGAACAAAAAACCCCAAATCCCCAAATTTAAGAATTAGTAATTGTATTAGAAGACATACAAGCTCGGTCCTGATTGGATGCTCATCTAGGTCAATTCCACTGCATCTCAATCTCACTAAAAATTCACAAAATTGAACCAAGTCATAATCAAGCATGCTAATAATCATAAATCAGCGACATATAATTACTTAAAATTGGAACTAAACAAAAATTGCAGGATAAAAAAAAAAAAAAAAAAACCGTACCAGCAAGATTTAAGAAATTAGTAATTGTATTGAAGACCATACAGGCTCGGTCCTGATTGGATGCTCATCTAGGTCGCAATTCACCTGCATCATCAATCATGCACTAAAATAATTCAACAAAATTGAACCAGAAGGTATAATCAAGGCATGCTAAATAAATCATAAATGCAGCGACATATAATTAGCTTAAAATTAGGAAATAAACAAAAAATTGCAGGGATAAAAAAAAAAAAAAAAAAAACTGTATGTACAGTGGCCGAAAAGGATAGTGGACTGGCCTTGGAGAAGCAAAGAGGAAGATGAGCTGAGCGCGTCGAAAAAAAAAAAAAAAAAAAAAACTGTATGTACATGCGAAAAGGATAGTGACGGCCTTGGAAAGCAAAAGGAGAGACTGAGCGCGTCGGAGAGGGGGCATCTCAGCGAGAACTTCAGGGTCTGAGAAAGAAAGAAAATGAAGTAAGTGGGTCTCCACTTGTTCGAGAGTAGCTAAGGTTGTTTTAGCTGAGTCCATCACTGATTCTGGTACAAGTGAGCTGCTGCTTTCTCTTCCTTCCATTTTGGCAAGGAAAAAAGATTCGATCTTTGTTTTCTAAGATTTTCTCGAATGTCTCTGTTTTGTAAGGAAAAACATAAATTTGAGGTTGCTGTCTTGAGTTATTGTGCGTAGGCCGCAAGGGCTTTTGGAGGAGGATGAGGAAAGAGCCAGAGAGGTTTATGGCGACAGTTAAGCTTAATACTGTTGTTCGGTGGTCCAGACCATATAGTTTTTTTTTTTTTTTTTGACTGAAAGAACCTGGATTACTGATCGGAGATTACTTAAATTAATTGTTGATTTTCTTTTAATTAAATATTAATAAACGACAAATTATTTTGTTAATAATTTTCTCTAAATTTCACATTAATTTATTTTAATTTAAATTCATATTAAGGTTTTATTCTGTAATATTAATTGTATCAAAATTATCTTTTTTTTATTTCATTTTCATACTTTTCAAAAAAGAAATAAAAGAAAATTCAAGTAATTGGGAATAAAAAAAAAATCACTTTGCGGCAATTTAACTAGACTAAAGAAGGCACAGCGAGTATATAAAAAGAAAAATATCTGTAAATTTCTGTCGCTTCCTTCCTCGTTGAGTTTGGACTTTGGACACTAAAAATATCCAAAAACGACCACACATATCACACCTCAAGCTCAAGGCCTGGCCTTGTTTTTGCTTATCAACACTATCATCTTTGAAATTGGAACACTGAGTGTCAATCGCATTGCCGATACCATCTTCGAACTGCGCTTTTACTGGATGAGAAAAGTATTTAGGTGAGACTAAGCCCCATCTGCTCACCTTCAATCCTGATTGCTTTCTCATAGTCAATTTGACAAGCAGTTATTGTGCATAAACCAGCCTGTCTCTGGTTTCTTGAGGTTTTTATTATTATGATCGTTCTTTAGTTCTGATAAAGATTCCATAGCTGTGTTAATTATTTGTTCTTCAAGTATGTGTTGTAGTAGTGTTAATTACAGCTACGGTTTCACTCAAGATAGTAGGTTACCTCTTTTAAACTATAATAATGGGTCATTAAGAGTTGGGAAAGTTGGAAATGTGAAATTCTTGATATGTGGCTCTGTGGCAATTGGGAAGAAACCCGGGAAAAAGCAAGTGAGTTTTTGTGGGGTTGCAATGAAAAGCAATAAGGATTTGGTGGCAGTGAAGAGGAAGCCAAAAAATGACTTATCTTCTGTGGAAGTTATGGCGGCTCTTAACTCGATTTCAGACCCCAGTGATGCTTTTTCGTACTTTACTTCAATTGCTAAGCTTCCCTTTGTTATTCACAACACTGAAACATGTAATCACATGCTTGAAATCTTAAGTATTCATAGGAGGATAGAGGATATGGCTATTGTGTTTGACTTGATGCAAAAGCAAATCATAAGGAGGGATCTGAATACTTACTTGCCTATATTTAAGGGGCTTGATATTAGAGGTGGGCTTAGGCAAGCGCCATTTGCACTTGAAAAGATGGGAGATGCTGGCTTTCATTTGAATGCTTATTCATATAATGGGTTCATCCATTTGCTACTTCAGTCTGGGTTTTGTACGGAGGCTTTGGAGGTAAAAGGAAGAATGCTGTCAGAAGGTCTTATGCCTAGTATTAAGACTTACTCTGCCCTTATGGTAGCAATAGGGAAGAGAAGGGATATTGAAACTGTTATGGGTTTGTTGGAAGAGATGGAAGGTTTGGGATTGAAGCCAAATATCTACACATACACCATATGCATTAGAGTTCTTGGCAGAGCAGGGAAAGTTGATGAGGCATATAGGATTATGGAGAGGATGGAAGATGATGGTTGCGGGCCTGATGTCATCACTTATACAGTTCTCATTGATGCTTTTTGTACTGCAGGGAAGCTTCACAATGCCTTGGAATTGTTTGTAAAGATGAAAGCTAGCAGTCATAAACCTGATAGGGTAACCTATGTTACAATGTTGGACAGACTTAGTGATTCTGGTGACTTGGATATGGTGAAAGAATTTTGGAGTGAAATGGAAGCTGATGGTTATGCCCCTGATGTGGTTACTTTTAGCATACTTGTCAATGCTTTATGCAAAGTTGGGAATGTTGATGAAGCATTTGATCTGTTATATGTCATGAGAAAGCAAGGGATCTTGCCCAATCATCATACATACAACACATTGATTGGTGGACTCCTGAGGGTAAATAGGTTGGATGATGCTGTAGACCTCTTCAATAATATGGAATCACAGGGTTTTGAACCTACTGCTTATACATTCGTTCTTTTTATTGACTACTATGGAAAGGCTGGTCGCACTGATAGAGCACTTGAGACCTTTGAGAAGATGAAAACTAGAGGAATTGCTCCTACTATTGTTGCTTGCAATGCATCTTTGTATAGTCTTGCTAAAAAGGGTAGAGTTGGTGAAGCAAAAACTATTTTTAACGGGCTTAAAAACAGCGGACTTGCTCCAGATTCACTGACCTATAACATGATGATGAAGTGCTATAGCAAGGCAGGGCAAGTGGATGAAGCCATTAAGTTATTGTCAGAGATGTCAGAAAACCAATGTAAACCTGATGTGATTGTAATTAATTCTTTGATCCACACACTTTACAAGGCTGACCGAGTGGATGAGGCATGGCAAATGTTTTGCAGATTGAAGGACATGAAGCTCTCTCCTACAGTTGTGACCTACAACACATTGATTGCTGGGTTAGGGAAAAAGGGTCAACTCCAAAAGGCCATTGAATTATTTGAAAGTATGACTGTGATTGGGTGCCCACCGAACACAATAACTTTTAATACCCTTCTAGATTGCCTTTGCAAGAATGATGAGGTTGACTTGGCATTGAAAATGCTGTATAGGATGAGCACAATGAATTGTGTTCCTGATATTCTGACGTTCAACACTATAATTCATGGGTTTATTAAAGAAAAACAGGTTAATGATGCAATTTGGCTTTTCCATCAGATGAAGAAGTGGCTTGCCCCTGATTCTGTAACTTTATGCACCCTTCTTCCTGGTGTTGTAAAGAATGGGCTAATAGAAGAAGCTTTCAAGATTACTGAGGACTTTGTTCATCGGGTGGGAGTTTACATAGAGAGGCCATTTTGGGAAGATTTAGTTCGTGGGATTCTGATTCAAGCTGGGACAGAAAATGCCATTTTATTTGGTGAGAGATTGGTAAGCAGTAAGATTTGCCACGGTGACCCTATATTGATGCCTATGATTAAATTTTTGTGCAAGCATAAAATGGTACTTGCTGCTCAAAATGTATTTATGAAGTTCACCACAGAACTGGGAGTTCACCCAACACTCGAAGCATACAACTTGTTAATTGATGGGTTTCTTGAAGCCCAAAATCCCGAAATGGCTTGGAATCTTTTCCAGGAGATGAAGAATGCTGGTTGCGCACCAGATATCTTCACCTATAACTTGTTATTGGATGTTCATGGGAAGTCTGGTAAGATCAAAGAACTTCTTGAACTGTATGAAGAGATGCTTAGTAATGGATGCAAGCCCAACACTATAACTCACAACATAGCTATTGCCAGTCTTGTGAAATCTAATAGCTTGGACAAGGCTTTGTCTTTATACTTTGGTCTCATAAGCGATGATTTTTCTCCCACTCCTTGTACCTATGGTCCCCTCATAGATGGACTTCTGAAGTCAGGTAGGCCGGAGGAAGCAAAGAAGTTGTTTGAGGAGATGCATGACTATGGATGCAGTCCTAATACTGCTATTTACAATATTCTTATAAATGGATTTGGGAAAACTGGTGATGTGGATTATGCTTGTGAGTTGTTAAAAATGATGGTTAGAGAAGGAATAAGACCAGACGTAAAGTCTTTCACTAGTCTTATTGGTTGCCTATGTGTGGCGGGGAGAGTAGATGATGCTCTGCACTACTTTGAGGAACTAAAGCTGACTGGGCTAGATCTCGATTCGGTTGCTTATAACCTCATGATTGATGGGCTTGGAAGATCAAGTAGGATAGAAGAAGCTCTCTCTCTTTTTGATGAAATGAGAAATAGAGGTATCAAACCCGATCTCTACACTTACAATTCATTAATACTCTATCTTGGAATCATTGGAAAGGTAGAGCAAGCAGGAAAGCTGTATGAAGAGCTACAGGACATGGGTCTTGAACCAAACGTTTTCACATATAATGCTCTTATTCGTGGATACAGCATGTCAGGAAATTCTGATCTTGCCTATTCGGTCTACAAGAAGATGATGGTTGAGGGTTGCAGTCCGAATACGGGTACATTTGCTCAGCTTCCTAATCAATCCTGACATTTTTGTGAATACTCGGCCAATCATTCAATATAAAATGTGCTTTTCCCTCTGCTTGGTGTGTACTAGGTATTGCTCCCATTTTAGCTCTCACTTTGATGTTTGAGAATCCTATTGCTGATATGTTATTCTTTCTAGATCTTTTCAAAATTTTGACAAAATTCTGATTGTTGAGCAAGTTGGGAACTTTGTTCTTTTTTGCAGGAATGCTTTACAACAAGAATTGAACTTGATGGCTTTGGTGTCAGTGAAGCATGTTTGAATATGTGGAGATGACTTCGTTCATGATGGTGGCAGATGTCCATTGGGATTGTATTTTCCGTTTTTGCCATCATTGCCATTTCAGATTCAGTGACCCTCTTTTTACAAACATATTGAGACCATACTCTAGTTGTCTACTCTATAAGCCATTCAAAGTCGCCCTAACTATGGTTCATAGAAAACTGTAAATTCTTAAACCCCAAGGTTCTGCAATGTAGAATGCCGATTGTATGAGTAATTAGCATACGTGTTTATTTATAAAATTTTTATATTAGTCTAATTTTAACATAATCTTTGAAATTTTGGTTGTAAAAGTTTTAAAACTCTCTTCGCCTTATAGAAATAAATTGACTTTCCATTTTATTTATTCTAAATTATCGTCATAAATTCACTTTCTAATTTTCTATTTCACCCATATTCAACATGCATCACTATTCATTAAATTTTGAAATAAATAACAAATTAAATATATGCAGACCTTTTCTATTTTTAATTCAGGAAAAATTATAAATATATAATATTAATAAAAACTAAACAAAAATTATTCCAGATCAAAACATAAAAATTATTGATTAACTATAATTTGTATATAATAACTATAATTTGTATATAAAACAAATTTTATTTATTTATTTATATATAACTATAATTTGTATATAATAAACTAATAATTTGGTATATAAAAACAAATTTTAATTTATTTATTTATATATTATATTATATATAGGTCAAGAAGGTTTAAATCTCCACTTTTGAACTTTTTGGAATGATCCTGAATAGAAAATAAAAGCCGGTAGGAAGGGCGATTTAGTTAATTGAGCCCGCCGTAAAGCTTAGCAAGCACCACCATTTTAAGCGCCATGTGAGGTTTCTTTAACCGAGAAGCTGCAAAGCCATCAGGAAACAGTAGCCATTTATCTCCTGCCTTTTCTGCACCATTTCTCCCTTACCATACCCATAGATTAACACAAGATACAAAACTCTCTCTCTGTCCTGTCTAAAATGGCACGCAGCTGGTCCAATTTTATGTTAGAAGCAAGAGAAAAAACAAAAAAAACCAAAGAGAAAAATAAAAGAAAGCATAGCTTTAGATTAGATAGATATGTCCTTCAAATTTTCCTCCAACCACAGCTTCTGCTTCCTATCTCCAAAACACAAAACCAAAAAGATCAACTTACCATAAATGCCCTCCTATCAATTCTATCTTCACAAACTCTTTCTCCATGGGCTTTTTTGGGTTTCTTATGTTTCAAGGAAGTTCAGAGAAAGAGAAGACCAAACAAATATACAACCTTCTCCCTTTATTATTTTTACTATTGTTATTATCTTTTTTATCCTGGAATCTCCAAACTTATTTCCCCTTACCAAGTTTGAACTGGTTTTTTGTTTTTCCTTTCCTTAACCGACAGGAAGAGGAAGAAAAAGATGAGCAGGTTTTTAATGGGTTCTCATCATTCTCTCTCTTTATATTATTTTTCTTATTAGAAATTGGGGGTTTTATTTAGGAACTGCTATAAAAAGATGAAATTTTGATTGATTATTGGAGAAAGGGGTTTTTTTACAGTTTGATCAATTTTATTTTGGTTGAAACCCCTATTAAATAAATTGGCTGGGAGATATGTGAAAAGGGTTTGCGTAAATTCCCATCGATGAAGAAGCTTAGGTTTTAATTTTGAAACATCGAAGCCTGCTTCAGGAGTTCTTGGAATTGCAAAGGTTTAGTCTTTTGGTTCTTCTCTATTCGTTCCTTTGCGTTTGTTTTCTTAAATTGTAAAGATCGTGGCGTTTTGAAAATTGGTTGTTTTTTTGTTATGCCATCGTTTTTGTTCTAAGTAGGTCCACAAACTCTCTTCTTTGTTGGATTTTTGATGGTTGCTTTTTGTACGCTGAAGAGAAAAGAAAAAGAAAGTTGATGGTGAACAACCTCTGTTAGTGTATTGTAACTGTGTTTCAAAAACTGAGGAACCAACCCCAAACCCAAGTACTAATTAGCTCACCATTGTTATTATATCTTCAACTTAAGGTTTTTGACTTCTAGGGTCTTAAATTGCATGTAATGTTTTGTCCGAATTGTATGGTTTACATACTGATGGTTTTCTGTTGATTTTTGGTTTAGGAATTTGTTTCAAAGAAGAAAAAAACTGCAGATAACAACAGCCAGAAGAGGGACATCCTGTCGCTGAAGTAGAGTATGTTTTGCTTGCTTTTCCTTGATTTGGCCTGGCTGGATCTTTACAATCTTAAACTGGACTTAACCCTTTCTTTCTCTCTCGCTCTCTGAAATTTTCAGGTTTTTGAGACACAGGTGTGAATACTTTAATGGATATAACAGTTCACCTTTCAGCCTGAGCAGGATCTTGTTGCACCACATTCATTTATGCAAAATGAGGAAGGCTGGGAAACTGGTGAGAGCAGAGAAGACAAAGAATCCCAAGAATGGCGTAGTCAATGGCAAAGAAAGTTAAGAAGAAAATCTCATGGCAAGATCAGTCAACTGTAAATGAAGGGACTGAAACAAAAACCATTGATCAATAAATCAACTGATAGAAAATTAAAATTTCTTTTCTTTTTCATAGCAGTGGAAATTGTAAAGAGAAATTTTTCAATACTTGGAGATATACAACTAATATATTAATTAAAGTTGCCCTTTTAACAGTTTTGAAAGTTTTGATACTTGTTATCTTTGATTTGGCAATTTTTAGTTAGATATTCTCCTATGAGGCGAGTGTTTGCACAAAATGGATTATAGAATTTCTAATAGGTATAAATATTCAGTGTGCAGAAAAAGTACATCTTGAATTGGCATGGTAAATGTTGTTCTCAAAGAGCTTGTACATGTGTTATTGAATGTGGAGAATGGTTCAAAACATTAAAGCACACACGCAAGTAAAATGGTAATGAAAAATTTTCTTAATATTTCACCCATTCATGTTAAACCATTACAACGATATAGTGAAGGATCCAACTTTTCCCAGAAAATGAAGGGATCCTCCCACATTCTTCCAGCCAGAGGGCTGCCACAATGGCAGCAAGAGATCAAACCACCCATTGCAAGCTACTTCAATTCATCTCCCTCCGGTTTAGTTTTCGGCATTGCAAAATTCAGATTGTGAAAAGGACTGATCATTTGCAGTGGGCAGTTTGGCTGAATAGGTTTTCTTAAAACTGCACCAGATCAATGGTCATGTTGTCGCATCCTTCGGCCACCCTGCTGTTGACGGTGCCAAACACCTATCGAGTATTCTCTCAACACTACAGAGAGCTTGCTTTCCTGCATTGTGTAAGTTTTAGCAAACAACATTAAGACCTTGCAACTGAACGCACCTGAGAGACCAAGTACAGATCAAACATTAACCAATCCTGCCTATTCCATATCGAACTACTGCACATACCATCCTCAGATGTTCATGAACCAAATCTACTAGTTGCCCTGGCTTGACAAGCAGTCCCCTGAAATAAATAATAATGAACCTATTCACACAACATGCAAATATTTGAAACGTTGAACAAGTCAGTTTAAGTGCATAAAATACATCATTAGCAAAATACCAAGTTGTCAATCCCATATAATCTAATTTCACATAAAGGAGCAGAAACTTGAATACTGCCACAATGAACATCATCAAACATCAAGGGGAATAAAAATCAATTTAAAAGAAACTTTGCAAAATGAAGCATTAGGTATATAACCTAATATTCCATCACATGCCAGCCACAATAAATTCATCCATCGTCGCAAAAGCTCAAAACCAGTTTAAAAGAGAGTAACTGAAAAACCAAAAAGAGAAAATAATCAATGCCTGATTATGACAAAAGTTTTGAGTGGAAATCTAAGCAGCTGTTTTAAAAGCACGAATAGACTGTTTTGTTGTGGACGAGAAATGCAATTATCCTTCCTAAACCAATGAATGCAGAAAGTATAGTTCATGAGATTTTATCTGTGAAAAGTTATTTATTTTCAAATCTATATAATTGTGATTAAAAGTGCAGAAAAACATAAATACGCATACAGTGTTATATCCGGATTGGCTGGTTACAAATTTGCTTTTTCAGCAAGGCAAAATTTATTCTGCTTGATTCCAATGTCACCTGCATTTACAGAAAAGATATGAAAGAATGTAAGCAATAGACTCTCTCTCGAATACCCCCCTTCCCCCCACCAACCCCCAACCCAAATTTATAAACATGCATGCCCATGTGAAATGAGGGACCTGCCTCGTTTACATGCAAATAATATTTATATATCATATATAAAAAGAAGAAAACAAAAGAAGACATGCATAAACTTTTAGAAAAAATTGCTTTTTAATGTTGGGCAAAGAAAGTATGTTGCTTGTGCTCACTCGCTTTGTGGAATCAACCCTCTTTCTCTCAGAAACCAAAACCCTAAATCTATACTGGGCTGGGTTTGGTCTAAGTACTGCATGAAAACTAGGACTAGTGATATGATATGACTACAAAATAGTGTTATTGGAGTTCACAAAAGAAACCAAACTTAAGTACCTATAGCTCTTGCAAGATTCAAACTACCAATTTGACCCGTCTCATGTTTATGAAACCACCCAGCTTTTAAAAATCCTTCTTTCTCAGCCTCAAGATCAAGGCCCCTTGTGATCTCTAGACAGATTATATGCCTGCATCAAAAAAGACACATTAAAAGAGAAAAAAGAGCAGTATTTTGTTGGAAAATAGACATAACACGAGCTATTGGCCATATATATATATATATATATATATATCAAAACACCATAGCCAGTCCAGTAATGTTGCAATGGGTATGAATTGTTAACAGCACAAAGGGAAGAAAAAATAGAGGCTGCAAGCTCGTAAGAGGGATATTAGGGAAGCAAGCACCTTTTTTTAATACAATCCTTCAGAACAAAACCCAATTAATTATGTCTAGACCTTTGAAAATACCTGGCCCTTTCTAGATATGCACCAAACCGAGAATCACCAGCATTTGCAACAACAAGTTGGGTTTGTTTTTTCTAACAATTGCAACATTCAAGCTGTGCTTCCAGAAGTTGGTCCAGAAAAATCAGAGTGTGGGCCCTGACACAATTATCAACAATGAACTTACCATTCAAGTGTTACAAAGAATTGCAGGAGGATCCAACAATTACTACATAAAAGAACTTTACATAGAAAAAGTTAGAGACACAGAAACATAAATAATAATGAAAAAAATTTTAGTCGATTCTTGCGAATCTAGTTTTTCAAAGTTCTGGAAAGGAACCTAAAGATACAACTAAAAATCAAATATAAATTAACCTTCAGAGAAAACACACACATTTTAAGCAAACACAAAGAAATGGCTAAATAAATGCTTTCTTCAAAATGAAAACATCAATTCAAAAGAAGCAAATTCTTGATGGAACCATAAATTAAGCAAGTTTTACATGTACACAATAACTGTTCGGCGCACATGCCAGTATGCCAGAATAACTCTAATAATTAAAAAATGAATGCAAAGTTTTGTCAACTTTTGGAAAATCAAAATTATAACAATTTATGCATTGGCAAAATAGGTAATGACTTATTAATTATAAATATAACCAAACTAAAACAGTTTCTCCAAGAAATCAAAATTAAGTAGTTAAGGATGATTATAATAAAGTAATAACATTATGACAAAGAAAGTACTTGCTTTTATTTGCAAGGTACCGTCTTCAAAGCCCAATCATAGGTTGGTCCATTACTAATCACCACCTCTGGGAGAACCATATCAATCCTTCTATCATGCCAGTAAACTTGTTTATTTTATCACCCAAAACAGCTAATTCCCGCCATCCTCGTTGGCCAACGCATCCATCATCATCCATTCGGGAGAAAAAATAGTGACAAGAAGATGAGCAATGCATTATCATACATGGTTCACAACTCTAATGTTACGTCTTGCTTTGAATCAGAGAGAGAGAAGTTACAGAGACATGAGACCGTCCAAATGAACGTTATATTGGTCAGAAAAAAAAATCTGATGAATATAAAATATAGTACACAGAGAAAAGAAATTAACACTATTGAAAATTTTATATTAAAGCAATAAGGGTCCCTAATTGATATCAAAAAGAAATTGATTGTTAATGTGATCCAATTGTTAAAATGTTTTTTATAGTATATACGAGACAATAACTGGGTTTTAATGCTTAACTGATATTACAAACCAAGGATTGTTTTAGACCGGAAAATGTCCAAGAATCACTTATTGGCACACCACTAAATAATAGCTACTGATAAACATTTGGTCATCCAACTTTTTATAATTGACATAAGATGACACTATTAATCTCCTTAATTATAACTGCCAAAGAGTAGGGGGAAAAAGTGGAAGACGACCCCTCAATTAAGTTAAGAGCAACCTAAAAAATGCTTTCTGCAAGAAGTTTCCAATATCTCCAGCAAGAATATGCACTTCACTAACTAAAGAACTTGCTGATGAAAGAAACGTTTGGACAAAATTTTGCAACTACTTTTACCTGCAAGTTACTGGAACAAGGTAAGGTAGCAATAAGAACCATTCATTACAAAGAACATGCATGAATAATAATGAATTTGTAGACATAATTGACTAGTAGATGGGAGTTTAATGCCAATGCATGAGTCCAATCAATTAAAGGTTATGATTTAGAAAATAACAGGCCTATCATCAAGGAAAATCAAGAAATCAGGATTATTATGAAAAACATAAAGAAATTTCATTATATAACCCCAAATACCATTGTCTAATGCATGCAGTCATTTCAAATGCGTATATTGATCAATTTGATATTTTTTTTTTTTTTTTTGGCTGAAAAAGAAATGATAAGCAGATCTAGGTTTACTCACAAAAAATTAAAATGTGAGAAAATTCGAAAGATTGGTTAAAGTAACGATTAACAGTACCACGAAAAAAATATTAATTGGGGAAAAAAATAAAAGTATCAGACCTCTATGACTTCTAAAAATATTTTTATCAAACTCAACTTCCTATGTTTTCAATCAAGACAGATTCATTTTTTCCCACCAAATTCCACATCAACAAGACTAGGATATGTATCAGAAATTTAAGCCCGAATGAAAATGGAAAACAGATTCATGGATGAGAACCTACTTAGCCTTCATGAGCAGTCCAGGACAAACATCACAGAGATTACTTTGAATTATTCATTAAAAACATAAACTTCAGAATAAAACACAAAACTAGTAATGGGGGGAGATTTTTCATTTCCAAAATCACAGAAAATGAACATACTTTACGGAGTAAAAAAATGGTTATGTAGGCTCATAAAAAAATATCTGAACCATTCTAAACACTTAAACCTCCATGGCCGTCAATAAACACCGAAGATGAAGTGGTGGCATCAAATCGTCAATGCAGCATGCTAAGCAAAAAAATTAACTAAACAATTAAAATAACTAAAAAGCATTTAATTAATTAGGTCTGAAAAAAAAAAAATGGACTGCAGAAGAAAAGGTATTCATGCATGTCTGCAATTGCTAATAACATAATGAAGACCTCTTGAACAAACATTAGAACATAAAGAGGGTAAAGAAGACAAATTAATAAATGAATCTATAAAGGAAATAAAAGCAATGCCTAATGAATTTAAGAGGGAGACTTTAATTGGCAGAGGGTTCCTTTGGCATTCTGAATCTTGTACAATTTCCCCAACCAAGTCTCTTCATAAAACGCCATTGTAATTAAGAAATATGGATAAATTACAGGTGATCAGGAAAACCTTAATTTCCTAGCTGAAACTAATTCTTCAAAATACGAACTAATGATGCAGGATGAGTTATATTTCTATTGAAGATAAAGAAAATCACTAGTCTTAATCTTAATAAGCTATAAACGAATAAACAAGGGAGTAGAGCCCAAAAGAACTTTAAATGCATCACGTTTTTCTATCCCAGTTAAAAGAACAAAGGAGAACCATGAACAAGTAACCATGGCACAGTAAAATTTTGGCAGGTTTCACTTAAAATCATCAATATACGATCACATGTTTCAAATGTATGTACTGAAATTAGGCAACAAGCAAATTTGAATATAATTGCCAGTCAATAAGACTCAAAGGCCTTATGATATTCAGATAGATAGCAAAGCTAAATTAATACTCACAGCATCTTCCATGGTTGCACGCCACCTTGCATGGAGGATAAACCATATTCTGAGTCTATCATTCTCAACCATCTTTTCTGAGAATTTCTCCTGTTTTAGGAACTGAGGTATATAACCCATCTCTATCTGAAAAGAAGTTGCAGTGTCAAAAAGAAGAGAGAGAAAATAGCCAAAGTAAAGAAAAAAGGCAACCAAGCGACTTCAAGCCAGTAGAAAAATGGCAAACGTAATTACATAGGGAAGGCACTAATTAATCGCACACGACACCAATATGCTCCTGTGGCGATTTCAGATTAAAGCCCAAATGTTCTCTTCTGGTCCAGTGAGATACTGAAATGTAGTTTTTATTGTAACATTTAATTAGTACTGTGTCCTCCCATAACATGAAACACAAAGCCTCAAATAAAACTAATTAAAGACCAGTTCCCCCCCCCCCCCCCCAACCAACCTCATCTTTTTTGTTTGTTTTCTTTTCTTTAACTTAAAATAATTGCTCATAAGAAATTTGAAAGACAATTGTGTTACAAGGTTTCTCAGTTAAACAAAAAGTAAAGATTAAATCAGTTGTTGATCAAATCAAAATATTCCATTTATAACAAAATAAGCAGCCATAGAAAAACAAATGAGGAAAAAGTTAACCATGTCTCAAAATGGACAACCCGAAAAACCAAATTTAATCAAAATACCAATCAAGATCTACGATCAAGTTTAAATCAGGTAATCATAAGAAACCCCATAAACCAATTTGAAAATCAATCATACGGTAACAAACTATTCAGATCAGAGAATAAACTGAATAAAACAAGAAAACATCCAAAGAGC